TGATGTTCATCAATCATCTTGCTACATATTTTTGTCCACTTTTCTGTATTACAGCTTAGCTTATAGTGGCAAAGCAGAGAGTTTTTTAGACTCTCCCTCAAGTTCATTTTTGAGTCCTATAAGTAGACCAGTAAAGTATCCTGGATACCAGCATTATCATACTTAAGAAATTGGTTTAAATCTTGAGTAAATGAGGAAATTAAAAATGAAGTGATTCTAAAAAAGCTCTAGTTTGCCACTAAGCCTTAGCTATAATATTAGTGTAACTAATAGTGCTTGACTGCTTGTCAAGTTGTCATGGTCAAATTTTATGTTCTCAAGAATCGGATGTAACAGTTGTAACTTGTAACTTCACTAACGACTAACTTGAGAGCTGCAATTCTTTAGCAACAATTGAGAAATAATTTGAGATTTTCCAATTTCAATTAAATTACTTATCATCACACTTCACTGTGTCATTGATTTGATGGTAAATATTTTTCATTCCTTTCATCCTGGAGTGACCTGGACTGGAAAGTGGAAGCCTAGAAGGAATGGTGTTTGCCTGCTTGGTGCTGGTGGCATTGTGACTGTGGCAGCAGCTGCCAATCCTGCCATCCAGCATGAGCATGGCAACACACCAGAAATAAACCAGTGACACCACAGGCTGACAGTGGCAGGCACCTAACTGACCTTAGCAACCTAACTCACCTAACTACCCAAGTAGGTATAGGCACTAGGTAGGTGAAGTAGCTACTAGCTAGCAACCCCTGGCCCCAGCCTCCACTCCACTGAATCCAGGCATGGGCAATGATCAGACAGCAGTATCTTTTTTTAATTGATTTTAAGACGGCAGTGGACAGTGGTAACTGGCGGGCAGCCGGGCACTAACTGGTAAGCTAGACTGCTAGTAAGTAGTACTAGTACCTAATACCTAGCCTAGTAGGCTAGTAACACTGCTTGGCCAATTGGCCCGGTAGTGGGAGACTGGGAGCCAGCGCTAACAACTAAAAGAGTTCTCAAATATCGGGAAACCAAAAACGGTACTGCATTCTACAGTTGAGAGCACTGCTGTTCGATATAAAATATTTTTACTGTAGGCATCACAACAAGCTCAACAAATGAAGCGTTGATGCATAATGCCCGTGCACAAATAGCGCAACAAGTTGAAGCCAACAACCAACCCCTGCAAGATTTGCATACAAACTGGATATATTATGAAAGGCAGACGGCAATTGCGACCGATATGATTTGTTTCAAGCACCGCCAGATACTGATTGAAGCATATTAGTCGTTCATTGTTATTAAATCGAAATTATTTTTAAAAATTTTTAGATTCTGCGACTCAGAAACAAATAAAAAGGCTGTGATATCAAATTGACAGAAAATTTACTGTAAACTGTAAAGACATTCAATATCGAATCGACATTTATTAAACTGTTGACGAATAAACGATAAAATCTTTAGTTCTAAAATTAGGGCAGTATGATATAATTGTCCAATTTATGTTATGCAATAATAATTATTTTACAAAACTCAAGTTTATATAGTCTAACTCACAATTGAACGTATTCAAGGTTGGACTATGCGCATGTGCGCATGGTGCATGTCTTCCACCTGTTGGAATTGAGGTGCGTGCTGACCTCCAGTCAAGACCTTTAGATCGGTTATTCGCGCAGCATAAAACTCTTTCACTATCGTAAAATAAATTAAAAGTTCACGTGGGACTCGGCAGTTAGAAAAAGTCATTTTAAAAAACAGAGGCAACGTACTAAAACATTCTGCGCGGTCGCCTTTGCCTTCCCACACTCCCTTTTCTCAACCCTCCACTACTAAAGAGTAAAGACGTCACTCATAACATCCCCTCCTCTTCCTCAACCTCCAAACGTTCTCTAAATAACTCTTCACACTCAAACATAGCTACAGTTGCTGCCTCAGACAGACCCACAATCATTGCCATCCACTCATCGCTTGTTCTCTCATACCCCATTTCGTTAATCTTACCTCCCTCATTCCGAATTACTTCCATTACAGACTCCCGCACACTCTCTCTCTCTCTCTCTCTCTTGCGCCCCCCGTTCCATCAACAAGAGCTCCACAGTTTCCTTCTCATCCCAATCACACATTAAACATTTATTTTCCCTCCTCTCATTTCACTTGTAATTACATCCATCCACACACAACGCCCCTGCCCTCACACGAAGCAGGTCCTCACCTCTAACCCATCATACATACATTTATTTTACATGATTATTATGAATACTAATAAAAATAATGCCGAATGACGTCGCATAGTGCTGCAGTCGTCCCTGTGCGTAACTATAACTACGTGAACAAAAATGCGTTTTATAGTGAGTCCAACGCTAATTAGTGAATTTTTGCTGTAATTCTATTGATAATTATCTTTCAAAGTAATGATCAAAATTATAATTTAAGTCAGTGCGGTAGAGTGGTCGAAGTTTGGAGCATCAAGATTGTAGTACGTTGCGTGTTTGATTCCAGCTAGCTGTGAAAGTTCCTGGTCATGTTTGGTAGAGATGTGGCATGGCGGTAAAGAACACCTTGATAAGAGAAGTCACTTGCGAATATTAAGGAGCCCCATCCACCCTCAGAACGCTACTGTTTTCAGTAGATAATTTCGGACACCTTGCAATGTGATGTTGACGTTTATATTTAGTGTTATTTTAGAGAAGATATCGTTTGCAAGGTAATGGAATCTGTTGTGAGGGATCGATTCATAGATCATTTGACTGCTAATAATCTCCTATCAGACTGTCAACATGGCTTTATTACTGACAGAATTGCCAATCTTGCACACTCAAATGATCGCTCTGCAAGATCCACTTTGTGCTTTGAGGAGTGGCTATGCATGTTGAAATCCAAATTTATGGAACATTGGGCATCCTGGTGGTCACAAGAAGTGCAGGCCACAGGAAAAGGAATCTTCAGGCTGGGCCTGGGAGCAGCAGTGGATTACGTGGCTTATGGATCTTTACCACGCTCTATGGAATGTGCTGTGGCTCGTCTGCGACTTGGTCATGCTGGCGTGAGGGCTCATTTGTCTCGTTTCAATTTGTCCAATTCCAGCCATAGTGACAAACCACAGATTTTTTAGAATTAGTTCATTTTAATTTCCTCATTTACTCAAGATTTAAACCAATTTCTTATGTATGATAGTGCTGGTATCCAGGATACTTTACTGGTCTACTTATAGTTATAGGACTCAAAAATGAACTTGAGGGAGAGTCTAAAAAACTTTCTGCTTTGCCATTTACAGCATGTGTCCTACATGCAATGTCGAGGACACTATTTGACTATTAATCATTTCATCTTGCATTGTTTGCTCTACACAAATCAGAGGCGCGAGTTTCGCTCCAACTTGGAAAATCTTTCACTAAATTCACTTCCTTGGAAGTTGGAACCTTGTGTCAGCTCTTGGTTGAAGAGATATCCCTCAGAAAATACGCACAGCAGCAATTCGTTGGCTGGGACAATACCTGCTAAGCTGCAGCATGGTAAACACCCTATGAAGACGCCCAGTAACTAATCCTTTTATCTCTTCTTTCACACAACAACCACCGGCTGGTGAGAGTGAGCTAGAGATTAATCTGTGAGCGACTGTTGGCAAGAGAAAGAAAGGCTCAGAGAAAAATCAAGTTGTGCTCAGACTGGGAGGTGTGATCTCATCATACCCAAAGTCTTAAAATCAATAAAAAAAAATCACACCATCACCTTCATTTCCAGTCTCTCCCGCTCATATGCATCACACTCCATCAGATGTTCCACAGTTTCCCTCTCACAGTCCCACCTCTGTCACACATAAAAATGATAAAGCAAATATCTTCTCTTCTATCATTCCACCTGTATGTCCGTGCATGCACACTCAACGCATTTGCTCTCACACAGAACATTAAGTCTCCACCTCTACTTCCATCATATATATTATTCATACCTTGGCATTTCTTTCATCTTGTGGTGGTGGCGGGTTATAGATGCATAGATGACCTCACTTCAGGCCAGCCGTTGCACCTGGACATGGCAGAGGTTGATGAAGTTTCTAGATTGTTTTCTTCACTTTACTTTATTTCTTCTGGTTCTTGTACAACATACATGTCCACCACTGACATGATTCTTCTCGTGTTTTGATTCTTGAACTTTTCGTGACTTGATTCACAAGGGATCCGGCCTTTGGAACCCGATCTTTCCATAGCTGACGATTGATTGAGATAGCTGCTGGACTTATTGCCAGGTCCGTAATTTGCTAGGCATTTTGTGTGATCGGTGGTCTCCAATACTAAGCAGTAATATGATCAATGAACGCAGTGGCTATTAGGTCTAGGTCATGTTGATCGGTAAATCCATGGGTAAATCCGTTTTAATAAAAATCATGTTTTCGAATAATCTAAAAACTGACTTTCTATATAAACTAATAACCAATGAGAAATAGATGCTTAACAATAAGAACAATAGAAGAACCCTAATTACCATTTACCTGCAAATTATTCAAATAGAAATAGTGCCCTGCGTCACTACGGTCACAAATCTAATATTGAATTGGTTGCATTCTATAAATGAGACCGCGAACTCGAACAGTTTTCAATTAAAAGGGTAATGTTTATTATAAATACTAGAATAAACCTTGAATAATAGTGAATGCAGAATAAACTTGGTCGGAATTATTCGTACTAATTAAAATAAACTGTACATTTGTATTGCGGAGCGATTAAATTTTTATAAAATGCCTGTAATTTTTATTGCAATGCGATGTAAATTATCGCAATTTTGTATAAATATTCCCGCGAGCTCGTTTCTAAGCTCGAAATTACCTTTATATGAAATTTTCCCCGTTTTCAACGTTCATGTATAAAATTTTATGCGTTAATTGAAATTATATACACTAATTTAATGCGCTCTTAATGAACAGTTGCGCTTGGGTCCTATGAAGGCGTTGTGTTCTGAGCACAGAAATCATTTTCAATTCATCTATAGATTTTTCTAAATTTAGGGTTTCGGACCGGTTGGCGGCGGTTGCGGCCACTTGCGGACTTGCGGTTTAAAATACGTCAAAGGCGCCGCTAATAACTTCATTGGTGCTGCGAGCCTGCGTCATTTCATAACCAACTTAAACAAAGTATAATACGTCTAGCTGTCGAAACAAATCAAAATGTATTTCGTAGACAGTGAAGATGAATTTGACTTTGAGGAACGGAATTTTATTCCTGTCCCAGATAGTTTGAGGTATGTATAAAAATGTAAATCATGATACCTAGTCACTACTCACTCGCATAGGCCTAATTGCAAACTCGAAACTGCTTCTTGCTTGCTGAGCTTGACCTTTCCTTAACTCTTCGCTGGGCTAGTAGTACTATAATTTGCAATTAAAAATCTGTGCCTCTTAGAAGACCCGCCACGTCCCTTTTTTAATGTTTTAGGCTATGTTATCATTCATCTGACTGACTTGACATGTCGCCAGAATCCAGGGCTGCCAGTCTGCTAGATGAGCATTTTTGTGGCCAAATTTGGCAATTTGTGCCTTTTTTAATCTCATAGGCTGGCAAATGTTAAATGGTATCTTATATTAAATATAATTCTTGATTAATTTCCTTTCATTTTACATATGTAAAATAATAATATATTTTACATTACCTAGTTGAAAATGTGTGTGTTAGAAATAATCCCTGAGTCTACAGTCTACCTTCCCCTTGGGCCCTTAACTGGAATACTGCAATACTGGATTATTTGCACTTTTCACTTAGCCAACGCCCAAATGGCCAAATGTGCTAAATTTTGAACACTACCTACTTCAGCTACAATTTGTATCAATTGTTCCTACTTCCTAATTTCTACTATTTCTAGCACCAATCACATTATCACAGGATCTTTGAATTTCTGTTTATTTCTATAATTGCCTCCTAGCAAAGTAAAGGATTTTCAGGCTTCAGCTAGACAACTGTTTTGAAAATATCATAGTAATCAAGCTTAGGTAATCAGTTAATGGGCCACTTGATTGATCTAAATAATGCAGCAGACTTTATTGGAAGTTGGCCTTGAGCAAAAGTCAAATTTTAGGTTGTCTTATCTTATTTAGCTTTTTAGCAAGATGTATCATGTTTGTAGATGACAGTAAATGTATCAAAGTTCATTTTTCATTGCATATTTAGAACAAAATATGTCTTGCTAAAGCTCATCATTAATTAATCATGCCTATATTATGTTTATACATAGGTACTTCACCTTTCAAAATTTCTAATTGAAGTTAATCTTTTAAGGAGAGACTCAAAGAGCATTTTAAAATATTAGTAAAAAATAATCAAACTTCAAAAATTTATGCATAGTGACATTTTTTACCATCAATGTTGGTAATTATCAGGACACCTAGGTATTTGAGTTGCTATAGGTAGCTAGTCTGGCAACCTTTCAGTTTCAATAAAAATAATTTAATAAAAGTGTAATATGCACTTTATTTATTATATAAACTAATATGGCAGAGCTTTTTACTGTTATTACAAAGTTCTCATTAGATTTTTCATTTGAATTCCAAATTATTATATGTAATTTTTTTTGCATCTGTGACTTGTATATTAATGTGCTTAAAACCTCATGGGTTTTAAACTTTTTTTCATCATATGATGAATTTTTTCTGAATATATATTTATATTATATATCTCATAAATTATTTGAGAATTTTGTTATGTGTCATGCCACTAATTTGTTTTACTATTGCTAGTTACTGTTCAGTTGCCAATTCTGTCCTATTAACAAATTATAGGATAACAGGAATTATGACAGGATAAACAAATTGTGTTTATCCTGTCTCCGCTAGATTTTAGTTCTATATAAATATCAAATATCTTTAATTTCTTGTGGATTGCTATGCAAGTTCACTAAATAAAATTTTTTTATCTCAGGGCTGGGTCAGCTAATACATCTGCTTTGTCACCCGAGGTTGTGCTTCATGAACACAACAATGAAACTGTAGAAGCCAAGGATACTTCAACTCAATGCATCACAGCAAGTTCTGCTACTGACATAGATGGAAGTTGGTCAAAAGATATTCTGTTTGATGCTGTAAATGAAAATAGTAATTGTCAAGTGGCTGTTGTTCCTAGAGATGTTTCGTGCTCTGATGCAGTTACCTCTGAGTCTGAGTCTTTGGTATTGAACTCGTGTCAAAATAAGCTTGAGAGAAATGCTGACTTGACCCCTGCAGATCTAATGGAAAAGAACATTTCTTTGTCCAATGTACAAGCAATAAAATGGAACCCCCTACATGCTGTTGAGGAGTCAATCAAGGTGAGCTACTTGCTTTGAATCTGCATCTTGCTCTATGTTGATTCTATGGCCAGTCAAATTTTTAAATTGTTTTTCCTGCTCCACATCAAATTACAGTATTACTTTTCTCATGTATTTTAACACTTTATTCTTTTAATACTACACCTTCTGCTGATTACAAAAATGATAATATTTTTAACAGAGCTTCATTTGAATAGTACCTGTGCATGGTCTACATTTGGTGGCTGTGGCCCTATAGATGGAATCTATTTTGCTTTACACTTAAGAAAATATATACATTTCATACATAGTATCACTATCTGACCATTTCAATTGCCAACTGGTGTCCTACAAATAGCAGATTTTGAGTCAATTCTTCTATTGCTAATGCTGCATTGTTATCGCCTTCTCTAGGTAATCTTCTGGAATTTAATATTTAGCCAAAAAATATGAAATATTAAGTTCTGTCAATACAGAACATGACTGCCCCCATATGCTCACAACAACGATGCAGTTTTTGCCATTGTGTGGGTCATTCTGACCCAGTGAGAGGGCGTACTTGTGCCACATGCAGAATGGGTCACTATTTGTCAGTAGGACCCATTAATTTTTCTGAGTGTGTGCATATGCAATTGTATTTTTGGGTACGACATCGATGACGTGAGCTATTCTTAGTTACGCGATGGCATTAAAGTGATGGCAACGATGGTGAGTTGATGCTGTTGGCATTCATTCAGGATTAAGTTTGCATGGCAGGGCTTGGCCGGTTAGTGTAAGCCTCTTACGTTCGGCCGGCGTCGCGCGTAGTTCTGCGTTATCGTGAAAGTTCGTGGACTATGTTCAGCTTGTAGCAGATGTTCACTGATAAAGAACCTATCGAATGAACCAAAGACTACGACCTATATATGATTGTATTTAATTTTGTGTTATTGTGTTCTTGAGCTCTGTATGTGACATCGGTAAGCTCATGCGCTGACCGGGGTCGTTCTATTCAAAATAGTTGCTAGTTCCTAACTCCCTCAGACAATCCCTGACAGCTTTTTAAGCCAAACCCACCAACCGCAGACGAAAAATTGGCCGCTACGTCTACTAAAGCAAGTTGTGATAGTGAGGGTTCCACAAACTATATTCGAGGTGGCCGAGTAGTTGAGATCACCAGGATTTAAGCAGCGTGTTAAGAGGTTCGAAACCCGCAGCTAGCAGGGAACGTTTTGGCCGAAATCGGTAAGAGTGGCCGTGTTGTTAAGGTATTAGCGACTGGCCAATATGGCATTATAAAAATATTTTCACATTATAATGTACTATGATCAATTTCATGCCTGGTGCAAGGACTTGTATTGCGCCAACCGCCAGCCTGGGGTTAATTTTCGTGATTTTTTCCCGTTGTAGTTACTCTCGAGAGTATTGACTTGGTTTCGTTGAGGTCATTATAGGTACCAACTCTGTTATATTGCACGACGGCTATTTCCGTGAGGAAGCACAACGCCGGTTCCCATTGCAACTTGTATGCCAGATTGAATAATTTTGAAACTTCATGCTCGTATGTACTGTAGGCATATACATTTGTACCTCCAAAGTTCGGCAAAGGTTAAATACCATTCTACTTGATGCAAGTCGTGTTATATCATATGAATTACTGTAGCTACTGTGCAGGGTGGCCCAGCAGTTCCAGTTCAAAGTACCAAGATATCAGCAGGTAGTTGCGGGTTCTAAACCCCTGAAACAATCCTGCTAAGAACGCAGAAAACACTATTACTAATTCCTGTCTATAGTTGTACATATTCAACAGGATGACGGCCCTTTATCTCTTCCAACGGATTTCTCGTCATCGTCGAGGAACGACTGGGTCAGGGGCGTGTCTCTTGCGGGAGGTAATTTGTTCAAATTAAGTGTGGTGTAATTCTAGATAACGCTAATAACACCGATTTTTATTTATCACGAACTGATGATTTCAGACTGATTATTTTCTGACCCTGGTAACTTCTAGTGGGGCATTAAAAGATTCATGTATATGAAAAATTATAGTATTGCGGTTTCTATTTTATTATATTCATAGTATTATGGTTAATACTGTATTGAACGCATGATATTGTAGTGCCAACTAACAAGATCCTACAGCAGCGTGTGAAGCAGGATACCAACAGATGAATGTATAATATAAGAGCTGTATTATTCATAGTATATTATATTCATGGTATAAGAGCAACGTGTGAAGCTCAATGATGTATGTGCAGATCTGCCTTCTCGATGCAGCAGCGCCCAAGGCAGCTACAGCGGCAGAAGCACTCCCGTCTCCTCGTCTCTCAGAGCGGGACGATCTACGTTGTCCTTGTCGTCCCTCCACCAGCAGCGGGTGTGTGGTTGTGCACTTTTGCCGGGCTTACACCGCACTGCCGGACGAATGCCAGTCCAATATTAATTAAAACATTTGCAAATATTTATTCATACCATGGTCATGGCAGGTACCTTACACGGCTGTTAGGAATGTTTCTATTGAAATGCACGAAAGAATATTGGACTGGACCGTGACTGGAACGTGCCCAGCAGTATGGTGTGAACCTGATCTTTTGGTTACCTTCATATTACTTACGTCGAAATAACGGTGAACAAGCTATTTGGCCAGCGTTCTGGTGGCCGGCCAAACTGTGAAATTGAACCGTGTCTCGGTTTTTTCCTGAAATTAGCATAACCTGTATAACATATAGGTCAATTTGTGTATACATGTATGGTATACATATGAAACCCAATGCATACCTACTTCTTTTTTTTATATGTTAACCTGAAAAAAACAGCGATATGGTCGAGTTTCAATGAGTGGCTGACACCTAAAATCTGGGCATTCAAAATAAAATCCGGAATTCAAAATCTTAACCTCTTGTCTACTGATTATTTAGCCGATTTCTATGTTATTCAATGAATTTAGTTTCATCTGTAGACAATGGATTGAAATATACCTCACTGAGGTATAATTTCATGTAGCTAAAATATCTAACTCTAAAAAATGATTTCAGTTGCAGCAGAAGCGTAAATATTGTCGTGCCCTATCGGCCTACGTGGTTCTCTTAACTGTGTTGCAAAGAGATAGTAATTCTGTAGCACTTCCATTCCTAGCGGGAATTCGTTCAAATTCACATCGTTCGTAAGGAACCTAACTTCCCTGCTGGTATTTTATCTCTTTTCCGCATGCCTTTCATTTATTCAATATCTAGGTATAAATTTTCGCATGCATTGCTTGTATTCAATATTGGGCTGCTTCATCTTGAACGCTGTAATCCCGGAGATGTATATAACTGCTTGCAGCTGTAATGTGCTGCTTCCCGTGGTGCGTTACGTCTATAATTGCATCATTAAGGCGCTAAGTTACAATTATTGTGGCTTCCTCACATTGTTGTAAATTATTAAAGAGATTCTACGGAGTTTCCCTTCGTTTGTATGAAGCTTTCAATCCATGTAAGAGTTTAATGGCTTTGATGAGTTTCATTTGTGACGACTATTTACGAAAAGATTAAACTAAATATAATAAGTATTTGGGAAAGAATGAAGGTTGATTTATTAGGCATTAGAAGAAGGTGGAGTAAAAAATTACGTATGTGGCAGAAAGTAATCATCATATTAAAAGTATTTAACAGAATATAAAGTCTAACATAAAACATGGCATTGCAGATGCACTCATCGCAGTTGCTGCAGGAGCTGCGGCAGGCGGCGCTGCAGGGTCGCCCTGACGCCGTCACCAGCGTCCTCAAGACGGGCGTGTGTGTCGACCAGACGCTCAGGTCAGGCGCTCGAGGGTCTTAATGATGAGGATGTTCTTAATTAGTGGAGGTTTTTACGATCGTCGTATATTCATACAGTCATCGTAAGCTGTTCTATGGGTGGAGGTAATTTTTACGATCATTTTAAGATTATACAATCGTCGTCAGCTGTTTGATGAGTATAGGTTTTTAACAAGCGGATGTTTCTACGATCGTCGTATATTCGTACAGTCATCGTAAGCTGTTCTATAGGTGGAGGTAATTTTCGCGATCATTTTAAAATTATGCAATCGTCGTTAGCTGTTTGATAAGTGTAGGTTCTTAATAAGTCGAGGTTTTTACGATTGTCATATATTCATACAGTCATCGTAAGCTGTTTTATGGGTGGAGGTAATTTTCGCGATCATTTCAAGTTTATACGATCGTCGTTAGCTGTTTGATGTTCTTAAAAAGTGGAAGTTTTTACGATCATCGTAGGTTACTACTTACTACTACTTCTTAATATCATCACGAGTTCTCTGGTGATCTATACTGTACCTCGCGTTCTAGAGTGAATATGTTTATATAGGATATATTTAATTGGTATATGTTTCATTCAATTATAAAAATGTTCTCAGTACCGCACTGCCGCAATCAATGGCTTATAGTAAATCATTAGTACAATATATCTATTTTTGCTTGACTACTAAATTAACGAATTGTTTCCAATTTAGGATAACTTTGTTTCGGAGGAGGCCTGATGGAGATAAATTTTTCAGAAATTATTGCATTTTGAGAAATAGAAAAGGTGATATGTACGTAGCCGATATATACTGAGAAGACATTATGAAGTCTGCCTTCACCGTTACTCTGTTTGTGTATATTTAGGCATGTAATGTACTGTTTGTATATTATATTTATTATTGAATGTAGATCATTTATATAGTCTATTACCACATGGGCGCTTATCAAAATCTTGCCGAAATGCATTACTTTATTTACCATCCTAGAATTCCGCTCCTTTCATTTTATTTAATCTCCTTGACTTTAGTGTTGAATGTTTCATATTTGCCAACAATCTTAAGCGTGAGCAGATCGAACTCTGTAGGATTGCGCACTGGGAAGTAGAGGCGCTCGTGTTGCCCTGTTTTTGCACTGCAATTTGGGCAGGTATACATAGTAAAAAGCTGTAAGTATACCTAATAAAAAGCTGCAGGTATACCTAATAAAAACTGAGCGGATGCATTAGGGTAAGAGCTTACAGTGAAATTGATGCCTCTGAAGCGGTAGATTTTTTGTTACATTTGAAAGGAAGTTTGAGATCAAACTGAGCATTTTACTTCACCGAAAACAGTTTATTGAAAACAGTTTGCACGTCCATTGTAATCCATACGCGTTCTGCTATGGTGCTACCTTCATCTTCCCAGAAAATCCGCGTGCTGCAGTTGAATAATATTTTCGTTCATGTTTATTTGCAGATTCGTGTTTGACGCAGCACATATCAAACTTGGACTGGCATGAACTCGAGATTCTTTTCATACTTCGTTTTTCGTCCCGTACTGTTTCATAATCTCGTGTCGCACTGATATATAATTATTATAATTATAACTCGTACCGCGTTATAATTCAACACGCATGAAGTAATTACTTGCGGTTTCATTCCAAGCTCTCCGTGCGTATGTAATTATTATGGAATGGTTATATAATTTTTACGGTCTTAACTATAATAAATGTGTGCGAGCAGGCAGGGATGGACGGCTCTGATGTTCGCCTGCTCAGCTGCCCAAGTCGAGGTCGTCAAGCTGCTGCTCGATAACAAAGCTGATCCCAACTTCCACAAAGGTGAAGCTTCTTAACGTTTTTGTTCTCAATGCGTTTTTTTTTTGCGTTTACCCGATCGTACGGCTTTGCGCTCTAAAACAAATGGCAGGTTCCCAGCAGTATTGAAATATTGAATAGAGCTCAACGCATGAGCGCCGAGTTCTATTATCAGTGCCTAATTGATGAATTTAGCTATAAGTAGTCAATGTATTTAAGGCTTCTATGAGTACATAACTCCGAATCACTATTCTATAGCAGTCTATCTTGTTGCCAATTTGTCATTCTACAATAAGCTTGTTTCTTCACTAATGTCGGTACAATACATGATTGGCTGTAAAGGCTTCATTTCTTTCTGCATCTCGTGCATGGCGACTAAAAAATTGCATTTTCAGGTCCATTTGGGATCCATTATTGATTTAGATCGTTGCTAATCTACTTGAAGTTAGTAAAACGGTCGTCCTAAATAATCCTCCTTGCTAAGTTTTTCTTTACTGACATTCACTAATTAAAAAGGGCCTCGCACGAGGGCCAGCGGAACTGGACCTTAATCGAGTAGCTTGCAGCAAAGTGTGTAAAAATAAAATGTTGAGCAAGCATCGAATGTCACTCAATGGGTTACATACGCGCTGCCGGACATTCTATTGAAAACCGGTATATTCTACGCAACCAATTCTTTCTAGGCGCGAAGACGACAAACATAAACTGTGACTGCAATGCCTTGGTAATCGAATAATTGGCGATGAAATTCTATTGTGTTCGTTTGAAATATTCTGGCGCAGATCAGGCTAGTTAGATTATATTTTTTTCGGTAGTTACACTGTTAAGTAGAATAGATGTTCACGTCTATGTTTTGACGAAAATAAATTTATCTCTAGCGAAGCGACAGTTGTATAAATCTTGATAACTTGACACTGTGGTAGATGAAACTTTTTTTCTGATAAAGTTGAGAATATTATAACTCACGGTATGATTTACTGCGCATGTAATGAATAATTTTAAAATTGTGGCTTTCAGAGACATGGCAATACTCATATATTGATCTTCCTATAATTTATCTTTTCAAGTTTAGTCGCGTCCAGCCGCACCACATATAATATTTTTAAACCGGCATCCACGATATCCTTCTGCATTTGTTATACTTTTTCATATCAATAAAATTTGTTACTCTGCTCAGAACTGTTCACTCCTTTGATGGCCGCGTGTGCCAGCAGCGTCCGTGACAAGAATATTTCAACTGTCGGCCGCCATGAAAACAACGAGCGAAATGACAACGACAGCAACGTAGCTGGAAATGACGATGCCGCGAGCAACGTCATCGAAGGGGCTGTGGGAAGCTCGACGGTGGCTACTACAGGTTGGTAGAGAGATAGAAAAGCAGCTACATTATGGTTATCTTCAGGAAATGTAGATGCATGTGCTTGTTCCGGCATTATAAATCATGGAAACTCAAGCGCTTGAGTCGTTTTTAAGTGGAATAGAATCAATAGATGTAATAAGATGTGATGAGGACGATGATGTGATGAGATGATGAGGACGATGTGATGATAAGATGATGAGTTTTTTCATGGAAACGATCTTCAGTTTTTCGACATTAGTGGCATAGCTTATATTTGTGTCTATTCTAGGATTTAAATGAGATTTCTCAATCTGATGAGATAGTCATCAACATCCACCTGGTAATTTTGCGAGCTGTAGTTTGTTGAACATTCACTGCCACAGAGCCTGTTTAATGGTTACGGTACTTGTCTTGTTTTTTTTTTTATTTATGCTAATACTAGACCACATAATTGTACCTTAAACTACTTTCTAAGAATATATTGTCAGCCAGCAATGCTGTTCGTATCTAAATGTCTGATATTTTCTTTAATGAGATAAAGATTTTCCACGAGTCTTCTGATACATTAATCCCATTAATGTTATTCACACATGAAATCGTGTTACTAAAGTTACCGCCGGGTAACTTCCATAAAGTGCTGGTAAGCAGAGTTCTCGTTAATAGATGCAAGATTAAGCAGAGTCCCGTTGCACAGGATCTGAAGCCCGCCTGCTGGTGTGTGTGGATCTGCTGCTGAGGTACGGCGCGAATGTTAACGCCGCCGAGCGTCACAAGATCACGCCCCTCATGTTCGCCAGCAAAGAGGGCAGGTCGGCCCTCGTGCGGCGCCTCCTCAGATCAGGGGCTGTGCCGAACGCCAGGGATAATAAAGGGTGAGCTTTTGATGTATCCCTGGAGGGGAAGACGGTATCCTTCAGGGATAATATTGGTTAGCTTTTGCTATGCACCTAGCAGGCAGGGTGGCATGCTACAGAGATAATAGGGGACGGTCTTTTGATATATTCAAGCGTTTAAATTGCGCACCGGAATAAAAGGCCTATTCGTATACGCTGAGTTCTTTTCTTCACTTGATTTGTGATAGGACTTGTGGCTTTGTCAACGTATAGCTAAACAATGGGAAGTACGAATGTTGAACAGTTTTTTAAAGTAAACTTGTTTGCATGAAGAATTCCGCACATCGGACATGACTTAGAGTAAACCACCTGCCTCTGTGTGTTGCAGGTCGTGGGGCCTTCTTGTACAGATACTCATTCTGTCGGCAGATAGATTATCTAGATTTGACCGGACGACATGAGAGGATCTTGCATATTCAAAGATCGTTATTATAGGCCCTGTTATGTTGACCAGTCAGCCTTTTTCCTTATTAAAAATTCTTCTGATTAATGGCTCGTGCAGGTGGACGTCCCTGTGCTGGGCGTGCCACGGAGGGCACGCGGCTTGCGTCCAGGAACTGCTCGCCGCCTCTGCTGACGCCGTCATCAGCACCGAGCGTGGCCAAACCGCCGCTGACATCGCCAGGGCCCAGCACCACTTTAAGGTGGTTTTCAGTGCCAGTGACTGGTAGCCAGGGCCCAGCACCACTTTGAGGTGGTATTCAGTGCCAATGGTTGGATGTGTGAAATTCGAATGTGAATGTGGAGACTGGCCTTTTTTGTTGGCCAAATTCAATAAAAAATTTCAGGCCCTTAATTAATTTGGAAATTTTTCAACAGCTAGCAGAAATTGTTGAAGCTGCAGCGCTTGGGACTCCAATATCAGTACCAGAATCGATGCTCAGCAACTCCTCGTCGCCAAGCCAGGATGCCCCCCAACAGGAGCACTGCTCCGACCTGGACATGGTGCTTGCTGGCCTGGGGCTCTCTCATCTCAGTCCACTTTTTGCTAAACACAAGGTTCATAAATTTCATCCGCCTCGGCATGAGATCAAAGATATTGTTTTCAGATATTTATTTCTCCACTTGGAGTGGTTATGTTTTTTTTTTTTTTTGGTTCTTGAATTACTAGGTTTTTGGTTTTGTTAATTTGGTTCTTGAGAATCATTCTTGAATGATTTGCTACTTCCAAATATATTTTTTGTTAAATGTGCGCAGGGAATATTAACTGATCATTGTGATGTATTTCCTTCGAAAATTTCATGTGCGGATGTGTTCTGTTGAATTTAACACTGCACTATGGAGATAAAGTTTACATATTTTCAGAGACGACCTGTCAAAATATATAAACCGTTAACGCATTTTAGCTTCTATTAGGTTCTGTGGCGTTCAATTACCATGAAGAAGCTCTTTTTGTGTAGTTATTATTTCTTTCGATTGACTTATAATCATCATGCTCGCGTTCATTGTGAATATCACTCCCCAGATCAATCGCACTTGGGGCCACATTGGTCCATAATAAAACAAAATGAAACTGAGATCACTGAGAAGATTGCCGCAGTCCGACACAATAAATATCACTCGTTGGAGCTGATCATATTCCTTCTATTGTGGTGTGGCAATAGAAGCTTTATAAATTCGTCTGAACAGATCGACCTGGTGGGATTCCTTCGCCTGAGTGCCGGGGAACTGAGTGACCTGGGTGTCGGGGATGTGGGTGTACAACACAAGCTACTCTCCGCCATCGCTGAGATGCACAGGAAGGCCTGGCAGCCGTCCAGCATCGCTCCTCTCAGTTCTGCTCCCTACATCAGGTGAACCTTACACACAAAATAGGGAACTTGCCTACAATCAGGAAAATTAGCCGGAAATTTAAACACGTTCATTCATTTAGTGAAGAAATCAAATCTGCTAAATCCAAACAGAATGTAAAACTTATTATTTCAATTCCACTGTATTCTTTTTTAGTGCCTTTGTACCCCGATAGTAAAAACAAAATTGTAAATTCTGAAAAATACTCAAACAAGCACTGATGACTAAAAAATTATTGATTGTATCATTTGTATGCTTAATAGCTGCGAGCCTCGAGATTCCTGCAGAGATGTGATTATGAATATTGAGAATAACACATGGTTATGAAATAATTAAGTTATTATCTATATATTATTATTAAGTCATTAAGTAAGTGTATATTAAGTCATTATCTTCATTGAAGATAATGACTTAATGTGCACGCTGCTATGGAGTGCTTAGAGATTTATTAATTGCACCCGGACCGTAAAAAGATTTGATCTAAGTTAGATTTGCTACTTCCATGTATATATTCAAATATTTTAATATTTTTCATCGCAATTTGTTGTAGAACTATTATGTGCGTATCACAAATATATTTTAAACATTCTTTTTTTGTTCTGGGGCAGCTTGACCGACGCAATGTCGATGATCGGCAACGTGAACAAGCACGTGAGCTTCTTGGAAGCAACTCTCGCATTCCTACGTCAGCAACTAGAGTCTAGCGCCTCGTCAGAGCATCTGCATCACAACACGACCAACTGTTCCATACAAACGCTCATCAGCAGCACGCAGCAAGCGGCGGCCTCCATCAATAGACTGCACAGCACCACTCTCTTCCTAACTGCGCATCTTCAGAAGGTTATTGGGGGTCTTGTTGTGTGGTAATATCAAAGAGTATATTGCCTGGCACGTCTACTCGATTTTCTGTTTTTTTTTTATACTCCTGTCGTTGCAAATAGTTTTTAGGTACTGAATAAGACTTCACGTCAACGATAAAGGTCGCTAAATTGTAAATTTAATAATAAAAAGTTTCATGTCAGCTGTTCGTGAAAACACCGTAATAATTTTCATTAATGCAGAATTTTGTCATTAGATGAGAAAATTAGAATTTTTGGTAAAGGAACGCGAAAGTTGTGATTTAAATTATTCGCAATAAAATTGATTCCTTTAATCAGATATCGGAAGATGCTTCCCTCGCCCCCTCTGATCTATTGGTGGCAAGCGGTCCTGATGCTCCCCGCGTGTGGGTGAAGACGGTGGGGGCTGGAGCTGCCGCCGGTGCTCTCCTCATAGCCGCCCTCTGGTGGTTGCGTCCATCTCTGGTGTCGTCTTTGGCGGCCGTTGCTGAACCACGAGCTGTCTTACTCGACTGCAATTAAGATTATGTTTCGCAGTTACGTATGGACCAAGTGTTGTCTTACTCGACTGCAATTAAGATTGTTTCGCAGTTACTTATGGAACACGAGCTGTCTTACATGACTGCTATTGAGATTATGTTTCGGAGTTACTTATGGACCAAGTGCTGTCTTACATGGCTGCAATTGAGATAATGTTTAGCAGTTTTGGTGGACCCTTAGCTTCCTACTGTACTGTAACTTGAATTAGTAAAATAGGAAAGTTTTTTTCAAAAGTGGATAGAAGCTTCTATCTTTGGCGGATAGAAGCTTTTCTGGAACGGAATCCTAGCTGTCTAGAAGATACTTACTGAAAATGTTTACACTTTACAGATATTTTTGTAGTGTACAGATTAAGACTTCACTGGAATGTAGTGGAACCGAAAATTGGCCTGATTCCGTTCAGAAATGGAAGCGGGATATTTTTTGTTGAGTTTCCTGACGAAGGAATTATTTCTGTTGAAAATTCGTTTTGACACAGAATATGTTTGTTTAAATTGTGTTCTGACGCGGCATCGTTTTGGCCCGTTAGTTACCTAGTTTATGTACTTCATTGTAAATTTTGTTTTTATTTGCTTCTCAGGGAATTGGAATGTATTTGCAGCTCTAAGCTGAATATACCGCACTTCTTTAGCAAAATGTATTAACGAGGTTTAACTCGTTTTTGTGATATTATTGTATGCAATTTAAACAACATTGCGCAACCATTTGAAAGGAAAAGTCTTCCATAGCGATAGATTTGTAATAATTTACTTTGCTCTGCACTTATTTTTCATAACGTAAAACGGAATATACGTCCAGGGTTACTAATTTTTAAGATAGACTCGATGATTTGCAAAACTGTTGGAAGTTGGTCGCAATTACTGCAGCGTAATTTTTCTAAAGATTTTGTTAGGCAACCGTTCTGGTATTCATTAGCTAGAAGGCTGTTATATCGTGTATTACGTGATGAGGCCTTGTCGAAATTGAACGATCGCAAGGTTTTTGTTTTTCATCTAAATTTTTGACTAAAATCGACTGGAATTTTCACTTTCGTAACCTAATTCTACGTTTGGTGATAATTTTCGTAACAGATTGTGTATCGTTTGTAGGGAGTAATTCACTTCATTTACTTATCCCATTTCCGTTATTTTTTCTGCAGGCGCGGAACGGCTGCTTTAGGTGACTATTTCTCTCGAGTCTAAAATCAATCTCTTTATACTCCTAACGCGGCAACGCCAACATTCCGCTATCTATATTTGCTGTTGACATTTTGTATTCACGTTGTTCGCTGAACAAACAAAAACCTGTGGCTGAACGTTGTTCTTTTCAATTTTGGAAATCTAAAATTTCAACATTGAATCACGGCAGTAACTAGTAAGCTGGACTTGGCCTTGAACTAGACTTGAAGTGCTACACGGTAAGTCGGTAACTAGCCTAAGTTTACAAGCGGTATGTAGCTATAAACTGCTTTAACTTGCGTCTTGCGTGTCATCACTGTTGTGCACATGTGCTCTCACAAAATTATAATCATGTATAAAATGTGAAGAATGGAATTTAAGTAAAAAAGCTCAAATATTTAATGTTGATTTAGTTTTATTTTGGCTTTATATGGATTACACCTAAATTGTTAAACTATTAAAATTGCAGCTTATTTGCAATTGAAAATGGGCACTGCAGTGGCCAGTGAAACTAAGTGAAACTGCACTTCCACCTGGTCATTTCACAGGTGATACTTGAAATTGAAAATTGTGGTTAAAAATAGGTTCTTTTTCTTATGATTTGCTGAAAAAAAGTCAGAAAATGCAAATAAAAATAAAGGGGTGAAATTGGCCAGATTCATGAGCCTTTTTATTCAATTCACATGTGTCATGTGATGATGTGATTGTTTTCTGGCTTTCTGCCAATCTTCTCTTTAGGCTCTGGCCATTAGGGTGCTAGAGTTCACTTTATATTTATTTTCCAAAAAAAAAAAATTAATTTGACATCAAGCAATAAATTTCCTGGTAATTAAGTGTGCAACTTGGAAGTCATAAAAAGTTGATTTGTAATGAGAATTAAAATTTAAGTAGGAAAAAACAGTTTTCTAATCTTCAGACTTTCAGTGTATGGTCACAAAGTATTTTTTTATCTGGAAGCATCATAGATTCATCATTCATGGTGATTGGTCACAACTCCCTATTTTATTTTTACTCTAACTCTTAGTTTTTGTTGCATTACTATACAGATTCTATCAATCATCAAAGTTAAGATGACAGTATAATTAAAATGATGACATTTCCCATCAATTTCCCCAACTTTGTTACAGCACTTTTGTTGCCAGCCTTTGAAAGAAAGTATCAGTTTAGTTGAGCAAACTGAGCTGAGGCATAATCAAATTTTTTTAGTTATCATGTGGCCATAAATTTAGCAAAACTTAAAAATTGTAGTTTTGAAGACAATGGTACAGTTTTTATTGACAAGTAGTGAGTCAAGTGCTCTATTTGGAGCAATTGCTGCTTAGTGATAACTTCTGTCAATACTGTCATTGACAGTACTTGTCAATTTGGAAGTGGTAATTTTTGTAGATTGAGGAAGATTTATACAATTTCAATTTAACAACATCTATTAGACTTTGAAAATTCTTCAAAAATAGCTTATTTGTAAATGTCAATAAGAAGATTTTTTTTTTCTAATTTCAATAGAAAGTATATTTATTTATTTTAGAATTTCAGTAGAAGGTAGAAGTTTCTGGCCTTAGTCTTGGGAACAGAATAGTTGGCTAGTATGCTAGATAATATTATGTCATCACATTGGTTTTATTTCAACAATGGTTCTTTATTTCTTGAGTGCCTGTTATTTTTGTATTACCTTTAAGTCCAAACTACAAAATTCTAATGTTGATTTGGCCAGGCATTGAATAAGAAATTCTGGTAAGATTTTAATTGATGTGATCTATGTATTTTAATTGATGTGAATCTATGTACTTTTACAACTTCAGCAACACAAAGGATTTTTGACCTGTGCTTCATATTTTTTTTATTGAAAGGTTAAAAAGGACTGCACTCATTCTTTGTTCCAAAATTCAAAAGTTTTATTGCAAAAACTATATAGAATGAATCAGTTATGATTTCTCCTTATATTGTTATTCATTTTTGTTCCCTGAGCTGCTTCTAGATTCAATGATTTGATTTTAATCTACAAGTGCTGGCTCTGGTAACTGTCATAACTGGCATGAAAATACTAGGTTTTTTATGCAAGCATGCTCTTATGAAGCTCATTTAATGAACTTGCAATTTTTTCAGATTAACACCAGGACTTGACAAGAATCCAGAGGATGGCATTGGTGCCAGCTTGTGTTGGGACTCAGCTGAAGTATGCCCCCTTTGCTTCTTCAGTTGATGTTGGTTTCTGGTATACATTCAACAAGAAGAAGGTGTGTTCAATATTTTTTCAAGTGTTTATGATATAATTTGGCAACATATTTTTGATCAATTCTACATCTGTGTATTGATCCTTGACTTAAGCTAGTGGGAAAGTTGGTGAAATATCGATTGCAAGATTTGATCATCACAGACAGACAGACACGAAAGCGAGCTAAGAAAAACGTAGTAAAATGATCAAAATTTTCCTAGTAGAATGGTTTATTGGATTTTTGAAGCTTTCTTTGTATTTATATTGTAATAGTATCTATGTGCATGAAATCTCTGAAATGTATCCAAGTATCAATGCAACAACTAAATAGTTGTCAAGATACTAGGAATTAATAGGTACTCATTCCTGCAATGAGCTGAATGAGTTCCTATTTAATAGATATGAGATGTTCTTTGTTGTCAACTCTTCATGTAGTAGGAATAGTGACACAAAAAATATCATAACCATATGGATATATTGTCATTCTATTATGGCACAATTGTTCATATAATAAATAAAATATTTTGCTGGAAACATGGTTCCACATAATTTTCAGTTTTATCACTACCCTCTTTATTGGACTAAAATATATTTTTTATGATCTACAGCTTGAAGAATACAAGTTGAACACAGATCCGGTGTGTCTACGTGGAGGATATGTCAACACCGAAGATCAAGGGCAGGCACCAAGATTATCCATTCTATACAGTGCTTTTGCAAGGTATAAACATAGGGTAGTCTAAATGTAATCCATACATCTGATGACATTGATGATCAATAAAGATAAATAAGAAAGATTACCTAAAGTTTCAAGCTATTGGAGAGTTTTAGTTCTTTTTAAATGTTGAATTACTCAGGATTAAAGACAATTCTTAGTAATCAAGAACTTCTGCTAAAGAAGTGAGTTATTTTTTCATTTGAGTCAGAGATTGTTTGTTTGCAGTGGGATTGAAAACTTTCTGCTTCAAGCCAATTTACTAATTTGTCTGATCCTAACATTATATCAGGATTATTCGATTGAATTTTATACTAATTTTTTATGTGTATCTACTCACTTCTGCAATTATGTATGTTATCTGTTCTCACATTATATCTTGATTAAACTCTGGTACTGCAAACCTATATGTCATGTGCATCATTTAGCTAAGAAAATATCATCCACCCTTCTATTTCCCCATATATGAATAATCTTCTCGTCAGGCCTGCAAATGAGACTTCCAGTCCTGGCATGTTTTCATGCCCAGGAGTCTTGTTGCACACCAACACCGTCGAGGAATTCAAGAGCTGCAACAGGAAAGAGCTCCTAAATAGCATTGCAGACGAGCGGCTTTACCAACACATGTTATCTGGAAAGGCTTTAGATGAGCCGCAAATTCTTGCCACCTTTATTGTGCATCTGTTTGCTGTGAGTTTGATTGATTTATTTCAGTTACACCCACAACAATTTTTGTGTTATAGTGGAGTAAAATAAAATTTCTATTTTCAATAGAAAGCTTTTAATTAAGTAATACTTTGTATATTTTAATTAATTTTTTATGCGGATCCAACCTAGCTAATAAAGTTTGAGTCTTATCTGCTCAATTTTCATCTGCTTTAACCGTTTATGTATTATTATTTGTGTCCGTTTTGCACTTTGCATTTCAGCACATAGGTCAATTTAATGAGAAATTTTGCTGACCTTCAAAAAAATTCTATCACATTAGAATGCATCTATGTCTCTCATTACTAAAGTCGGTTTCAAATTGTAATATCTCTTGCAGGACCTGAAGAAATACCACTATATCTATTGGTTTGCGTTTCCGGCTTTCATCAGCCATAAGGAGACTATAGAAGAGCCTATCAAGACCCTGGAGGAGTATTGGACAAAGGAACAGGTAACCCCTACCCAGTGGTGGGCACAGTTCCGCTAATCCGCTAACCGCTAATTAGCGAAGCTAACTTTTTCCTTATCGGATTAGCTGTTCAGCTAACTTTGAAAACCTTTAGCGGACCAATTAGCTTCCGCTAAATTTAGTTCCGCTAACTGGCAGTCCGCTAAAAATGTTTTAAAATCTCTGATTTAATTCTAAGTATCATAAGCCATGTGCCACGCCCACACTGACGGCTGACTACGTCATCAAATGTTCGTCAGCCAATCACGTCTTGTGTTACTGGCAGTAACACAAGACGTCCTGTACTGCAGTCCTCTGGTGGACGCAATGCTGGCAGGCATCACGAAAAGGTTTGGGTCCCTCCTAGAAGACAAGGAGTGCCAGCTGACAGCGGCCTTCCACCCTAAGTTTCGCCTGTTCTGGCTGGAAAAGCATAATCACAGTCATCTCAGCAGGGTACAGAAGGCCATGGAGACCGCCGTGGAGACCGCCCTGAGGGAGACCGTTGAAGAGGGCAGCAGCACCACCAGCAATGACGAGGATGGGGAAGATGACTTCTTCAGCAGCATTACTCAGCCCATGGAGTGCAGGAGGAGCCACGGGTCACTGAAGTCCAAGGCACAGAATTTGGTGAAGACCTGGCTGGAAAGCAGCTCGAAGGAGGAATTGACTGGCGTTGCCTTCTTGATGTTTTCATGCCCAGGAGTCTTGTTGCACACCAACACCGTCGAGGAATTCAAGAGCTGCAACAGGAAAGAGCTCCTAAATAGCATTGCAGACGAGCGGCTTTACCAACACATGTTATCTGGAAAGGCTTTAGATGAGCCGCAAATTCTTGCCACCTTTATTGTGCATCTGTTTGCTGTGAGTTTGATTGATTTATTTCAGTTACACCCACAACAATTTTTGTGTTATAGTTGAGTAAAATAAAATTTCTATTTTCAATAGAAAGCTTTTAATTAAGTAATACTTTGTATATTTTAATTAATTTTTTATGCGGATCCAACCTAGCTAATAAAGTTTGAGTCTTATCTGCTCAATTTTCATCTGCTTTAACCGTTTATGTATTATTATTTGTGTCCGTTTTGCACTTTGCATTTCAGCACATAGGTCAATTTAATGAGAAATTTTGCTGACCTTCAAAAAAATTCTATCACATTAGAATGCATCTATGTCTCTCATTACTAAAGTCGGTTTCAAATTGTAATATCTCTTGCAGGACCTGAAGAAATACCACTATATCTATTGGTTTGCGTTTCCGGCTTTCATCAGCCATAAGGAGACTATAGAAGAGCCTATCAAGACCCTGGAGGAGTGTTGGACAAAGGAACAGGTAACCACTACCGTATTTTAAGCAGTATATTATTTTCAATTAGCTCTGCATTTTTCTTTTATTGTAACTATAAAGAAGGAAGGAGAATAAAAGCAACAAATAAAAAAATTAACAACTTTTCAGCTGAATATGTAAGTGTTGGTGAAACTTATTGCACAACTGCTACTTCTCAATTCCCCGCTATCTCAATTCTCTTCATTATTCCTTCAATTTTATTTGGCTTTTTGCAGGCTCTAACATGATCTTTACATGCATTGTACTTACAAGACAGCTTCAGGATTTATTTATATTGTTATTACCACTATTTTCTTATTTGCTTAACCAATCCCTCCTAATGCCAATTTGGCTAAATGAACTAGCCCCACGATTCATTAGGCGTGGAGGCGGTTCATCATTTAAAGATGTGCTTTGTGGAGTCTTTGTTGATAAAATCATTCGCCCTATACTTTTCTTCAACCAGATGGAGATCTTTACACAAGGCTACCTAACAATAGAAAGCGATGTTAACCCCGGATTTTTTGTTTTGGAACAACCGTCTGAAGAATGTTTCTGCTTCCACCCACTCAGAGATTACGGCAAGCTGCTGGAAGAACAACGGCAGGTTTGGAAGCTGGAAATTAAACTAAACTTCAATTAAATATATTTGTATAATTATAAAGTTTTTTGCAACCTTGGATCACAAATATGGACTTTAATGGCGAGTTCTGTAGGCGTTACATGTACGTATTCAAATTATCGCTGACATTTATGCGTTAAATATTTCTTAATGAATTTCGATTTTGTGTTGAAAGTGGACAACACACTGTGTATTGTTGTGTGTTATCGACAAAATTGCATAAACGACGAAGCTGAAGAAAACTTAATAAATAGTTTATCCTCTCATAAGCTTGTGAATTCAAGGTGTGTTTGGGGGTAGCGGACCCCAGCAGCATCGGTGGTGTGCCAGGCTGGCCTCTACGTAATCTTCTCACTCTGGCTCACCTGCAGTGGCAAGTTATTCCTTCTGAGTCCAGCTGTACACATATGTCGCCTTTAAAAATAGCTTTTTTTTGTTTGTGTATGAAGCTCATTCCTCCGACTAATATATGGTCTTTAGTTTTAGACTGCGCCATGACCAGAATAATATAAGTATAGGTACGTCGCCTGTAAATTTTCTTCAGTGAATAAATTTCAGAAATGTGGTTATGGATAAAATGTAATGTTTTGCGCTCACAAGAAATTTAGTGGCTTTAGGATTATTTATATACTCTGCTTGCTGATTATCAGCTCATGATTGACGTCAAAGCTTCTGCTAAACATTATTGACTGATATCAGATTGATTTTCGTCTGAATTTTGAATTCTGCATTATTTTTCTCAATGGATCGTCCTCGTCAATAGTCATTTTCTCAAGATGATTTAAAAAGTGTCAGATTGATTATTGCCTGAGTATTAATTCAGATTTTTTTCCTAAATTGATCATCATTCTAATCAATTATCTTTTATTAAACATGATTTATCACTTCCACGTTGATTTTATTCAAATTATAAAATCAGATTTTTCCGCAATAGATGATTTTCCGCGTCAATAATCTTTTCGTCAACATGATTTATAAATGTCAGATTGATTTTATTCCAATTATGAAATCAAAGTTATTTTTTTAAAGATTACTTTAGTTTAAATAATGCATAGAAAATGTTGACACTGAACATCTTTCCCATAGGCCCTCTCACCCTTGCCACGATTTTTAAATCATCTTTTCTTCAAGATAATTTTCAAATGTCAGATTGCTTTGTGTCTAATTATTAAATAAGAATTATTTTTTCTCAATAGGCCACTTACAATGATGAATGACAACAAACACATTATCCACAGGCCCTCTCACTCCAGCCACAAAGTTCTGTGTTTGCGGATGTCGGTGCGTCGAGGCGAACGCTCCGTCTCCCACAGCCTCATATTTAGGGTTCGACTTGAGCCCAGGGAGAACGCTACGGACCTTACACCCTGCGTCGGCTGGGAGAAAGATGGAGCTGGCAATTTGGCTCCCATCAAACTTGACCTCTCGGCTTCCATGGACCCTGAGAAGTTTGTATCGTCTTCATATAATTTCATGAATGCACCATTTTTGATAATATGGCATATATGTGCCAAATCTCCCCAAAAATTAAAACATCTCTCCAAAATATTCCATTGTTGAACATTACTTAACATAATTTTTATAAAGTTTCCTGCAATTGAAAACTCTCGCTACCTTTGAAAGCCCGATTGTTTTGTTTATCTCGCCCATAATAGATAAGTGCTAATTTAAATCCGACAACACCCAGAGTGTGCGACAGTGCGTGTGAGCTGACCCTGCAGCTGATGCGGTGGCGAGTGGCGCCTGCACTCGACACACACGCGCTTCAGAAGACGCGCTGCCTCCTGCTGGGCGCCGGCACGCTTGGCTGTAATGTCGCCAGAGCTCTTATGGTTAGTTTATATTATGGTATGATATATCAAACCTATATCTCGTATCAAATCTTCATCATGTATAATATATCTATTACATATCTCCATCATGTATGATATCTCCATCATGTATGATATCTCCATCATGTATAATATCTCCATCGTGTATAATATCTCATTCGTGTATAATATGTCTATCATGTATAATATCTTTCATACCTATCATATCTTAAAGATTTTATTTGTGCCTTATTTTTAAAATTAGGCTCGTCGGTTTTTAGGCATTCCACATTAACATACAATTCTGATGGACTAAATAAAACTAAATTATCTGCAAGATGGAACGCACGTCTACTGTTGATTTTACGTATTTCTTCAGGTGAAGGACTGAAGGTGCGGAGAAGTTTAATACCGAAAACTTCTAATTTCATTTAGAGGGAAACTGTAAATAAATTAACATTTTCTTGATAATCTATTTAAGCAATGTGATCGGGTGATGAGCAATCTCATTTAAGCAATGTGATCACAAGTAAAGCAACAAATTTAACCCAAGTATGTTTGTAACAGGGCTGGGGCATGATGCACTTCACATTTGTTGACAGCGGCCACGTGTCGTACAGCAACCCGGTGCGTCAGTCACTGTACAGCTTCTCCGACTGCCTTGGGGGAGGTCAGCTCAAGGCTGTCGCTGCTGCTAGGGCCCTCAAGCTCATCAGGCCGAGTGTTGTAAGTTGTCTCGTGGTCGTACTTAGGTCCTGCATCTCGCTATTTCTTAGTGTAATGGCATTGCTTTTTATTTTTATATTCCCTTGGCTAAACTGAAATTTAGCTTGCTGCTTTAGAACGTAGGGGATGTCATTAGTTTTAGTTTCCGCCTGGACTTGGTTCATCCTAAGATTTATAGGATTTCGCGTTTCTATGGAAAATTTTCCTTTGCGTCGTTCCAAAGAGCTCGTTGTGTATGATTACGGTTATCAGTTGTGGGATGAAGATCTTAGAAGGATCCTTGTTTTCCTCTTCTCTATCTGTCTTGTGAACTTGATCGACGTTTTCAGTTCGCACAGACTTAGATGTAATGTTATCAAAGGTCATCGTTTCTACAACTCCTCATCCATGATTTCTTCGTCTTCTGTCTGCCCGAGATGCTTACGACTGATGTTTCATCCTAGTCTTTTTGATGATCAAAAACCGACCTTGCTGGTGTGAACCCTTGTGTTCCCGTGTGAACACTTGTGTTTCCGTGTGAACACTTGTGTTTCCGTGTGAACACTTGTGTTTCCGTGTGAACACTTGTGTTTCCGTGTGAACCCTTGTGTTCCCGTGTGAACACTTGTGTTCCTGTGTGAACCCTTGTGTTCCCGTGTGAACCCTTGTGTTCCCGTGTGAACCCTTGTGTTCCCGTGTGAACCCTTGTGTTCCCGTGTGAACACTTGTGTTCCCGTGTGAACACTTGTGTTCCCGTGTGAACACTTGTGTTTCCGTGTGAACACTTGTGTTCCCGTGTAAACACGTGTGTTCCCGTCTGAACATTTCTGTTCCCGTGTGAACACTTGTGTTCCCTTGTGAACACTTGTGTTCCCGTGTGAACACTTGTGTTCCCGTCTGAACATTTCTGTTCCCGTGTGAACACTTGTGTTTAGCCAAACTTGTAATTTATATCACAGATTTCAGAAGGCGTGGTGCTGACCATACCAATGCCCGGGCACCCACCAGGCCGCCACCAGGAGCAGGTGGCCGTGTCTGCGGTTGAGCGCCTGCAGCAGCTCATAGCTGACCACGACGTCGTCTTCCTCCTCACCGACTCCAGGGAGAGCCGCTGGCTGCCTGCCCTCATAGGGGCCTCGATGAACAAGGTGCTGGCGTGTCATTTTTCCAATAGGCGCATTATTCATTCAGGAAAATGATTGGGTCAGAGTATCCGAATGGTGACGCTTTATTGCCCATAGCACGAGCAGAGAGTGGACAAGTTTCTAAGCGTGTTCTTTCTTAAAAAAAATATAACTCATTACTCACTGCACTGAGTGGCAGAGAGCGCATTTTCTTGTCGACGAAAACGTGAAGTCACGGACAGACAGACAGACGGACGGACATGACGAGCACAATAGTGCCTTTTTTCCATAAATGAGAAAATGCGCTAAAAGAGTACTTATTTACTCAGGAAAATGGTTGGTTCGTAGTGTCTAAATTGTGACATACGTTCTTAACTACTGCACGGATGGAGAGCGGACGTAAGAGTCCCTTTGCCAGGACAAAGTGGGTCAAGACAACCATACATGGTTAAAAAGTGCATCGCTATTTGGACAAAATCTCAGTAATATCTCAGATTTGACTGTATTTTTCTGCATATAGTTTCCTTATTGTGGTGCATTTTTCTTGATTCGATTGAAACAAATATTTCGTCTTGTGACATCAGTGTCTATTATGAGACTCTACTTATTTGGCTGTGTTTTATGTAACTCTATACATATATTCTTATTGCCAGAGCCATTGTTTTCATGTTGTAGTTTAAATGCCTTTATTGAGGCACGTCTCAACAAGGTGCTGCTCGTTTTTGCCAGATGACGAATCATTTTCAATTTATTACGACAAGTTTTCAATGTTATAATTTTATTTTTTATTTTTGTTTTTATCGGTTTACAGTTTTGCTCGTCATTGTTAAGTTAATTTTGTATTATCTCTTTCCACCAGATCGTGATCACTGCAGCACTAGGTTTTGATTCCTTCGTAGTCATCCGCCATGGCTCTAAGCCAAACCACGGCGCTGCTGTTGGTAAGATATTCATGTTCTCTTTTTTCTTTGTTCTATTTTCAGCATATAGTATTGAAACTGGCGAGCTGTGATGCACTGTATTTTCGTGACTATAATATTAATATCCGGTCCGTCGATGATACTTTAAGTGAAGACGTCGTATGTGTCAGGTTGTCCACCGCACCACAAATACTTGAGTAGCGGCTACCATATATAATTACATCACCATATGTGATGTAATTATATATAAGCTTCTCAGCTTATATTAGCCTATATAAGCTCCTCAAGCATCCCCTGAGATAATCGGAGTCCACTCACTAACAAACACTTTTCAGCTGCACTAGCAGCCAGCCTCTATTGCATCTACTTGAGACGACTCTGGCAATCGTATCTATAGCGATAGTGTTGATAACGATACCTGATCGATTCCTGTGATAGTACCTACCTCACCGTGTCTAACTTTGAATAAGTACTAATTAAGGATTCATATCTTTTTATTCATCCATATTGTATTATTAGGACATTATTTAGAACCTATCGTACCTCAGCAATGAATTCAGAGTTCAATTAAATAAAGCATTAATCAACGAATGTCATAGAAACGACATCATTAACTGTGCTACCAACGATGCCCGGACATATGTTAATTATGTCAAGCCATATTGATGTAATAGGCTTCCAGAAAATGTGTTGCTGGAATTCTATTTAGATGAAACATCTTGTGGCCGATGTTACGAGTCTTGCTAAGATCGTAGTTGTGATGTTAGTTATGCGGTGCTATTTCCAGAGAGCTGCACGGATCTGATCGACTACTCCTGCAAGTTGGTGCCCGGCCGCCATCTTGGCTGCTACTTCTGTAATGATGTCGCCGTGCCTGGAAACGTGAGTATCCTAATGAGTTTATGTTCAATATAGGTTACTAGATAAAAAGTTTAGCCTAATAAGTTTAAATTAAGTATAAGTTATAATATATTGAATTTAAAGCTTCAAATGCATAGCAGTATAACGTCAAACGTAGAAGCGAAGAGCCTGGGAAATAAGAAGCAATATTGAAATTAGAATCGTTGATGGAATACAAATTTCTAGTTAGGAAATAGTTCTGATCAAACTCAGCAGGTGAATTATTTATTCGGAAGGCTTGAATCCATTGAGGATGACAAAAATTTATCAGCGCCTAATGTAACGTTGACGCGTATTTTATGTCTATTGTTCTTCATGAGTTCATTTTTGCTCCGTTATTAATTCCTCGAATAAGTGGACTTTTTTCAAACCATTCGCTCAATGAGCCTGTCATAAAATTGGATGCCACTCGTTAGAAATAATTTTAATACACTTGTGCTTCTCCATCATGATATTTGTCTCTGTGTTTTTGCTTATGATAGTTCTGCTTTCTTTAGTCTTGCGATGCAATTCAATGCCACTCTTTAAAACTTATTTTAAAAATACTTGCGCTTTGACATCATTGGATTTCTCTATGCTTTTGCTGAAAATAGTATTATACTAATTTAATGATGCAATGAAATTGAATGTTATTTACTAGGAATGATATAAGACTACTTGTACTTCTCTCATTAGATTTTTCTCTTTGTAAACGATATAAAAATACTTTTAAGTATTCAATACAGAAATACTTCCATGTGTATTGCTAGTCTCAGGAGGACTCCTCTATCATTAGACTTTTCTCTTTATAAACTATTTAAAAATACTTATAACTATTCAATACAGAAATACTTCCCTGTGTATTGCTAGTCTCAGGAGGGCTTCTCTATCATTAGACTTTTCTCTTTATAAACTATTTAAAAATGCTTCTAACTATTCAGTACAGGAATAATTCTGTGTGTATTGCAGGAATGTTACAGAACCTGTTTGCTGCACAACTAATCCCCCACTGCTACTATTGCTAGTCTCAGGAGGACAGGACGCTGGACCAGCAGTGCACGGTGACGCGCCCCGGTGTGAGTCTCATGGCTGCCGCACAAGCCGCTGAGCTCCTCGCATCTCTCCTGCAACACCCGCTCAGGTCACGGTCTTTCTACAGCTTCTATTTCTACTAGTATTTGTGTACTATTTCTACGTCCTGTTTAACTATTTCTACAGCTTCTTTCTACTTTCTACAGCTTCTATTTCTACTAGTATTTCTATACTATTTCTACGTCCTGTTTCAGTATTTCTACAGCTTCTTTCTACGGCCTATTTTTACGATTTATTTTTGGTGTTTTTTGCTTTTACTATTACCTATATCCATGTTCGTCAGGAATGATTATGTGATAATAACATTACGCCCGTTCTCGGCTCTGTATTAGACAGGACGACGCATAATACTTAACCTTGCTGACTGTGATGATTTGTTTGCAGGCACGACGCCCCTAGCGGTCTGGGCAGCACCGAAGGCGTGCTAGGGGCGGTGCCCCACAGCGTGCGCATGTTCCTGAGCAGCCAACAGCTCCTGACCCCCACCAGCCCGGCATTCAAGCAGTGTTCTGCGTGTGGCCAACAGGTCTCTTCTTAAATATTTCTAACTTTTGTGTTTAATTTTTTGTGTGTTTCCCTGTGTATTGCTGTGTATAATGTTGAAATTTTGTTTAATTTTTTGTTTTTTGTGTTTTTTTTTCGTGTGACCCGGATGTTTGATTTTCTTTTGCACAGGCTTACTTGACTCGTTCTATGCCTCGGTTATGCCTAGTTTTCGTTGTGCCAAATTTAAAATTAGACTGTATAAATTGTTTAATGATTCGCCAATATCAAAGTATTTCGGAAGGTAATGTAATGACAACCTCTGGTTACCTCTTTGTACTGGACAGATCCTCGCAGCCTATGAGCGTGAAGGCACCAACTTGATCCTGAAGGTGCTGAACTCGTCCAAGCACCTCGGGGAGGTCAGTGGCATCGCCCAGCTCAAGGTGCCGCTCTTCGGCGAGGACCTCAGCGATTCCCTCTCAGAGGTGAGGGCGCCTCTCTGAGGAATCAATTTAATTATTATCTTGTTTTATTATAAATTCATTTTAATTAATAACTTAGTTCACATTTCTTATAGTAATTTATGTGAAGGTTGCTTCTGTCCTTCTGCCCTGTAACCGGGCAAGATAAGTTCATCTGTGTAGTCTTCCATGCATTTAGCGCTGAAAGATTTCATTTTTACGAATTATTTATTTGCTTACTGCGAAGTCCCAAGCTGCAGTTGTTAGTTTCTTGTTTTTTTTCTTATTTTCATGTTGTTAAATCTATGCAAATGTGTTAATTAAATCGTAGTATCACTTGGTTGCATCGTTTAATTAAAAATATCGTAATTTATCAACTATTTAAAGGTGGTTGTGAATGACTTTGTACGCAACAAACGATTGAACGCCTATAACTCTGCGAGAAGAAGCAAGAAGTATATAAATAAATAATGGGATATGTTGTCTTATATTCGTCCTTTGTATTAACTTTTTATGTAGGACCTCTTTTTAGCGCATTTTCTCATTTATGGAAAAAATGCACTGTTGTGCTTGCCATGTCCGTCTGTCTGTCTGTTTGTCTGTCTGTCTATCTGTCCGTCCGTGACTTCACGTTTTCGTCGAAGAGAAAATACGGTCTCTGTCACTCACTGCAGTGAGTACCTACTGAGTTATATATTTTTCAATTTGTTGTGTTTTCATCAACGATTTCTAATTATTCCTGTCATGTATGGGTTGGCTTAGTAGTTGAAGTTCAGAGCACTAAAATCGGAACAGTGAGTTGCGTGTTCGAGAGCCGCAACCAGCTGTGAGAATTTTTTGATGTTGAGAATCGCTGTTATCACTATTGTTACTATAATGTTTATCAATAGAAGCCTTATTTGTTCTACTTCGTGTGAATTAACGTATTTATTTCCTTCTCTACAGACGTTCTCCATATCGGACGAAGAGGCATCGTAGCTGCGTTAATCCTGAGATGGGATTAGTCAATTAGTTATTGTGATGGCTTCATTAATTGAAGAATATATCATTTTAATAAAATTAGCCACTGTCGACTATTCATTCAATATTATCAGATTGTTAGGTTGGGATTAAAACAAGCAACGGCTGGCATCACTTGCAAATTTTAACTTTGTGTTTAATTATTTAACGATTTAGTTCTGACTTCTATTTAAGCTGAAAGAAAATCAAATTCGCTCTCCGGGCTTTATTTCTGATACGTAGTTATAGTATATATGTTAAAGCCTTCTACACTGAAAATGAAGGGATAACTTTTTGGAATTTATACTGTAAGTGTACTCGAAGAGACTAATTATCTCAAATTTGATATGTAGTACGCGTGTTTTCTTTTAATAATGTCCCACATTTGTTCGGTCACTACAGGAAAATTTACTACATGAATGCTGTACCGATGCAAATTTTAACTTTGGGTTTAATTATTTAACTATTTTTAGTTCTGACTTCTATTTAAGCTGAGAGTAAATAAAATTCGCTCTCCGGGATTTATTTCTGACACGTATTTATTTTTATGTTGAAGCTTTTTACACTGAAAATGAAGGGATAACTCTTTACAATTTATACTGTAAGTGTACTCGAAGAGACTAATTATCTCAAATTTGATAAGCAGTACGCGTGTTTTTTTTTTTTTTTTTTTTTGATCATCATGTTCCACATTTGTTCGGTCACTACAGGAAAATTTACTACATGAATGCTGTACCGCAAAGGCTGTTGTCGGAAGCAAGGACAATAATTGATATCAAGTAAAAAACAATCTTAGACTAAATTCACTACAGTGCCTAACTTCACTTTACTACGGCCAAAGTCTAAACGCATTATGGAAACAATCTTTAAGTTTGGATGAAAAACTTTGAAGTCTGCTTAATTTCGCCAATAATCTTTATTTATGAATATAATTCATGTGTGCGGTGACACGAACGGCGTGGGCACGACATAGCGCACGTGGTGAAACTAGTGAGACATGTTTCAAATCTCGATGCACTTGTTTGTTACCTTGTGTGGGTACCAAATGGCATGACAAAAAGGCGTATCAGTATTACGTGCAGAAATTGTGTCACCATTTGGACAATGTGACCCATTTATTAACTTTTCTGACCGCGCTGCGCCGGGCCACTGGAGACGCGAGGCAATTAGGAAATTATTAAATTCGAATTCTACCCTTCCTGTCGCCTGATATTTTATTCTTAAGATACGTTTTTAGGTATCCCGACGATGTAGCGTTTCGTACATGCCAGGAATGAGGTGATTTCGTGAAAAAACAATTTTGTTTTTGCTTGAATTGTTAACATCAGTCGTTGCGCTGTTTATTTGTTGAACGCTCTCGGTAAAGACGAAAACATATCTGAACATTAACTATGAAACTGTGACCGACAGCGATTTGATATGCTACAGTACAGTTACTGTTGATCAAAATAGCTCTCTCAGAAATAGCGGAATGTACTCAAGGATCTAGTAAGGCATTTATAAGGTAAAACTGTATTATGACTTTTGAATGGATATTTAATTTCTTATCATGACCTTATCATGAAAATATTTCCATGAATGTTCTATAATTTAAACCAATTATCTGCACAGAATGTTTCGCGTCCATCTTTTGTAGACGAAATCTTATACCCCGTGTGTTTTAAAATTCAGTTTGTAAAACACGTAATTATATAAAGAGATATGCCTGTTTAGTTATGTGTGTAAATTTGTACCTTGAAAAGTATCTTCTTTGTTATTATCTCCTGAAAACCAGAGGCCACATTACTGAAAAAATGTTCAGTCATTCGCAACAGGCTAAGTACACGTAGCGGCAGATTTCTCCTCTATGATTGGTAGGTTTAGCTTGAAAAACTGCCAGTGAGTGGCTGAAAGAGCTGAAAACTCGTAACTATAATTCTTTTTTTTGATATTACGGCCCCTGAAGGTACAGAGTAACGGTACACCGTGCTGTAGCCCGTCTGAACGGGTCGGCAACCTGTTCACAGTTCAGACGGTTGGAAACAGCACCCGAGTGAGGTTAGCGCGGCCACTCGCTACGCGTGGGTGCCTGTTTTTGTTGTCTTGGTAAATGTGTACCATTATGCTGGGTGTTTATCGTTTTTCTGTTTCAGTGATTGAGTGCAGTTTGATGCAAGAAATATCAAATCGTTGACCTTGAAAAAGACGAACGATATTATTTAATTGGCGATATGAACACATTAACATCGTTACATCCTTCGATTGATTGGAATATTCACCGTTATATATGCGTGTTAATCCGAAATTTGAATTTTATAAAATTTGCAAAGCTTTTCCTATTAATTTTTTAAATTTAGTTAATAGGTTGTTTACTTTTTGTTCAAAATGCTACTATGCAATATACTATTTAGGTAATATAAAATGAACAGTACCTGAGACAACATTTTTAATTCATGTTATTCCGTTAAATCAGAAGCAACTGTGAACTATATCTAATATCTCTTGACTGAAGCAAAGCTATGTTTTCATCATTAGCTTCCAGTTATTGAAAATTGCAGTTATTCTCAAATTCGTTATCCTAGTAGAAAATTGTCTTAAATTTTCATTAATAATTATATTCTGGACGATCAAGTTTTTCACAATCAGTGAATAATTTAATCAATTTTTTTCATAACAGGCTTAAACTGAATACAAGCGCACATAAACTGAGGCAAATGCCTGAATCAATGTGATAAATTATACTACAGTAGAGCCCTGGAAGGGCAAATGTCTAATTTGCTTCAATCTCAATGTTAGGTCAACTGACGCAAGAGGATTCGGCGTAATTTCAGTAGATGTGCTCTCTGCACCATCATTGTATTAAAGAATTCGGTAAAGATCTCCCGTTCCCATTCTTTTATACACTGCGATGATTCCTCTTACATTATCTTCACTAATTGCATGAGGTGGTGCGGTTTTTCTTGTCTGCCGCTGTGCTGGTACAAGCGCAAAAAAAAACTGCGCCGAAAAAAACCTGCTCTAACAAAACTTGCAGGCGGTGGACTTGTTCTCTGCTCTACAAGGAAACCTGCAAGGATGTCATAACGACGAATTGTTGCACGAGCGACTATTTTGAAGATATCGTATCCTAATATTTTATTTTAGTATTTTTTATTGTGAGTAAAAAATTTGTCAACAGCTTTCTTATCTGAAAAACAAATTATTTGGTTCACCGTCGTAAAAGTGCTATAAATAATCGAACCTGAAAATTAGGTTTACTTGAAAAATTCCTGATTTCATTTTATTCATGAATTTCGTACTTATTTTTCGGCATTTAAAAAAATTCAATTATTTCAATCATTAATTTCTCATGTTTCATAGCATTAATAGTTTATTTTTCCTGAATAACGAAGTAAATTAATTCGATAGTTTTGAATGAATGGGCATGTGAATAATTCTGACTTAACTCTTAGAAATGTTCTGTCACAAACGCCGCTTAAGATGGAATCTTTTACACGGAAAGAGATTAGTGTGGCGGTTAGCATGTTTATTGTTGCTTTTGCTTGGCATCGTATGGATTTCAGACCAAACAAATCTGAACGTAGATCTAGAAAATGATATTACAAGCGATGCTTATGCGGACAGTCTTCCAGATGGTGACGGCGATAAATTTGAGTTTGGTTCGTTGGAAAATGATCGAAGGGTTGTCGAAAATTTGAATGACGTACAGTTTGTGTTCAGTAACTTACTGTGCTTCAACTCCTATGAAAATATTCCACGAAACCCTGAACGTGAAGCTTGGATCCGCGAGACATACGCTGAACTCGATGAACTAGCTTCCTACGAAAAGCTTCTAAGTCAACCACCCGATTCGAACTATGTAGAAAATATTCCACGTGATAACAGTGCGACCGAAGACCCAGAATTTGCGTACGTGAGAGAACGCACCGCTAACGCTACCGTCGTGCCGCCCTCGGGCCCTTCTCTGGTGCCAAATTATCATGCCGCTCTGGCGTTCGCTGTCGCACGAGTACGCGCGTCTCCAGACGGACCAGTCACTGCTTGCAACTTCCCCGACTTTACAGATGAGGTAATGTTCTTTTTACTCTCATTCTTTTATTTATATCTTCCACTTTGAGAAAATGTTTTCTTTTTTCAAGCAATGTTTCTTTCAGTGTCAATATATTCTTACTCTAGCTCCTAATGAGTACAGCTTTATAGATGAGCTGGTTTTCTATTGCTGATTCTTTTATTCCTATCTTCAACTCTACCTTTGAGGTCATAATTATTTTATGCTGAATTAATTTACTTATTCTTTCCCAAAATTTTACAACGTTTTTACTTTTCAATGTCCAAGAAATTAATGTATTAATTTTTAATTATCATTATTATTAGTGTACATGTATTATTCTTATTAGTGTATAACATTAATTATTAGTGTATGATTAATTATTATATTCTTACATCACAAAATTAAAATGGAAGACATAATGATTTCAGCTAAATGCAGTTAGGTCGGATTTTTTTCATTTCTGTCTTTCTTTCTTTGGTCTTTGCGACGTGGTTGCCCCAATAGCTCGAGGAAAAGCTTAAAATTAAAATGAAGTGAAAAGCTCCACATTGAATCATTATCTTATTTGTAATAACGAATAGTTACAATTAGGCCAAATTTATTTATTGGTATCGTCTTGGGGATGTAGTTACCCTGATGGCTCTAAGAAAAGCTCAAAATCAACTAATTCTCTCATTTGCAATGAATGTGTTGCATGTCACTAAGAATTTAACTCGCCAGGAGTCTGGGCACATCTGGCATCTGGCGCTGCGTCGGCTGGTGCTGGACGGCGCATGCGCGCGCCATGCAAGCTTCGCGGGCAGAACCCGCGCGCCCTGGGACTGCGTTTATTGGGACACTGCGACCCACCTCGGCTACTGTGCGCTGTTTAAGGTGCCTTCCTAATTCAGGTGGCTCTGGAGGGCTATTTAAGGTGCCTCCCTAATTCAGGTGGCTCTGGAGGGCTATTTAAGGTGCCTCCCTAATTAAGGTGGCTCTGAAGGGCTATTTAAGGTGCCTTCATAATTAAAATGGCTCTGGAGGGCTATTTAAGGTACCTCCCTAATTAAGGTGGCTCTGAAGGGCTATTTAAGGTGCCTTCATAATTAAGATGGCTCTGGAGGGCTATTTAAGGTGCCTTCCAAATTAAGGTAGCTCTGAAGGGCTATTTAAGGTGCCTTCCTAATTAAGGTAGCTCTGAAGGGCTATTTAAGGTGCCTTCCTAATTAAGGTAAGTTTGGAGGGCTATTTAATGTGCCTTCTTATTTAAGTAGCCTCTGAAAGGCTATTCAAAGTGCCTTCGTCAATGTGCCTTCACAATTTAAGGTGCGACGCACTTTGCACAACTGCGCGCTCTTCAAGTTGCCTGCTCATGCACACTACGAAAAATAAACTGGTCATATATAATCCTAATAGTGACCCACTTTCTTACATGGCACTGTATACGCCCTGTTGCAGAGCCAGAGTGAGTCAGGGTGACCCACTGAAGGACCAAAAATGCATCGCTGTATGGACAAAGTCACACTTATTTACCTCATTGCTACAGGTAGGGAGCACGTCGTGGATGAGTCACATGGTGGAGTGGCAGAGTGTGGACACCCACAGCCTGACGGACGGTCAAGTCCACGACGCTATGGACCTCCTCTACCCACGTCCCCCAGCCCACCGCCTCGCACAGGAGCTCGTGCGACATGACCTTCTGCTGTTCATGGTCCATCGACACCCATACGTTAGGTATCACTCAAAATAATTAATGGGTCGACATCCATACGTTAGGTATCACTCAAAATAATTAATGGGTCGACACCCATACGTTAAGTGGGCACAATAAGAAAATTTAATGCGTCACATTGCCCTAATAGCGACACACTTGCTGCGTGTACCTCGAATATGATTATTTCTCGGGCAAAACTAGGTCAAGATGACCCACACAGTCACTTTGATTTCTTTGCGTGCAGTTTGGCTCTTGACACGCACTCCATTATTTCCTGTCGGATTGTATTTAATGAGTATTAAGGTATTCCTGATATATTTCGGTGGTAATGCTCCATATCATCAAATCATTACCTTTAGCAATACAGTAAGCATTTATTAAGATATTTTGTGTATAATTTACGCAGCATTCGTCACAGATAACCTCAGCCTCGCAATGTAGCTCATTGCTTGCTATTCACCTGCCCACTTGATAATAAGGTTTCTCGCAAAAGTTCTGGAATTCACGTCATATATACAGCCAAATTTACGTCATATTACACTTGAATTTCTGTGTTATTTGAATGTGTTACTCCTCATAGAAATTGTATCCAGAGATTTAGTCGTGTGATATAGAAATTTTTTAGAGGAAATTTGTGCAACGTGAGTGATTAATTGTTCAAAAAATCATACTAACTTCGTTGATCAACGTTAAAATATGAAACTCATTATGTGCAATGCTTGAATCAGTGCTCTGTCCCCGCAGAATCGTGTCCGCGTACTACAACAAAGTAGAAACAGGCTATCGACCCATTAGCCGTTTGAAGTGGATTGCCTCCGTGCGCGGCAAGTCCTTGCACACAATCATGGAGGAGACCAAGCAAGCAATCAAGGAACACAATCTGTCCCTGGACAGCTACGCAGCCTTAGACCAACTCCTGACCGTCAGGGGTGACCCTAGTAAATCTGCCGACTTCGAAATGAACGGCGATCCAAACAACACAAATCCTTACATGACTTTCCAGGAGTTCGTACGTTATATCATCAAGGAGAATTTGTCGTGCTTCAGAGACGTCGCCTGTCTACGGAGGATTGATGAGCATTGGCAACCGCAACACGTGCAGTGCTCGCCGTGCTCCACGCATTATGACGTCATCTCGGCGGTATCTCATCGTTTTAACTTGTTATGTTTCTGAATCTATTTGCCCTCAGCAAATTTATTGGTAGACCGTAACTTACAGACCTTAAGAACTTATTGACCGGTGCCATCAATCACCAAATTTTAATGTTTTATTAATATTGATAATCCCACAATGATTAAGATTCCGTTGACTTATTGCTTATATTTGTAATGTGAGGAGTTTGGTGTTACAGTTGGGATCCGGCACACATTTAAAAAAATAATAAATAATTATTCTAAGGTTAACGATTCAAGGAAAGCAGGTATAAACAAAGAGACTTACCTCCTTCTAATATCACGGTTCTTTTCATTTCAGATGCACACTTTTGACCGCGACACGAGCCTTATGATGAAGCTCGTAGGCAGGGAAGACTACTACGCGAAGGCGGTCCAGCGCCGGGGCTCTCGTTTCCAAGATGCTGGCGACCAAAACTACACGACAGACGACCTTACTGTGGACAAAAAGCGACGCAATGTCGGTTTGGGCGAGAAATATTTCACCAAAACAATAAAGGAGCTCTCCACGCTCACTAGAGAAGAACAAAGGCTACTTTATGTCGCTAACTTTCTTGACTTTACTTTGTTTGGGTACTCGCCCGAAACAATCGAGTAAAATGAATGTAAATGCAATGACATCGTGTGATTCTTCAAATTCGGTAAACTTATTTTATTTTGTGGATCGTATAGGTGATGCTCCATAAAACGGCGCGTGATATTAGACTGGAATTATTTTTATCGTCAATATAAGTCAAGACATTGTTTCTTCAATATTTGTGATTTGTGTAAGAAACAACGTCTTTACCTTGATATTTATAGGACAAGTTCAATTATAATTTGACTTGGTCGTGCTTGGTTGGGCCTGTAATGTACAAACTTAAACTTTTTTATTTAATAGAGCGTTAGGTATCCTTCAGTTGTGTCTGTACTGTGCAAACATAAACTTTTATTTAATAGAGAGTCTCCTTCAGTTGTGTCTGCACTATTCAAACATAAATTTTTATTTATTGAAGAGTATCCTTATCCTCCTTCGTTGTTACGACATTTATTAAACATCAGCCGTTCGGCACGTCCAGTCCCTGAAATTTGTTAGGACAACAGCTACCGTGTTTCTAAATATTTAAGATGGAAGTGAAAGCATCCACAGTGCAAAAAGTCAACATTATCATGGGCTTACTTGACGGGATTGCAATTAGTCTATGACCGATTGCCATATACGGAAGACGATATACTATTTCCTCTGGCTTTACGGATGATATTCATGATTATTTCTGAGAAGACTGCATGAATGCATTAAATTTTCTGCACGAGAATTTTTTGCTGAATATTTTGACCTTTTGCACCAAGCATTTCTCCAGAGTTGCTTGAATGAACTGCAACGCAAGATGGAGTTTTTTCATTGGACGAACGTGCATTTCATCATTTTGTTGCTCAAAGTAAGTGGTACTAACACGAAGCATTCCATAATACGATTGTGTAGTGAATTTACATGAAAATTATTCTCGATAGTAATGAAAATATTCAGTTCCTGTCCAACGCATCGTATAAATTACTATTTGCTTAAACCTCGATACACAATTCTTGTGAGCAGGAGCTTTCCAATCTGGTTTCTGCTGAAGTGGAAATCGTTTCGACTCAAGTAACGAATTCTTCAGGAAATGCCTATGCATGTGAGTGTTAAATGTCTGATTAGGTATCACTCAGTGCAACATATTACCTTTATGGGTCATATTTTCTTGGTGATAATTTTTTTTACCACGTTTTTCTTCGTTTGGTGTCTGTCTATCATCGAAAATTTAGACCTTAATTTAGAGCTCTTCTGAACATCCTAGGAACTTGAAATTTGGCTTGCATGCTTATGCTGCCTAACAATTCAAGATTTGATCATCAAAAATAATTATTAAAAAAAAATTTAGAAAAAAATTAAGAAAAAAAAAACACTTAAATTCGCGGTTTGGAATTGAGTTTTTTCTTGAAGATCCACACTTGCCAACCCTGGAAATTGATTTGAATTGCTAAAATTGCTAACTAAAAAGTAGAAAATAAATAAATATTAAAAAAATATTTAAAAAAAAACACGTGTTTCTGGTTTTTACAAAACTAGAAATAATGAAATAAAACCAATAAAAAACTTTAAAAAACCACGTTTTCTTAACGGACAAAAAAGAAAACATTTACTCTTACATAACATTACGTAACATTTTAAATAACTTAAATGTTATGTATGAGTAAATGTTTTTCTTTTTTGTCCGTTAAGAAAACGTGTTTTTTTTTTTAAGTTTTTTATTGGTTTTATTTTTAGCAAAAGTTATTTTCCGATTTGCGATTACTTATTTTGATATTATTCGTGCTATGAATTAGAGGCCGTACTAACAAAAATTGTTCATAGTTCGCAACTACGTTAGCTAATCGCTGGAAGCTTTTCAAGCCATATATACCAGAGACGAGAAGTCAGCAGCTACGTGTACTTCCAAGCACCCACGTGTACATGAGCAATTTTCGATAGTACGGCCTCTGCACGGATGTATTGAAAAACGAATTTACGAGTTTTTATTTAGTTTATTAAATTCAACTTTAGATTTTCACGCACAGGTTCCTGTCCAGCACGGCAGCCGTGCTCTTGCTATACCGTGCGTGTACGTGAGCAATTTTCGATTGTACGACCTCTGCACGGATGTATTGAGAAACGAATTTAAGAGTTTTTAGTTTAATAAATTCAACTTTGGATTTTTACGCACAGGTTGCTGCCCAGCACGGCAGCCGTGCTCGTGCTATACCGTGCCCACGTGCTCGCTGCCCCAGGGCACGTCAGGCTTCTCTGCTCTCATGACGATCCCCGGCACCACGACCGCTCAACAGCTCTCGTATCTCCCGCACGAAACTAACAACGAAAACTTTAACCATTATTCCAAGGAGTTTAATACTGGTGAGTATTGAACTAGTATGTTCAATACTTCATTTTAAAACATCTTGTTGGCGCATTTTCTCATTTATGGAAAAATAAGGCGCTATTAAGCTCGTCATGTCCGTCAGTCCGTCTGTCTGTCCGTGAATTCACGGACGAGAAAATGAGCTCTCTGTTACTCACTGCAGTGAGTACTGAGTTATATTTTGTAAAGTTGCGCGATTTGAGTAATATTATAGTGTGATCTTATCTCATTTTGACATGGCAATTACTTGTATGAATTTATATAAATATGTACTAAGAAATAAGAAATATTAGATGAAACACGCGCAGTTGAATATTAAACTTGCACACAAGTTTACGATAAATCTAGCGGGGAAAATTCTATAGCCGTGTTGCTATGCTCTCTTTTTTTTACAAATATTTAGTTCATGAAAGGCCTCACTGTAAGTTTAGCGTCATATTTAAAAGTTAATGGTGTAATTAAGTACCTCATGTTTGCAGGAGTTTTATGCCATTATTCAATATACTTTTATTATAACAAGGTCTAATTTTTATCCCACTCTCTCGTCATTATTATTCTTAATCGTATATTCATATTTTGTTTCACTGAGTTACTATTTTTATTTGAGTGTGCTATTAATGTTTATTTTAAAATGTAAACTGTACAGGATGTCAGTACGGCGGAGTACAATACAGGACAGGAGAACTGATCACAGCAGAGTGTGCTGTGCTGCAGTGCTCCAGCCACACGACGGGTGAGTCGTGCTGCTGGTGCACGACGGGTGAGTTGTGATGCTGGTGCACGACGGGTGAGTCGTGCTGCTGGTACACGACGGGTGAGCCGTGCTGCTGGTCCACGACAGGTGAGCCGTGCTGCTGGTCCACGATTACTTCACTCAGGGAAATGAGTGAGACATTGTCCGAATAGCGATGCAGTTCTCGCCCCCTTGTCCTGATCCAGTCTGGCCCGGCTAAAAGGCGTATCAGTGCTACGTCGGTGATCTGATCGTATCAGTAAATGTGTTCCTATTTGCACAATTTTACCAATGAATTTTTCGTAGTGTTTTTTCTCAATATTCTATGTTGTATGCTAGCTATGTAAAAATGTTAGTCATTGTTGCAAATAAAAAAAAATTGTCATCTTGGTAGCCTCGTTTGTCTCTGAAAGGAACATTTATTGCGTGGGTGACACACGTAGGGTGCACTAAAAGAGATATGAATTACATTTTGTACAAATATCAATGCACCTTTTTGGCCTAATGTGAGGCATCTCGACCCACTTTGGTCCGGAAAAAAGGGTGTATCACCGCTATTGGATCGACCTGTGGGTGAAAACATTAGTCGCGATTAAGACATAATGAAACATTAATTTTTCTATATGTGAGAGTTAGGATATAAATTGCCGTATCCTTTTTGTCATTGTGTGGGTCATCCTGACACAGTTTGGCCGTGAAAAACGCGTATCTCAGAGCTACGTCTGCTCTCTGCTCCTACTGTGGTATGGAAGTGCGTCACTATATAAGCAATTAATCATATAATACAATATATATATATAATATGATACATTAATTATATAAATTAAATAATACAGTATATAAGTCACTATGTAAGACATTATAAGCCATTAATTCTCCCTGGCGCAGGCTTCACGTGGCGGTGAATGAGACGACGCCATGTGATGGTCCCATGTCGTGCTTCTCACACGTCCACGTCACGTCTGCTGAGGGCGTCTCTCTGAACCTCGTGACCACGTCTGCCCGACGTGTCCAGGTCCTGAACAGTACAATAATTAATTAATTAATGAACAACAATTAATAATTGAAGTAGAAACTTTGAACATTACAATAATTAATAATTGAAGTAGGAGGTTTGCACATTGAAATAATTAATTGATTAATGAACATTACAACATTTAATAATTAAGTAGAAGGTTTGAATATTACAATAATTAATTAATTATAGAACATTACAACAATTAATAATTAAAGTAGAAGTTTTGAACATTAGCACAATTATTTAATTAATGAATATTATAACAATTAATAATTAAAGTAGAAGGTTTGAACATTACAATAATTAATAAACCTTTTATTGGCATTCAGATCACTTGATTGCTTAGATCGTAAATTCAGCAAGAACTTGATAGCTAAGCAAATGACCGAAAAATTAACAATTTCTTTGCAGGAGAAAATGTTTAAGACTTTAGCTCCATCGTCAGTTCGAGATGATAGTACACAAGTACAAGTAGTGAATGAGAACTGAAGATATAAAAACCTAACTCGAGAAAAGGAAACAAATAAACATGAAATAAACATGAGTACACTTTTCGGAAAAATAATATGATAATCATGTTAACATGTCAACAGTTTAGGAAGATGAACTGATTATAAAATGTGGGCGTGTTTTCTCTACGGCCATATGAAATTCAAATTATGATGCATAAAATTTTGAATTTCTCGATCAATTTCGAATAATTGCAAAATTTTGTATAATTTTAGAATGACATTACTGAACTTTTTATTGATTTTTTCTTTACAAGGAGAATTGATATCCAAATGCACACTTTCTATTACAATGTTCAATTGAACAAAATTGATTTGTTTGATGGCGAACGTCGTTAATTCAGGTATGAATTCACCCCAAATTGTTCAACTATACAGACTCATTTAATATAGTTTCGTCGCGAATAGCTCGCACTCCATCTTGTCATCTATAGTTTCAGTTACTAAAGGTACACAAACATATAATTAATCACAACAAAGTTTTCTCGTAAGAAGAAGAAATATATTTTTATTTTAAGTTAAATATTAATCAGATTAATGTTATTATAGGCGTTATGTTAATCAGGTATGGTACCGAGGGCAAGAACAACCTGTCGGCGAGGCTGGGATCACCATTGAGGGCGTGGGGGGCGTGTGGAGAACAGGACAAAGTGTACGGGTGCTACTGCCGGGTACTATGCTGGTAGGTATCCGGTACCTGAATCAAATTTAAACTGAAGTAGGTTGCAGTATTTAAAAAATGTTCGTTATTAAATGACGTAATTCTGTAATAAGGCGTTATTAAGTTCCAACACACTACTAAGTTGAAGGGTGGTTAAACTTCACACTTTTTATCACTCTTTTCAAACCTTCGTAAATTCTGACGCCAGCACATTTTTAACTAGCATGCCATTATATGTAACCTGTATCTTGTTGATCTTGAGAAGCTTGATGTCACAATCCTGCACTTTCATTGGTTACGTCTGGTTAACTTCGGCAGGTTGAGATAAAAAAGATTTGAAATTAATTATACAAGATCCTCCACTTCGGCGCGTTTCGTTAAATGAGGACTAAGCTGCTAATTTTTTTCAGCTCCTAACTTTTTCAGCTGCTGTGAATGTACTCATCCATGATACCTAAAACTATAATAGAGATGGCATCCGTTTAACATTTAACTTGTATATCTGTAATATAAATATATTTCAGTTATATATTAAACAGATACCCATCTATAAAATTATGCCAGAGATGGGTATCTGTTTAAAATTAAACTGCATAAACAAATTGAGTTCAGAAATTGCAAAGTTCGCAATGTCCCTCAGGTTGAAGTGAGCCTTCATCGCATCGTTATATGGGCCAGCACTTCTCTAGCTGGCAGCATCAGCGGCATGTGTGGCTTCTACGACTTCAACGTTATGAATGACGTCACATATTCACTCTCCATCGCCGACTCCGAGCGTCTACAACAACGCATCAAGAAAACCATGGATGAAATGTTCGATCAACGTGCCATCCTGCTGAAAAGCGCTGTCTCAGGCTTGTCTTTTTCCAACGGAAGCTCCAACAACGATTCCGAAATTTCGAATTACGAAGAAAACACTGAGGATATCTTTTCTAACTCGACAGCAGATGAATATATTCATTCCAACGATTCATTATCCTTTGCTGGAGGTTTCCGAACAATGAAGCTTAATGCGATTCCTGGAAACGGTTCGTTTAGCTCCGGAAATAAGATGCGTGGCGATTCGTCTGATTCGCTGGAAGATGGAAGTCTCGAGCGCACTTTTTATGCCGGGGAAAGTAGAAGTAAATTTGGAGGCGTTATTTCGTCAGCGATTAAATCCTTGGAACGATTTGTTACTTTTTGGCGATACCAGGTACGTATTTTTCGATACCAGATACGTGTTGCCTGAAGCTAAATTTTTCTATTGCGGGAACGATTTTGTTGAAGTATTGGGCGACCGTTGACTGTATCATAAAGAATATTTTAAGTGATGTATTCGAAATCTAAGTCCATAATTGGCCAAAACTGATGGCGAATTTAAGGTTTAAGTGCTGTTTTTAACAAAATCCGGAGATAATGAAAGGTTTGAATGTCTTGCAGAGCGACAGCCAGGAGCGTCCGGCTGACGTGAGTGTGACCAGAAGGGTTTGGCTGAGACTTACGATATAGAATCAAACGTTGCGTTGGTTTATTTGGCAAAATTAAATTCGAATAAATAATGTAACAATTCATATAAACAAGACTAAAAAGTTTATTTCGTCTTTAATTTTGTATGAGCTAATTTTTTCTCAATAATTTTTAAAGTTTTCTTCGGAAATAAAAATATTAGAGATTAATAACTGGTGGATAAAAACATATCTTGTTAATACCCAAGTATTGTTACCGATACTGTCGATTTATTGTTTAGTCAATGGACGTTTTTGATCAATCCTTTAGCGCTGCTTTTATATTTGTAATTAATTGTGATTAAAAGAATAAAAAGGAAGCAAAAGGTTTGATTCAAAATGAAGCAAAATGAGCAAAAATATAATTGAAGAATTAAGAGCAAGTAAGTATGTTTAAACGAAATATAATTCTAAATAAATGAAAATATCTAAAAACTCTGAACTGCAGGTCTCGGACAGCTGTACGCGGTTGGTGCCAGAGGTGCGTCAGGGCTTAACGTCACAGTGCGTCGACGCAACTAAAATAAATTTACGCGTAATCCGCATCTCACTTGATGATGAGGAGTTCACGAGGCTTATTGGTACGAAAACTTCATTTCCTTGTTCTTTAAATTTGGTGCATGTTACTTAATTTCTAGAGATGCCATAACTAAGGGAATATACACTTTTATGGCTCGGTATATTGTACAAAAAAAATTGGAAACCTTCTCTATCTATCATTTGTAGCTAAAATGTTATGATAATTATTGGATGCATAATAAATGCGTCGGCATTCATGAATTTAACTGTTTGTAGAAAAATCATTAGCTAACAAACTTTATTGTTGTCATTTTCGTGTTAAATATTTATACATTTTCGTTTTGTTATGATTTTTAGCGCATTTTCTCATTTATGGAAAAAATGCCCTATTGTGCTCGTCATGTCCGTCCGTCCGTCTGCCTGTCCGTCCGTGACTTCACGTTTTCGTCGACGAGAAAATGCGCTCTCTTTCACTCACTGCAGTGAGTACTGAGATATATTTTTTATTTAATGTACAGACGTATGCATGAGCGTCGTCTGCTCGTGCTCCCCGATGAAGGCATGTATTCCTCAAGCTCTTGCGCTGGTGAAGCTCGAGATTTTCCGAGTCAAGAACAAACTTCCAGGTACACAAGCAATGTCATTCCTATGCCTCTGATTTCATCACTTCGTAATATTCATGTTACTTACAAATTGATTTTTTATTTGTTTGGTATTGCGTCAAACAGCCTAATTCTATAACAAAATTTTCGTTGGAAATTCTTCCTGTTCAGCGCGATTATCCTGTTACAAGTTAAATGTACTTAAAATTTATATCGAGTCAGTCCATTTTAGTATTATGTGACATTTCTTTGAAATTAATTTTATGTCGGTTCACTTTGTATGTATTTTTTCCAGCGCGCATGGATGTAGCCGAAGGAGTGCAGAGATACCCTGAAGGCAGCGTAGTGTATCTAAGATGCCACAAATTCCAAATGCTGGGGAATAAACTTCATCCTATAAATGCAGTTAACCCAGCATGTACGTAACTTTAACTTTATTCCTATTACATTTAAATTTCCTATTTCCTTATTAGTTTAAAAAATAACTTTTTTAATTAATTTTCAACTTCCTGCAAAGATCCGGCAATCCAAGCAAAGACTGCCATCACGCACTAGTGCGAGATTAACTTCAAATATAGACGACATAAATGACATATGTTTAATGTAAGCTGGGTCCGTCCTATCAAACTGGCCTGTGTGTGTATATACCTGGCGGTAGATTTTTCGTCCGCGATTGGCGGAGTTTATAAAATCGCCTGTAATTGGCTGCCGGAGTTACAAAGTTGTAACTATTTTTGATAGTGCGGCTGCAGACACTAACAGCTACAATTTGTACCTGTAATTCACGGCAGGTTGTCAGCATGGCGGCGAGTTCATCATGCCAGGCAGGAAGTTGTCTGTGAACTGCCGTGAGCTGCAGTGTCAAGACGGTCACCTGGCACCTCTCGGCAGCCGTTCTCCTCTCTGTAATGATAGACTATCATTATCATTCCTTGACTCAGTTCACTATTCTTCCTTGATTCAGTTCACTATCATTCCTTGAGCCAGTTCACTATTCCTCCTTGACTCAATTCACTATCATTCCTTGAGCCAGTTCACTATTCCTCCTTGACTCAATTCACTATCATTCCATAACTCAGTTCATTATCATTCCTTGAGCCACTTCACTATTCTTCTTGACTCAGTTTACTATCAACCCTTGACCCAGTTCCCCATTCCTCCTTGACTCAGTGCACTATCATTCCTTGACTCAGTTCACTATCATTCCTTGACTCAGTTCACTATCATTCCTTGATCCAGTTCTCCATTCCTCCNAAGTTGTAACTATTTTTGATAGTGCGGCTGCAGACACTAACAGCTACAATTTGTACCTGTAATTCACGGCAGGTTGTCAGCATGGCGGCGAGTTCATCATGCCAGGCAGGAAGTTGTCTGTGAACTGCCGTGAGCTGCAGTGTCAAGACGGTCACCTGGCACCTCTCGGCAGCCGTTCTCCTCTCTGTAATGATAGACTATCATTATCATTCCTTGACTCAGTTCACTATTCTTCCTTGATTCAGTTCACTATCATTCCTTGAGCCAGTTCACTATTCCTCCTTGACTCAATTCACTATCATTCCTTGAGCCAGTTCACTATTCCTCCTTGACTCAATTCACTATCATTCCATAACTCAGTTCATTATCATTCCTTGAGCCACTTCACTATTCTTCTTGACTCAGTTTACTATCAACCCTTGACCCAGTTCCCCATTCCTCCTTGACTCAGTGCACTATCATTCCTTGACTCAGTTCACTATCATTCCTTGACTCAGTTCACTATCATTCCTTGATCCAGTTCTCCATTCCTCCTTGACTCAATTCATTATCATTCCTTGACTCATTTCACTACCATTCCTTGACTCAGTTCACTATCATTTCTTGACTCAGTTCACTATCATTTCTTGACTCAGTTCACTATCATTCCTTGACTCAGTGCACTATCATTCCTTGATCCAGTTCTCCATTCCTCCTTGACTCAATTCATTATCATTCCTTGACTCAATTCATTATCATTCCTTGACTCATTTCACTACCATTCCTTGACTCATTTCACTACCATTCCTTGACTCAGTTCACTATCATTTCTTGACTCAGTTCACTATCATTCCTTGACCCAGTTCACAATTCCTCCTTGACTGAAGTCATTATCATTCCTTGAGCTACTTCACTATTCCTCCTTGAGTCAGTTCACTATCATTCCATGACCCAGTTCACCATTCCTCCTTGACTCAGTTCACTATCATTCCTTGACACAGTTCACTATTCCTCCTTGACTCAGTGCATTATCATTCCTTGACCCAGTTCACTATTCCTCCTTGATTCAGTTCGCTATCATTCCTTGGCCCAGTTCACTATTACTCCTTGACACAGTTCACTATCAATACTTGACCCAGTTCACTATCATTCCTTGACCCAGTTTAAATGAGTAATGGTTAAATGAGCAAACATTTGTTCTCTTGTTTCGTAAGAAACTGATTTCCTCTGAAACTACAACCAAATAAAACAAATGGCAAAGAAAAATGTTCAACGCCGAATCAAATTCAAAGCCGCAATAAATATAAATTCTAAATTAAATGTACGTAAAAATATTTCAAACTTACGTTATGCAGGTTGCAGTATTGACGACACGCTGCTGGAGTCAGGATCGCACGTCACCGTGGGCTGCGTTCACTACCTCTGCGACCGCGGCGAACTGCTCACACACAACCTCGTGCCGGGGCGCTGTGAGTCCAATATACCTCTTCATCCTTTATATACCTCTTCATCCTTTATGTACCTCTTCATCCTTTATATACCTCTTCATCCTTTATGTACCTCTTCATCCTTTATATACCGCTATTAGTTTTATTACCATGGTTTTTATTATTACTGTTGCTTCCTATGAACACTAACACTGCCTTTTCTTTGTCATCGAATTTCAATTTAAAAAGTTTCACTAACCTGTGCAATAGCATAATATATTTTTCAACAACGATTACGAGAGAAGTTTGAAAAAGGGAAAAGTATCCCTGAATTGTCAAATCCTGCTGAAATATTTTATTGTTTCTCTAGTTTATATTTTTCGTACTGGTCGCAGGCAGCTCGTGTGTGCTAACCATGGACGGTTTTTTGAAGACGTTCTCTGGAACGACACTTAGACTACTCAATGGGTCAGGGACGTACTCCCTGCTCTCTGAGACGTCGGACTCTGACCAAGACCAGCCTGAAGTTACGGTCTGGGTGTCCGAAACTACCGAGGAGGGTGAGGGATTTTTTATTAATTAATGTATGGCAATAGAAATTTTGAGTTTTGTTTTATATATGAATTCATTGCATTTTGATATATGGATCATATACCATAGAATGTTCTGATGGTATATTTTTGTATACTTCTCTGCCTGCCATAAAAAGTAATTATCGCTTAAGTGAAAATTATTACTTCAATATCATTAACCTTAAATGTTAAAATTATTCTTAACATTAGCTTCTTCTAGACTTATTTTCGTTGATACTCATTTTTTCTTGCATGTTACCATTATCACATTATTATGAACATACGCTTGTTTGACACTGGTTTTTATTGATAATAATTGTCTATTGAGTAGCTGATGGTGGACCGCCCTGCCTACGACGACTCAGAGTCTCGGGTAGCGTGGACGTTGATAACACCAGAGCTGCCAACGACTCTTGCCCTCATCTCTTCGATGCCTTCACTTCTACTTTCAAGGTGAACAAAGTCGATTTTTTATGCCTTCACTTCAGTCAAGGCGAAGAAATTTTGTTTTATAAATAACTCTAAATTTATTTTAAACATGGACAATTACCACCTCATTAGGCTGCTCGATAAGTTCACTAAAATATATCGATAATGTTCCAAAATTATATTGCCAACACACCCAGTTTCTCACCCGCATTCTATAATGAGTGACAACGTTTTTCAACTCCTAAGCTAAATTAATAACAGTTTCACCAACTGTTTCAGCGAAAGTTTCCTCAATCTCATTATTGTCACGTTCCATATTCTTTCACCGAGCACAGCCTACTTGCTGCTATTCTTTATAAAATTATGCCTATTCTTTTACCAGTGTAAGCCTACATGCTGCTGTTTAAACTAGAAGCGGATAATGCAAATTGTTAGTACTATCGGCTAACATTATCCCTATCTACAGGAGCCTTAATGATTATCTGCAAGAAAGTAACTAGCTGATGGCGTTAAGTAAATCCTTCATTCCGTACCCAGATATTGGTAGACGCGACGTCTGATATCGGCTAACATTATCCTCGTCTACAGGAGCCTTAATGATTATCTGCCAGCAAGTAACTCGCTGATGGCGTTAAGTAAATCCTTCATTCCGTGCCCAGATATTGGTAGACGCGATTTTACCAGTGTAAGCCTACATGCTGCTGTTTAAGCTAGATGCGGATAATGCTATAACCGCTAATACTATCGTCTAATATTATCCCCGTCTACAGGAGCCTTAATGATTATCTGCCAGCAAAAGACTCGCTGAAGGCGTTAAGTAAATCCTTCATTCCGTACCCAGATATTGGTAGACGCGACGTCTGCTGTCGGCTAACATTATCCCCGTCCACAGGAACCTTAATGATTATCTGCCAGCAAAAAACTCGCTGATGGCTTTAAGTAAATCCTTCATTCCGTACCCAGATATTGGTAGACGTGACGTCTGCTGTCGGCTAACATTATCCCCGTCTACAGGAACCTTAATGATTATCTGCCAGCAAAAAACTCGCTGATGGCGTTAAGTAAATCCTTCATTCCGTACCCAGATATTGGTAGACGTGACGTCTGCTCCAGACGACGGAGTAGCCAGGCTCTGGCGAACGAACGGAGGAGTGAGGATCTCTCAGGCATGGCCACTCTCGTCAACGAAAATCTTGGTAAGGTCTCGCAGTATTCAATTATACTCTTATGCCGTATAATGCATCAATTTCATTTATCTTTCTAATATTTTTTTTATATTTCTTATATTTGCAAAGAGGATTTTTGAATTATTTTGCTGAATAGATATATCTAGCGGTTAAATTCGTCATGGAGTGCGTTTTTCTTTTGCGGTGTATTTCTGAAAAAAATGCATGCCATAGCAATGTTAGTAATTGAATCGTGTTGTAAACTAATCAGTTGATGGTGATATGCATTGAATTTTTGATTCATTGTGTTTGAACCCAAGATTCATCCATTGTAAAATTTGTTTTCCCCCGAATTTCAGATATTTTGGATAATCTATTCGATTTCGGCTTCGTGTGTTCGAATAAATATATTCGAACACATTTTCTTGCTCTTATTACTTTATACTTGTTTTGACTCCTGATTTTCTCGTAATAATTGATTAATAATTATTGAAAAAATAAATAAATAAATCAATTAATTAATTATTGAAGCATATGATGCCATCTTTTGCTGTCCATGACACTCGCTGCAGGTGGAGTACAACCTCGGAGGTCTGGTGATATGGGCGCCCACGGAGGCCCTTGAAGGAGCCTCAGGACTTTGTGTGGGAGGCAGCATCCCTCGCGGCAATCTCACGCTATCCAACATCCTCCATTTCCACACGAGTGCCAGCGCCAAGCATGAGTATTCTACTCGTTATGCTCAAGATTTGCTGTCCCCATGTATGCTGGTGGATGCGCGCACTCTAAGCTACATCAGCACGGAATGTTCTTCGACTAAAACACTCACCGGGATCAGCTTCAGGTCCGCCATGACATTGCAAGACCGTTGCAAATACCTGTGGTGTTCAGCGCCTGGTCGCAACCTCACCAGATTATGGAGAGCCGCTTTTACTAATGCAATGTCTATTTGGACGCACGTTTCTGAAACTTTAGACACCAGTTGTTACGTCGGTGCAGTTAGGCACTTGGAAGGAGCTACGTTCTATTATCAATGTGAAGAAATGGGTTGTTACAAAGGCGATTCCATACCTACCGGCAACCGTAATCCATCCTGCTGTGAATACGATGGTTCATGGTACGGAAGTGGGTCAAGTTTCTCTTCATCTTGTGTTCAATTCTTCTGCGACTCCGGCGTGGTGATCAGACGCAGTGAGCTGAGCCGTGAGTGTTGCACGCTCGGCAACGTGACACTGACGCATGAGCAGGAACTGGTCGTCGGCTGCTCGCTTCTGCGCTGTTTTAACGGCCGTCTTTCTGGCACCGCCCGCCCGCTGGAGTCTTGTGAGTGATCAACGATGGAATCCAATAAAAAAACGTAATAGTGTTAAATTTCTATTAAAGTTGATTAGAATTTATTATGTTCACCGTTGTCGCAATGAAATGTATCTTGTAAGACTAATTATTACATTTTCACGAATACCACAACTAAGAAGAAAAATGATCGAAGTATATCAAGTGCCTCTTTCATGAATATTTAAATATCGGGAAATTCGTTTCAAGGTAAAAATTTTGTATTGTTTACTGGCATGCAGGCGCAACGTGCCTGCTCGTGCCCGGCCTGAACCTTGTCACGTTCGCTGGCCAGACGCGCGCGTGGCAGTCGCTGTGCGCGTATACGCTACTCACCGTGCGTAATTTATGTTTGTATAATAACAAACTGTTTTTTAAAATGTTCCTTGTATTATTCTGATCAATTTATGTTTTATTCCTTAATAGTTGATTGCTTGAAGTCGTGTACAAAATTTTATTTAATCATGTTTAAAATGTCCCTGAAATTTTTATGATCAGTTTTCTGTTGTATTCCTTAATAGATGATTCAGGCGACATTGCTTATAGGATTGCGTGCAGTAACATTGTAATACTCCTATTTTAATGATAAAACTTTGTTTTGTGTACAGATTGAGGAAGTGAAGCTCTCGGTGACTACACAATTCGACGACTGTGCTATGAAATTCTTATCACCGCACATCAGTTGCGTCAAGACTGTTACCGTGGAGCAGCACGGCGACTTCAGCATTACCCTTTCTGGACATCAGCATGAAGTTTGTCATCAACTTAGCATTGTGATCCCTTGTTTAATAATACGTCAATTTATGAGGCCATTTACATAGCGACTGCTCTTCGATAGTTAGTTGCTATTCACTTAGGCTTCATTTCAATGACCAATTTTTATTCCTTTTTATTAACAACTCTACGGAAAAGTCTGATGTTTAACAACAAAAACCACGTATTAAGAATTAAAGTCTCAAGTAAAAATAATCTCATTACAAATGCTTGCGATGTCACCTTGATAAGCATACTGGAACAAACTGAGATTATCAAATAGAATTTTTACATCTATTGCCAATGTCTAATGAAATGAAAAACAAATTTAAAAGGTCTTCAATGTTACGCTAATTGCTAAAGTGCATGATGTGTAATGTTTGTGCAGTACAAATCAAAGGCAAATGTACAACGGGCAAGCACACAGCTGCAGTATCAGGGCACTGCAGCTGTGTGGGCAGTACAGGGAGGAATTAGAGTACTTACTGCCAACGGCGTTATGGTGAGTGCCACACAAGCAATGATCATTCCTCGTCAAGCTAATAATCCGTTCTTAATCATACAGATGTGTACAAAGTTATATTGTGCTCGTGGACAGATGATTTACTGAAAGCCTTATATTTCATGTCTCGGAATTTCGTCACTGTACAAAAATTGTACTAAATCAAGTTTTTAACAATGAGATTCCTGCTTCTATATTTAATTCTTATAGCAGCGATGTTTCAGTCCACTCAGGCCTGATGCGTCAAAATATTATAATTTGCATAGGTGGAGTCTCGGCTCGGGAGTGAATTAATGCTATATGCTTTAACTAATTAACTAATGTGTGTAATTAAGCTATGTGTGTAATTGCTTGTCTATTGAAGTGAAATGTGTGTAATTAATCTAATCTACTCGCACATTAATCTACTCACACATTATCTACTCACATTATCTACTCGCACATTATCTACTCACACATCTACTCGCACATTAATCTACTCACACATTAATCTACTCGCAAATTAATCTAATTGAAATGTGTGTAATTAAGCTATATGCTTCTATATTTAATTCTTATATCAGCGAGGTCCCAGTCCACTCAGGCTTGATGCGTCAAAATATTATAATTTGCACAGGTGGAGTCTCGGCTCGGAAGTGTCGTGTTGTGGGTGCCTATGCATCAGCAAGGGAAAGTTAATGGACTTTGTGGAGAGTTTGCAGCCAGTCGGGACCCCGCATCCCCTCTCACGAGAGAGACCCCTGCAAGTTATTACTCAATACTCTACCGTCAAAGCAACAACGTATCTTCGAATTTATTAAAACTACTAAACACGGACCAAATCGAAAATACTTACGAGCTTCGCAACACAACTGGGAATGCCAGTCTCGTAGCTACAGGTCCATCAGTGACGACCATCACAGGTGCGAAGGTCGTGTTTGAACACACCGAGATGGTCGAGAAGAATTCGCAACAGGAGAGCGTCGGCAATACCACTACCACCAATAGGGTGTTGGTGGCAACTGTGTTCACGGAACAGGCCTACCATGAAATCCTCGAGAAATGGAAGGTACCATCGACAAAATTGACTGTAAGATGACTAAATTAAGCTAACATCTACATATAATTGTTGACAATTTATTTGAAATGTCGGTATTTTGCATGATGAATGATTACTTCAGTATACAAGATCAGAAAGCAGCTTTGTTCGCTGTCTTAACTTCAGTAAGATATTTCCTACCGTAATTCTCGAGAAATAAACAGAACCGATGGCACAATTGACTGTCTAATTGACTATATGCTGTGTGGCTGCACGTTTCAAAAACTCATTTGAAATTCCAGTATTTTACAGGATTATTTTATTTAAACTAGTTCAGAGAGTACAGCTTTGTTTGCTCTGTTAACTTCTGTACTATAATTCGTTCAATACGACCACCATTTATAGGCAAGTTGTTCCAAGTAAATTCAAATCTTTTTCTGTAATGTGCGACGTTTTTTATTAATTATTTTTCATCCTCCGCAGGTGTCCGAATGCAAAGACCGACTCGAAATCTCCGTGAGTAAATTAATAATTATTCGCTTGTGTTTTAAAATGAATGTAACTAAATTAATGCAAACTATAAACGCCATGCACTCCAGGTTATGGTATTATTGAACGATGATGTATCGAAAAAAAAATTGAATTATTTCTAGGACTTAATGTTTTTTAAATGATGTGTTGAGAAATCTAGATCTGCATTGTCCGCAACTTTTATTTTCGTTTGCAGGCTGTAAGAGTGACAAGAATTTTCTTGTATTCATAATTACATCGATACATTAAGAAATGTTGCTTTCTTTCGCACTATTTTTTGAGTAACTATTATTTTGATATTTTCTTTTGAGCAGTTTTTTTTCTAATTTTTGTTCGTCTTTTCGCCATGACAATATTTCGTAAGTACCACTTCCTTATTACTAGTAGTATGAAGCACACGTATTTGAGACGTTATGATTGTACTGGACACTCAGAGAATTGAGTGAGTCTTTTTACGAATATAATAATATAAGATGCACTATTAACATTATATGGGTCATCCTGACCCGGTTTGGCCGAGCAAAAGGGCATATCAGTGCAATCTACTCGTGCTGCGGTTGCGAAAGCTTATCACAATTTGGACACTGTCTAATTTGTTTTTGTGAGTGTACGACACGTGCTTACAGAGCTCGAGCTTTACAGAGCTCGTGCTTTACAGAGCTCGTGCTTTACAGAGCTCATGCTCGCTGGTCTCGGTCAGAGGTGAGGTGCACGTCGAGACCTGCCTCGCTGTGCTGCAGAGTCTCGACCAGTCTCTGCTCTGCGACAACTTCCTGCCTCACCAGCAGTTCTGGGCTGGTCAGAATTATGATTTATTTGATAATAATACTATTAATATATTACTGTCGTACCACATTGCTACTACTGCTGCCCTACACTGATACATTGCCACTAATACAATGCTATTATACTAAGAGTATACTGCTGCAGTGATTCATAGTTTGTACCAGCACATTACTACTACTGGTATGCTTGTGCCACGCGTATTTACCTTCCACTGTATAGTTCGATTGATGAACCCTGATATATAGTTATTAAGGGCGATTATTGGATTTTCCTGTTATTTAATGTAACTTTATACGGTAAACATAATAGTACAAAAGTTTGATGACGTATAACCACTGCAATTCGAAGATATGTATATATCTGCGAGAAATTGGCCGAACTCGCGATGCATGTCCGGACACTTGATTTTTTATTTTATTTTGAATTTTAAGACTATCTTGAACGAATGAATGATATTTTTACCGAAAAAACTGTGAAATTTGTAGAAGTAAATAAGTGATGAAAATTACGATTCTCGATCTGCATCGTAATATAGCAATATGCATACGTTGTTTATATTTATGCTTTGCTTAGCCAGAACTAGAGTGACGGCTAATTCAATTAAGTATTCAAATTATTCATAAACTACACAAAATTTGATTCACATATGCTTTGAATAATGCCATTATTTTATTCTAATATGTACCTAGATTTCACTAACGTGAAAAAATACAACACCTACATTACTGGTGATAATATCTCTTCGAAGAATATTGAATACACTTACTTTGCTTGTGTTAATGCGTCCTCCTGGAATAGTGAATACACTTACTTTACTCGTGTTCAATATGTCTGCCTTGAATACAATCAATGCACTTACTTCACTTGTGTTGATCACTTTACTTTAGGTAAAGTGACTACTTTACTTTAAGTACTTTACTTACTGGTCATAATACGCGCTACTTGACTTGACACACCCCGCGCAGACGTGTGTCGGGATGTGTTGTGCGCGTGTGTCGAGGGGCTGCAGAAGAAGTGTCTCGAACACATCAGAGATGACGTCAGCTACCATGCGACAGCCGTGTGTACGGCCCTGCAAGGTCAGCTGCTGATAGTCGACAAGTCAGTGAGGTCAGCAGCTGGTAGCTGACAAGTCAGTGAGGTCAGCAGCTGGTAGCTGACAATAATTAAGTCAGCGAGTTCAGCAGCTGGTAGCTGACAAGTCAATGAGGTCAGCTGCTGATAGTCGACAAGTCAGTGAGGTCAGCAGCTGGTAGCTGACAAGTCAATGAGGTCAGCAGCTGGTAGCTGACAAGTCAGTGAGATCAGCTGCTGGTAACTGACAAGGCAGCGAGGTCAGCATCTGACAAATCCTATAACCAGTATCAGCTCTCTGGCAATTTGGTTATCAGTTAACGAGTGGTTTCTCTGGACAGATTTACTGGGAAAATTTTAAGCTTGAAATTAACATAATGATTCAAAAAAAAAAGCTCAGCGATCTCTGCAGCTCTGTAAACTTGTAGATCTTTTAGTGATAGTTACTCTCGCCAAAAATAATAGTTATTTATTATAGCTATAGCTTATTTTCCACAATTTCAGCGCCCGGTTGCCGCTGGGATGGCGTGGTGCAGCCTGAAGGGGTGCTGGGCTACCGTGCGTGTCACGAGTACGTGTGTCGCAACGGACGCTTCCTTCGCACGTCTCGCGTCCATCCATCGTGTAAAAATCTCGCAAATTATATATTTAGCGCAGTGAATTTTATTTTCTAAATACTCACCTATCCAGAACATGGATAGTTTTAATGTTAAAAACAGGAATCTGTCAAAAATGTGTTTCCTTAGCTTCCTGATGAAATCATTGATAAAAATCTACGGAATTTGCTAACATTATTTAATTACATTTATATTGTGAATAGAAATCCATTTTGTTCTCATTTTGAAAGTGTATTACAATTTATTTCTGACTCGTTTGATCTCTATTTTCGATTTGATAAAAACTTAGACTAAAAATTATGAGATCATTTAAAAAACTTTTAATTCGCATCTATATTATTATTTAATACTATACATATATTATTCTACATCTATTTATTATATATTTAATATATTTATATAATAATATATTCCATTTATATTTATCGGTATTAAAAATTGCATTTAGGCTGCGTGTTGTCAGCTGATGAGCTGCAGCTGCCAGACGCGCGATGGTTCTCAGGCTGCGCGGAGCAGCTCTGCGTCAACGGCAGCGTCGTCACCACCGGACTCCGTGACCCCAACTGTACGTTCACTCAGAGAAATGTGAGACTTTGTCCAAATAACGACGCACTTTTTGTCCTAGTGTGGGTCATGCTGGCCCCATTTGCTCGGGTAGACGTAAAGGACGTATGAATGCTACGGTCGCTCGCTGGTCGTGCTGTCTGCAAGGAAGTGTGTCGATATTTTGGTGTCGATATTTTTACCACATGAACCATTCATTTTTGTGTTTGTTCTTATTCTCCCTTTAATATTTAAATCGTTGCAGAAACGCGCGGTTCCACTGAAATCTATTTATCGAATAAAAATTCTAGAAAATTTTCGAGAAATTCGTGTTGATCAGTGAAAATATTAGGAACAAACTAACGATTAATAATTAATTTACCCATACTTCTTGGTTATATTTAATAGTTCTTACTGTTGGGCAAGAAACTTGTATTGCGTGTATTCTTCAGTACGTAATTTGTTAAGGCTTTTTTCTGGAATATCGAGCATCATGATTGTTTATTTAATTTTATTTGAAATTGTTTATTTATCTCAATATATGCGAGAGTGTGGTCGCAGGTTGTGAGTACGGCGGAGTGCAGTACGAGGCTGGCCAGATCCTGTCACAGCACTGCGCGCAACTGCAGTGTCGGCGCGGGGTTATAGCCCCAACTGGATATCTGCTAACTAACTGTAAGCCACTCTTGTGTACTGCAAGCAACTGCTTTATACTGTAAGACATGGTTGTGTACTATAAGCAACTGCTTTATTTTGTAAGACATGGTTGTGTACAGTAAGCAACTGCTCTATACTGTAACTGCTATATTCTGTAAGCAACTGCTGTATTCGATAAGCAACAGATCTATACTGTAAGCAATGTTGTTAACTATAAACAACTGCTGTATACTGTGGGCAACTGTTGCATACTGTAAGCAACTGCTCTATAACTCTGTATGTCTCAAAGCAACTGTCGTTCAACCATGCTTGTATGCCTAATAACTGTGCCTAATAACTTCAATCAAATGTGATTGAAGGTTTCACCGTTTCATTGAAGACATCACAATTAAGGTATTGTACCAGACGTACAGTACTGCACTCACTCCTTGCAGATTGTGTCAGACGTACCGTTTCATTGTGTCATTGAAGGCATCACAATCAAGGTATTGTACCAGACGTAAAGTACTACACTCACTCCTCGCAGGTTCTTGGTGCCAAGTGTACAGCAGCGGTCACATCCTCACGTTCAGCGGGCACGCGTACAACTGGCGAGTCAAGTGTAACTACTCCCTCACACAACTGGGTCCGTCGCTACAGCCGCCCGTGGGGGTGTTCGTGGAGCTCGAGTTTTGCCCGGCTCTCTTCCAGGTTTTTAATTATTTATTTATTTATTTTAGTTGGTTTGAAGACTTGTTGTGTCAAAAGTACTTCCCAGCCTGGTACCTGTCAAAGTCTCTTTTAGGTGAACCATACCAAACATGTTTGCTTCTGATTTTTGAGTATTAATCCACATACAAATTGAGTGATGGTTCTTAGAATATGGGCGGGTATTTTTGAAATTTTTTATAAATGTGGATGGAAAATTTCAATGCAAAGTCCTTGCAGATGAAGAATTCAGAAACAGAATATTTATTGACAGATTTTGATACACGTTATGAGAGGTGATATTAATTCTTGATATTACGATGCCAGGGCCACCCTGGATGCCTGGGCACTCTTTCGTTCCGAGACTCCGCAGACTTTACATTCGACGTCGGCAGGAAAGAAATTGGCTGGGTGAGCGGCTGTCGTGAATTTTAACATTTAGCATTTATGGAAATCTTCAGTTTCCGAATTTATTTACTTGAAAGCATCGCTCCGAATCAGGTATATGTCTTGCTATTGCATCAAATGTTGTGATGCAATATATTAAATAATATAAAATAAATTTCATCAAATGTTGTGATTTAATATATTATATAATATAAAAAATATTGCGTCAAATATTGTGTTATAATATATTATATAATATAATTATGTAATATATAATATAATCAAATCTTGTAACGCTTAACACATCACCATATGCCACCAGCTCACCGTAAACGGCCGTGACGTGCAACTAACCGACGACATCCACCACTTCGGTGGCAACCGAGCCTGGAGGCACGGCAGATCCACGCGCATCCTCGGCTCCTTTGGCATTTTCGTGAGTTAATTATTAGTTGCAGTTAAAAACCACACATGAAAACATATTTATCCTGAATAATGTTTATTTATAATTTACTGTGGGCATAGTGCGCGTCCACATTAGTGCAGATTCTAACTGTGAAGAAGTTTTTCAACATAAATATAGTGGATCGCTCAATTTTATCCTGTAGTGTTTATGACCTTTAATTTTGTTCAATGTTTAACGTATATGCTCATTAATATTCAGAGGCAACTTTCAAATGAAAGATTTCTACTCAATTCTCAAGAGTTTGCGTAAAATGATGAATTTCCTCGGTTGCTCAGGTGGAGTATGGCGGAGGTCACATTTTGGTGGGCGTTCCACATTCGGAGTTTAGCTCGCAACTTCACGGCCTCTGTGGGGACGTTCCAGATGCTCTTGTCCCCACGTTACCTCGAAGCTCCCCAGCTACCACCGCCAGCCTCACCACGTCCCCCAGCCTCAGTAGAATGCAAAGAAGTGTCGATGCAGAAGTACTTACATTTACGATGGAACCATCACCCACGCTCAGCCATGACGATACAAACGTGAATAATTTGACGGAAAACTTGTGTCACGTCAACGACAACGTGCGAAGAGTTGAACGTTCCAATGAAGTTCTTATGAATAATCCAAGCAACTCCACGAAGGACAAGAATTTGTACAGCACCAACGTTGTCTTTGAATCTCGCTCAGGCAAAACGAATAATTTCAATGCTTTCGTTGATTCGTGGAAGGTTCGTGAATGGATTTTCCGGGATATTGTACAAACAATGGAGAAAAAGCAGAAACTTTTTAGCGAGATATGAGTTGTTCTATTGGCTATTGCCAAACATATAAATTGCCTATTGTGCCTATAGAACGTGTAAATTGTTCTATTGCCAACGATTCATGTAAATGTTCATTATTATTTTACCATTTAATTGTCAAAGTTTATAGTGAAACTTTCCGAACTTATTCCACCACTTAATACCCTTATTTTTTCTCCCGCAGACAAGTGAATGTTTCCGCGGAATAAATGAGGTAAGTGGAATGAAGTCGTATTTTATCATATTAACTCCTAACATTAATTAACATTTATACTCTTTATTTTCAATCGAAAAACGAAAGTGTCTTCCTCACCGAGAATCTTCTCATGTTGAGTGATCGTGGTAAATTGAGAATCGTGGTTGCATCGGTAAAATATGATAGTTCGCGAAGATAGTAGAGGGTATTCTAAAAATTATATGAAGGTGTAGGTAATTTCGTCGTCACGCTTTGATAATCAGATATTATCCTGGCAATAGGGCCAGCACAGAATCGGAGGGATATTTTTGCCACGTTCATTTAATTAATGCTGAAAGCATTTCACTTGTGATTTAATAACACACATTAACAGGACCGTGAGCCGTGCTCTCTGAGAGCCGCTGGCAGCCTGAAGCTCCTCATGAAACAATGCAGCGACGCTTTGGGTGGCATCGCTGAGCCGCCTTCCCAGCAAATGATGCACATACATGCAGGTATTCTGTATTAATTGTGTGATTAACGTGCCAACAACCAGACTGATATGATGGAAATTTCAATCAAATGAAGATATTAATATCCTGGGGCCATATTTTCGAAATCTGCTAAAGTACAGGTAGTGTCCTAAGTGCACGTTGCAGCCTAAACTTGCATAAAAGAAAAACTTCTGCCTAATTATACTAATGTTGCAGCCTACGTACACTCTACACTGATATCTCGTCTTTGATTTGTGGTTTTGGCTTGAAAAGCCGTAGGTGATTGGCTGATGCTTCACGGTCTTAACTATTTTTCATAATACGGTTTCTGATTAAGATTTTCTTACATTCGGCATTATTTATTTTATTATGTGCGAAGCGAATTGCGCTGCGGACTTATGCGCATGCCTGGAAGGACGGGAGCGCATATGCCTGCGCGCCATCGTCGGCAACTTCGAGCGCATGGAACTGAGTCTGCACTTCGAGGCATATCGTTAGTGTGCATAATTTCAGTATAGAATCTAAATTTATCAAAAAATAAATCTCTCTGGGTAAACTTCAATTCTTGTGTAATGTTTTCAATATAATTTTATGAATAGTATTATAGTTTTTATATAGTATAGAACGGTAATAAAGTAATAGTTCAAATTAGATCAATTGCTAATGAAGCCGCGTTTTTTGCCACGTTGACTTAAAGGAATTTAGAATACGATCTATCGTATAATCAAGATAAATGAATTTGTTGTAAAGGTGACAGTACATAAACTTTTGTATACGAATATGGATATTCATTGGTTTGACCTGAATTATACTGTTCGAAGTTTTAGGATTAGATCAGTGACATGCGGGTTCGAGACTCCAGTAAGCTGTATGAATTGTGCTAGGTCTGGAATCTGCGTAGAGACTGATTCACCCTATTAAACACTTAATTAAACTATAATAATAAATGCATTACGACAGCTACGGCTGGCTGCCTTACTGGCTGGATCAAGCTGGATGCAGACTACTACTGCTTCTCTAACACGCACGAGCGAGCTTCCTGGAGAGACGCGGCCGCCTCCTGCCAGGCTCTGGGAGGCTCGTTGGCAACCCTCCACGACCCGCGGCAACACGTCCACTTCATACAAACTCTTACGGGTGCGCCCGAAAAACTTGCATCGTTTTTATTTTCAGGATTTTTGTCTATAAATTGAAATTTCATTAAAAAATTATTTATGACTGACTGGTGTTCTCTTAATCAAATATTTTTTATTGAAATTTATTTATGTATTTTCTGATTTTATTGAAATTTTATGAGCTTGTTTAAATTAAGTAGGGTATATTGATGGGAATTTTTGTTCAAACACAATTCCTTCAGTTTCTTTAGAACGCAGTTTCAACGGCGACGTAAAAATAACATGAGAAGAAACACGAACTTCCCGATTTATTCTTCATCGAACATTGGTAAATATAGGTAATTTTCTTGGCCTATTATTTTATGATTGTATAATGTATATTTGACTTTGATCTTGCGTAACTAAGCGCTTTCAACTCATGGTGGGCAGCGTTCGGTAACCAGTACTGGGTGGGGGCCACCAACAATCTGGTGGTTGATGACAATGAGGTGAAGTGGATCTGGAGCGACAGAGCGATCTACAAGGACGATTTTCTCATCACAAACAGGGTGAACCTCTTGAAGTTCATTAACAATTTTCGGGACCTTTGTAATGTTTAAAATTATTCCCGGGAACGTTTTGGGTGCAATAATATTCAGTTATGGGAATCTTATCAAGGGGAAAATTCGCATAAAAAACCGATGTTCTTGCATTTTTTAATTGAACCATATTTAAAAAGTGCATAGAATCGCTCTGAAAAAATAAGCATGATTATTTTAATTTAGTTCGAATGCGCTCGTACTTTTATTTCACAGTTAAAATAGTAAAGATATAATTCTGGCTCAACGATTGTTGACAAATTTACATTCTATGCTGAATTCAGTGGTTCACTTCGGTTTGAACTTAAATTTTTATGCTTCAAGTAAATATTTATTCACAGATTCGAGATGGGCGAGATATAGCAACTTGCCTAAGCTTGCAGTCCAACGGCAGTGTTATGGGAGTGCCCAAAATATGCCACGACAAATTGCAGTTCATTTGTCGCCGAACTTCTCTGCAGCCACATGGTATGTCCTACCAAATTGTACCTAACATATCGTGATTAAGCTGTGACGATTGCAATTTTACGTCACAAGTATTAAGAGTCAGTGATATTTATGTTACTTTCTCTAGGCTATTTTGTATACTTTGTTTATCCATTAAACACTTACAGCTTTCATTCACTTATCTAACCCATCAATCCATTCGTCCATTCTTGTTTGTGCTCTCAATGAACAATTTTCTCATTACTCAATTTTCTCATTCTCATTGCTCATTTCTCAATTTGAATAAATAAGCGAAACCTGCACCAATGAACCCATTCTACTCAACTGCAGTAAAGTTCCGACAATTACTATAAGATTACTCCCAAATTTTCCAGGAATAAATATATAACGAATTTCCGCCATTTCTTTGATCTTGGATTCCTGGGGTCTGATCAGAACCACAAATTAAGAAGCAAAGAAAAATGAAATAAAAGTTACTATATCATTATTTTTTCTTGGTAAATTTGCGATGGTGACAATCAAATGATCTTCGTACTCTTCAAAAGCATTACTATAATTAGGTACAAGGGTGCCTACAAATGCAGATTTTATTGATTTCACCTCATATCTCTTTAAATTATATTTGAACTTCAGACAATGTAAACCCCCCTTCATCGGACGCCTGTCCGGCCGGGTTCTACTACATCGCTGGCAGCTGCTACCTCGTGTCGGGCGTAGCCACGACCTGGCGTACGGCGCACGACGCCTGCAGCCTTGCCTCTCCAGGCGCTGCGCTCGCCTCCTTCACAGACCAGGCGCACTGGGACTACTTCAGAGAGTATCTCAGCTCATGGCGATTCAGTGGTATGTTTTATTCATATTCATTTTAGCTCATATTCAAGTCCTGCAATTAGTTTTAGAATCAAGTTCTGTTTTACTTACATAAATTACTTTTTCGGCCAAACCTCTCACCTTGTTTGCCGTTGTTTTCGAAATAAAATCATATTCACCTGAACACACTCGTTAATAACAAGAATCATTCCAATTCATGTTAATTCCATCGCTACGACACAAATTTGATTCATTCTCCGTTTGTTTTATTGTAGGATCAACAAGTCTGTGGGTGTCGCTCAGTCGGTCAGTCACAAGTATGGGGAAGTTCTCATGGGTTTGGAGGGGCAGTGAGCTCGTCAGCCCCTGGATATGGGGACCTAGTGTCACCTTCCCCGACGAATACGAATGTGGGGCTCTGGACAGCGACGTGGAATTCAAGGCTGTTCCTTTAGCTTGCTCTTCCTCGAATCGTTTCCTGTGTCAAGCCAAGCCATCGGTCTCTCTGGAGCCACTACAACCACCGCATGCTCGTTCAGGTCCGATTAAAAAAAATTCGCTTTGAAAGTCGAAACCAAGTTTGAAACCAATGTCTCGAAACAGTGCTCGTTTATGAGAAAAATTATTCCCGAGTAATGATTTGCGAAAATATCTGAAAAAATAGCTAATTCTACATTTTTTTCTTTGTCTATCACATGTTCTTGCCAGATGAATAACGCTAACCTACAACTTCTAAACGGAATTAATTGATATGGGCATTGTAATCACTCATATGATCCAATGTATGAATTCATTTAGAACTCATTTTGCTTCAATAAATTCAACCATTACAATGTGCTAATCGGCCCAACACCTACAGAAGGAGGACCCTGTTCTTCAGGATGGACACTCAGCAACAGCAGCGGCTGTCTGTTCATATCGTCCGCGGTGACGGACTGGTACAGCGCTCGGTCCGTCTGCCGGGCTTACGGTGGACAGCTTCTAAACGCCCCTGACCATCGTGTGTGGCTGTCCATTGCTCGGGAGCTCAGAGGTGTGTTGTGTTCAAAAATAATTATGAAACCAATGTACAATAATGTGAATATCATGTGTCAAATCATACAAAAAAAAAACGCAACCTGAAAGAATTGCTGTTGTCCAATTTTCCTGTGCATGTTTTTCACAACTGAATTATTTGCAGTTAATGCATGAATTAAATGTGCATCATGATTGTACTGTCTTACTTTCTTTCGATCGTGTATCACAGTAAATGCTTACTCCATATGATAAAACATTAAACCCTATATCTTAATTATTATTCTTTCGTTGCAATCAATATCCTTATGACCTATGCCATATTATTTGAGGACCACAGCCTCGCGCCAACATTCATATCATTAAGTACTTGATTCAATTTCAGAGCGTGATGCTAGTCGTAATAACTCAGACTCTTCACATCCTGGGTTCTGGGTGAGTGCTAGTGACTCAGAATACTCGTGGCCCCGACAATGGCTTTGGGAAACACGCCACGCCGTTCAACAGGAATTTCTGAAGACTAATTCTTCATCTGTTATCCCATCACATGCCAATTCAACTCTAACGACGACTGCAAGGACCAGCATAACGACCTATCAAATGAAATTGCGTTCGCTAGAAACCTCGCGTTATCGAACTTATTATTCACAGAAAAGGTTGAATGTTCCACGAAATTACTTCAGGTTTACCACAAACGTGAATGGAAGTATCAAGTCAAAACACTTAATCCTCTCTAGTGAATCGTTCTCCACGTCCATGAAGTGGTCGTCGTACACGTCTGCTTTAACTGTGAAAGGAAAAGAAGCATCAGTTCGCGTGCCTTTTGCAGACCAAGTACTGAAGGCGAACTGTCTGTACGCCGAAGCTCGTCTTGGTTACGATAGTCGCATCGCTTCCTGTTTAACAGAGAAAGCTTTCCTTTGCCAGAAGGAAGAACAGAAGCGTAAGTTGAATTTACCGAGTTAAAATTATCCAGAACTTCTACTGTATAGCTATACTTTCTCTCGAATTATTTCCATTCTTCTGCTAACATTTTTGACTAGGTCGTCTCATTCACTGCGTGTGCAATTTAGCAGCGTATAATTGTTTTCGACGAAGAGTGTAATTTATTGAAGGTAACGTTTGATTATTCGTCATTGCATCGTAAATGCAATAAATATTTGATAACAATAGACGAGCATGCATGCTTAGCAAAGTGTATCGTTCTCGAGGTATAACATGAATCCTTTTCATATCTAGGGCCGTGTAAGGACGGATTCTTCGCGTTCGGCGACGTTTGTGTTCAGGCGTCTTCATCGAGCGCCTCGTGGCTGGCGGCGTCCCGTCAATGTGAAGCGCAGGGCGCGACGCTTGCCGTCTTCCAGGACCTGAAAATGTGGGCTGACTTTGCTCGATACATCGAACAAGCTTCCACTCACTGTGAGTTGCGTCATGACAGTGCGTTAGTTTTGAATGCAAGGTAATTATGGTACAAATTTTGTTATCCTTTCATATCATGTTTAATGATAAATGGTATTCCCTTCTATTTCGCAGTCCCTTAAACAGGTTTAATGAGATCTGGAATACATTTAGATATTTTTCGTCCGGGATTATTTCTTCTTGAGCTTCTTAATAAATCAGATACGAAAAATGAAACGATTAGCAAGCCCCGACTGATATTAGCCTTCATAGATTGTAGGTTGGCAATTTTAGTTCGACCAGGCGGCAACTATATACGTGTATATTTTTTCGGCGATTTTTGGATCCTTTATTTACTTTTCACTTTGCGAGCGAATTTTCCCCTCAATTCCCCCTTCCATTGCCTATTTTATACGTTTGCTTACCATTACTTAATTTACAATTGGAAATTTTAATCATACTTGTCATTCGTATACATAACAACCATTTACCGACTATATTCGGGTTCTTCACGCTTACGACTACGAATGCAATACACTCCAACATTAATCACACTTACTGATATGAACACAATATGCATACAATATATTTCTCCATACTGTTTTATAAAGTAGCAAGGTTGCAGTTTTAATCGTATTGACTGTTATTTTTGTTATTAGTACAAAGGCGCTTTTGGGTGGGCGCCAGTGACCGGGGCAACGGCTCCCGAGGTTACGTCTGGACCGACGGCAGCAACATCCAGCCCACACTTTGGCACGAGCTCGAATTTTACGCCACTGATGTACGGCTTCTATGTATACGATAATTTCTCTCATCATCTTGATATCTATGGTTGCTTTACATAGAAAATTTCAATATCCTACCCAATATCTTTGCTCTTATTTATTACAATCGTTTCCTCGTTCATAGGTCCCTTCGTATGTAACTTATTCTCGAAGTTCGGTTGTACCATACGTCACGATAATAACAATAACAATAATAATAATGACAATAATAAAATGAATACCGGTAATTATAATAATAATAATCGTAAAAGATAATGAGTTATTGTAGTTTTCTATGAACCAGTTCATTTCATTAGTATTATGTTTTTCATTCATCGCGTTGCGTGAGCAGATTCCAGGAGCCTCCTCCTCGCGCTGCGTATACGCTGACGGGGCAGAACATCTGACGCTGCGCTCCGTCCCCTGCAGCGCCGCCATGTGGTTCCTCTGCTTCATGCGCGCCGGTGCTACTCAAGACCCTGCAGGTAAAACGGCTTTTAAATTTTTAGTTTAAAGTATTTAAAGTATTAAAGTTTTTATTAATTTTAAATTTATTTATTCAAATATTAATATTGATCTGTCAACGAATGGAGATTTATTACAATAACACAATCGAAAATGAGAGTAGACATTTATCTATGCATATAAAACTTGTTTTATTAGCAAAATCAAAATCAAAATTTGTGTTATAGTAGAGGAGAAATTTATGTTTTCTACTAATTTTTGGACATTTAAAATTTTTCACGTAATTAATTAATCATTTCCACGTAGTTTATTTTACGAAATCAATTCCTCTCCTTTGGCGGTTTAATTCCGCTCAAAAATTGATTAAGATCGCTTCAATAGGTGCTGTGTCTGAACATTCAACGAATGCAAACTTATTCATGCCTCATAATCTAGGAGGCCCAAAGGTCGAAAACAAAATCAAAAGAGCAGCGCGTGAAGCTCCTTCGCCTCCTCCAGGCGGAGCGCCTCTGGACACAGTGTCCCCAGCGTCGTCCTACGCGGCACCGGAAACTTGTAATTAATAAGCAATTGTTAATTATAATAATTAAAAGCAATTATTAATCATGATAAGTAATACTTGTAATTATATTAATAGGAATGTAAAAGTGGTTCACGTTATTCATGGTTTTGACGTAACTGATATGCAAATTAGATAACGATTAATTTAATAAGTTGCTGAGAGTTTTACCCCTACTATCGGTGAGGCTTGACAGTTTTTGGTTCAAAAACGCAAATAAATTTGACGAATTATTTGAGTTTGTGAGGATTAGGAAATTTGTTGCACTGTGAAATTTCACCGATAATAATAAATAATAGTCTTATCCGAACAGTCTTTCAATTCTTCAAATCATGATATCTGATATTGGTTCCATAGAAAGATACAATTTTAATGTAATTAAATAGTTTGATGTACATGTTTGAATAGGACAGATTTCCTCAATGAATTAGTGTGCTTTTTTTCAGCAAAATTTTTATTTTCTCATAGCTTGCTTACCTAATTTTCATTGGTTTGCATAATTTTCCCTTGGATTAACGTCCACATGTATACCCAGCGTCTCCATTTTCTACGCTGGTTTCCCTGAACAACCGAACGTTTGGCGTGTTGCCCTTTGACCTGCCGTGGGGAGCTGCCGTGAGCGCGTGCGCCAGGTTCATGGGCCACATCGCAGAGTTCAGCAGCGCCGCTGAGCACAACGATGTTATGCAAGCCCTCCACGACGTCCATGGAGCACCTGGTAGGGCAGTCTGCTGTAAAAAAATTAATTATTTTACTTATTTATATTTTTTTAATACATGTTATATAATAAGATATTTTCATTTAAATAGATACTAATATACAAAATGAAAACATTCTTTCTTGCTAGCTTTGTTTAGATTTTTTCTTATAGCACCAATGTGCTTACACTAAATGCCTACTGAAACTGCATAAAATTTATTCCATTTAATGACGCGTAAGATTGCTTATCTATGAGTATTTTGTAAGGGATGGCGATTGAGTCACATAACTATCCGGAATTTTAATGTACTATGATTTCGCGTATTCCTCTGTTGTAAAGTTGTGTCAATATTGTGTTAAAGTGCAACTTAATAGATCTAAATGCTCTCGTTAACACGTTATCATACGTTTTTTTATTATATTATTATACGTGCGCAGAAGAGGTGTGGCTGGGAGGCCGCAACTGGAACAGCGTTGCCCCAGAGCTGTGGGTGTGGGAACAAAGTAAATATTTAATCCCCAGCGATTTATGGCCCGGAAATTCATCAAACATTCCCCTCGAGAACAGTGGGCAAGATCGTTTATCGTTCACTCCACTGTGTTTGATTTCCAGGAGGCAATCCTTTTCTTCAGGGAACAATCAAAGTATAGAAACTAACCTACAGAAAAATTCATTTGAAACGCAAGAACATCACTACGAGGTTAATTTCCAGGCTGAAGCTCGTGCCGGCGATATTGGAATACTTCGCGAAGGTTCACTGGATGGTAGTGAAGTTGATTTAAATGCGGTCACACGAAAGTCGAGTCAATTCACTCTTGCTGAACGGTGGTGTGACGCCAGGTTTCCAGTTTTGTGTGAAGTCCAGAAAAGTGGTGAGAATTGATTCAGGAACTCGATATTTTAAAACATAATATTTTCTTGTAAGTACTAATATGTTGACACTTTATTCTGAAGAGCATGTAGAATGTTTTTTTAGCTGCCGAAGATCTGGTAAAATTTATGAACAGAAAGACATTGCATCATCTTTTCAAATAAATATTCCACGGGAATGCGCTTTCGATGAATAATTGTAATATTTGTAAGATAATTAATATAATCTTAAATAACATCTTAGATGAAGAAGCCCTCAAACCTCTCTGCGCCCCTGAGTATACTTCAGTGGACAACGGGTGCGTGAGGATCGTGAGACGAGGGGGGACATATCCAGAGGCTGCGAGGGACTGTGAGTGGGGCGGTGGTGGGGTCCTTGCCCGCGATCAGCTCCTGAACACGACACTCGAGCTAGCTATCCAGCACGCAACTTCGTGTGAGACTGAGAACTAGAATAAACTGATGGTGTAGTTAGTAAGAAAATTGCTAAGAAAACGACAAAAAAATACTGTCAGTCGTTGACGAGCAATTAGTTTACAAGGATACGAATAACAAGGATACGAATAACAGTTAAATCAAATTTTCAAGAGTTTTCGTAGAAAGTTTCGAATAGTAAAACTTATATTCAAGAAAATTCCTGACAGTTCTCATTGAAGGATTTCGGATTGGTGATTTACTTTAAAAATAATGATTTTTTATTAGGTTTCAACTAATTTAATTGAATATCAACTATGTCCACGCTCTTCGCTCGCCCACAGACCGCGGCTTCTACTGGGTACGGCGAGACAATTTATCGACAGAGGATGAGTGCCCAATTTATGCATTAGGTTTCCCTGCAACGATCAAGGACAAACCAATTTTGCAAACTACCACCGTCAGCATCAGCAGCCCCGATAATGACATCGTCGCCCAGAGCAATGAAGAATTGAGCAGCACCAACAACCTGACCTCGAACACACTGTCTGCGGGAGCTTCAAGGCCCCACAGAGACACCAGCATCGAGCATAGTGATGATGTCCTCATCTCTGCCGAGATTAAATTGAACTTAAATGCAAGCGAAGCCGATGCACAGAGTCAACCAGTCACAATTACCGACGCTGTGACAGAGGGAGTCATTGAAGACCACAATGTCGGCGAGCAAATGGCCCGCGCTTCCTGCAATCAAACGAGGCGGTACATATGCTGGGCAAAGAAAACTTTCTCCCGCGTCGAAGAAGGTGAGACGAACTTATATTAGACCATGACTTTAATTCGTATTGTTTTGTAATATTAGACCATGCATTTAATTTGTACTACACATGCATGCATTTAAATGAAACAGTTTATGATTGCGAGGATAAATTCAAATCAATTATAATATTTTGAAATTCATTATGAATTTTTTGCTAATTCTACGAAAATGTTAAATAAGCACTTTTCAGAATTAGCTTTAGATTGCTTTCGAAACTTGCGCAGGTTACATGTTAGACTTATCGTCGTTGAAGGTGAATTGTTGACGAATTTTTTCGTAGCTCATTTCTGATGCTAAAATCCATAAAAGACAATAAGTTTTTCTTTAATTTCTTTTCAGATCTCTTGCTGAAGGACTTACTATTCTGATGAAAAACAAACAACAAAAGAAACCTGGCAGAGCAAGCGAAATGCGTAGTTGGCTGGAAGAATCGTTTAGTAGAATTGGCCAGTGTTTTGTTGTGGGGGTTTATATATACTAAGATGCATACTTTACAGTGAAACAATTAGACGATATTCTTCGCATTCATTGGATGTATTGTAAAATTTAAAATTTATTCACAATGTCTATAATTTTTTCGTTTACTTGATAGAAAGTTATACACAATTTTCAAGTTAAAATAAACTCTAAACCTAAGGTTAAGTTATTATGTTACAATTATATAATTGTACTCGAGGCTCGGGTTTAAAATAATATTGTCTATCTTGGATGCGAGTCACAGGCACAGCAGTGCTCTTTCCTGTTTTGTCATAATGTTTCGGTTGATAATGCGAAAAATGAAAAAATGTCTTCTTTAGTTTAACATATACATTCTACGATGAAATTACGCATTTATGCTCACGCTGAATCGAAAATTAGGAAATAATTTTCATATTAAACTAAAGATGCAATTTCAGAACTTGCCATTTTAACTACCGATATTCAAAATATCGAACGTTTCATTAAGTGTTGAAAAAGGCTACATTATGTAGCTTTACTCCCACGTTTGACAACGGTCACGGTGATCACGATCCAAAGCACGGCATCGATGTAATTTCTTTTCTTCTACTGCCATCAAAATTTGTTGTCTACTGACGGTAACCTCATTTACAAGGATTGTGGTTAATAATATGATGTGAATTATATGCAAGAGACGGGAGGTCTTCCTAGTAGTTGAGCAAAAATTACGCATGCTTTATCCGCGGTGTTTTACTAGCGCCATTCATAGACGGCTTATAGTAACTTGCATTTATGATACGACGTGAGAAGTGAATCCTTGTAAGCCATTAATGAATGAACCCTCTGTCCTGCGTGTGAATTCTTGCTGCTCCGCATGATGCTTCTACTTCCTGCCGGCGCGTAGAGGCGAATGGATTATCACTAAAATATTTTACGCTAATATTCAGATAAAGTCTACGAAGGTCTACAATTTGAAGCTAATCGAATTATTTGTCAAAATTATTTAGGTACAAATTTCGGTAATGTTTTCGACATAGTTAAGGCTGCTTTAATTCTCCGCAGCTCTTTAGGGCTTTGATATTCAACTGCCGATATATTGATATTGAACTAAAATTAGCACTCTTCCTCATTTAATACCATTGAGAACAGATTCGCGGTGAATCTCCGTAAATTAACATAGATTGCACGTGAAAAGACAAAATCCAGTTGACGACGGAAATGTAGGTTCTAAATCATATATATGATATATAAAATTCACAAGGACTTTGCAAACATCACTACAGCATCAAACCATCATGGCCGTCTGCTCAAGCATTTTAATTTCTCTGTCACCTCGGCCGTCTCAGAGGTCCACTGTCACAATGAATTGGTGTCATCAGGGCGTCTCAAGCACAAGGCGGTGTTTGCTCTGTGCTTGACTGGGACGCGGAGCTTCTGTTCTCTGCTTAGGTGCTAAGGCGTCATATCGAAATTATGACGCTTATTGCGTTCGCCAGCATCAAAATTTTCTTGAAAATATACTAATTTCCCAAATTTTGGTACGGTTGATAATAATATAGAATCATTCATATTATTTGAATAAATTTAATCGCATAGTGGAAAACCGTAAAATTTAATTGTCACCATGAGCTCATTGCCGTTACGGCTTGTCTGACTTTTTGTTACGGAATTTCGATAAATTAATTGCGTGGCTTCGGTTATGAAGGGTGAAAATTATTCAAGCTGTGAAACCATGCGGGAGTTTTTCATACAAATTCCAATCCTTCCTGAAATAGCTTCTTCAGTACATATTTAATATGGGCAAAATCTGCTTTGCTTGAACACGAAACTTATCATAGTATTGTAATTAATATTAGAAATTCAAATCCAATTTTTTTATCAACTCTGGAAGAATTTAAAGATGTCGAGAAGGTTTTAGAAATTAGGAGCAAAAAAGAAATGAGTACCATGACGCGTAAGCACGCTCCAAACTTGCAAACAAACATCAGAATTTTCATGGATTTAAAACGGTTTTTCACTGCTTTGACCCCATGTGTAAGCAACTTCTGGCACTTGAACATACACCAGCGAATCGAAGCATCGCGTTTTTCTTCTGTCTCACTGATTTGACAAGCCAATGGTACGTTGATTACTTCCATTATTAAAGAATATTACTTATGCATTTTTTAATTAATATGCACTAGAAAATACTAGTTTTTTCAGATCTTTGCTTATAATCGTCTAAAGCCCTATGCAGAGTAACCCTTTGCAGCGTGGCAGTGTTAGGTTAGTTAGTCATCAGTTGACTTCTGGCTCGCATCCTGATAGGTTGCGCCGCTGTGTCGAGATCGATGTTCCTAACAGTTAGCTTAGTCTGTTTGTAGTAAACAGCGGGAATCCAAGTGGCGGACGGAAGGATATTAGTTCATCACTTTCAAGATACATAGGATGTAAACTATTCTATCTAGAGATAGAGGAAATGTAGTGATCGAAACATTGATGTGGTAAATACTGTGATTATTGATTTGCTAGATGCCGAGATCTACGACTCGTATAGGTAGGATGGGCTGAGTCCGGCTGACTACGTGAAGACGGGGAAGTTCACTACCGCAATGAAGTTGAAAGAATGTTTGTACTTCGTCTTCATTTTGCTCGTCAGGGAATCAGACGCTGGTGGGAACCTCATTATCATCGATTTTGTTTCCTGATTCTATCTTTCCAATTATTTTGTAAGATACTTATCTACTAATTCATTGCTTGGGTCAATATAACTTCTAAGTACCTAAGTTCTAGGTTCACCAAAGGCCAAGGCTGAAGCCTGAAGGCTTACCTAAGGTACATCGTACGTAGTTTTTGTCTTGTTGATGCTGTTATTAAGCACTTGCTAGAAAGTTCTTATCCACATACGTATCGTTTATGCTTAAAATATAGTTTCTATTGTAGGCCTTCGACATAAGCGCAGAGTGCAGTGCCAACTTTTGTATCAGGTCACTTGACTGTAGTTTGTTGACGCTCACATCACATTATTCTAACACTGTTATTTACTGTAGTTAGTACCTCCGTACCTCGCTTGCCCGAGCGTCTATGACGCGCAATATCCGGTGCGGGGACGAGCTTAGTTTCTTACGTGGACATCGTTATTAGTCGCCGCGCCTCAGGCAATGCCAGAAACTTAAGAACAGTCTTTGTCTTTGAGTTGAAAACGCTTTACCAGTCACTGCGACCTATAGTTGGCCGGAAATTGATCAGTTAGTCCTCATTTGACGGTTTAAATTAATTAATTGACATTACTTGACGGTCTTATTAAATGAGAGTTCAACTTTGCTTTTAAAATTATGGGTACTTCTAAGAGGTGACTCCTATTTCAAAATATGTTGAATGTTTCGATGTATTAGTTCTTCATAGGTACTCGAAACTTCTGTATTTTCTATCATGCAGCAGCCGCATATTTGAGACAGGATGAGATTTCCTAAGCAAGAAGCAGCATATCACGATCGTCATTCAGATAAGATGTGGCAGACGACGCATCAGATTTATTATTTTACAGCCTGAACGTAAAAATTTCAACTTCTACCAAACCACTATTATTCCTAATTCGTTTGCTAGAGCCTTTTATATATGCATAAAATTGTAGCCAGGTCAACCGTTATGCAAGCCTGATTTTTGTTAATATTTTAATTTTAAAAGCGATATTGTTGTTTAAAATTTATCGAATATTTCCTTATGTCTTTATTACTCTAATATTCTCTAACCCTGACCCAATGAATTTAAAGTAATTTTTTGTCTAGTGCATCTTCCGTCTGAGCTCTACTTTTTACGTGTTACTCATCCAGTGACCTTTCTGTGGCGCAAGGTCATTTTGAGGCGCGGACGCCGAGTAAATATGGCACATCTCATATTCTTTAAAATTGCAAGATTTTTAATGTGAAAGTCGTTTAATTAACGTATTTGACACGTTATTCAGAATCAACATCGGAAACGTAGTTCCGTAGTTTATATTTTTAAAGTTTTATTCAAAGCACCATATTTAATTTATTTATTCATCTCTTCTTACTTAACCATACCGACTTGCCATACAGAAGTATATATACCAATTGTGGTAATAATATTACTAACGAATAAATTACAAACGATCAACGAAACGCATCGGATTTAATTAACAATTAGATGAAACATGTTTTCCTTTGATAATACGAATCTTTCGCGAGAGCAACAGTTTAATTGCATCACATGTGGAATTTCAATTTCATTTATTGAAGTAGATTCAAGTTCTTGATATGACAAAAGTAAAGATCAATCGAATTGTAATGACGCAAAGGTGCATTAATTGCCTGAGACTAAACGTGACCTCGGCATTTTGCTTCTTACGAAGTTACAAGAGCCCACAGCTTCACACTAAATATAGGCGTGTATCATCTTCGCGCCCATTTTTATTCACACATAAAAATATAACAAGTACGATTTTTTTGTACCATTATTAACTAAATTCGGGCACTTCTTAGCGTGGGTACTCGCGTGTATTTGTTTGTTGGCTTTTCTAGGATTCCCGGTTTAAATGTTTACACAATACATATAGGTATATATTGACTGAGGCGTAATATAAATAGAACGTCTTTCCTGTTATGCCCGCCACTTGCGCCGTGGCCTCGTTAGTGACGTCACACTCATGTTCAAGCCTAAAAGCATTTAAATTATTTCCTAATGTGATATCAATAACTTTCATAAAAGAATAATCGTGTCTGATTCATAACTATGAACTGATTACGAATACACTTGAGCTAATCGGCAGCCATGGAAACTATGTGAAGATTAATTGCATTGAGCTTAGTAACGCTCTTCTTCCTTCACTTGAAGTATTTATAAATAAACGGTCTTGAGTTGACTGCCTTCAGATAACTTCGAGTGCTGCTTCTCGAAACGTTCCTGTGGTTGCCTGAGCTGTTCACCTCTCGGATATCTGGCAGCAGTCTCAGGACGCTTCTTCTTTTTTAATAATGACTAAGTCTCTCTTCGTACCTCTTTTTTTCTGACGAAGGTTTTGGTCTTAACAAGTTCATGAGTCATATTTTTGGCGTTAAAGTTTCTATTTAAACGGCAAGACATTCTTGGCATTATTTGTTTGGTCGTTAATAGTCTTTCCAGTCAAAATCGATTAAGATCTCAATTTCAAATTAGGTACGTGTTATCATAGGCCGAAAGATCTCTGGTGAATTCTGCCCTTTGCGTTGAGTTAATTTAGAGTAAAATGTTAATTTAGAATCTGCAATTACGATGGAAATAACGTTTAGTTGTTTGAGGCAAGATGCATCTTAGTGCGAGGCTCCCTAAAGTAAGATTCCATGATCGAAAGACCTACAATAATTGTACGTATTCTGATTGCAATTGCCTTGTTTAATTTACAGCTTGGATGTTGATTGGTTAATTATTTATGATTCATCAGAAATTTCTGGGTTCATGGCTCCTATAATTGCTCCACTCTGTTCAGCAATATCCGTTGATTGGATGTGAAGTACTCCTGCGCACACATTAAAGTTAAATGAAGTTATGGACTTATGCTCGACTGAGACAAGAATTAACAAGCTCAACATGAAGGCTCGAGTTATGATGCTATGTGCTCATCAACATGGAGGCTCGAGTTATGGAGATGTGAAGCCATGTGCTCATCTACAGAACCGGTTGTTGGCAATTCATTTAATTCACTTGCTACGATCTAGGATGTCAGTAGTGCGGACACTTTCATGTGTTCACAGCGAGCGCGTTGGAGTATAATGTTACGTATAATCAAGACTACGGAATGAAGTGTTAGGTTTTATTCAGAGACCAGTTCACGTTTGATGTCTTTCGAATGAACAAGGAGCATTGTTTAACTCTGGGCCACGTTGGAGCTTGAGATATTGCTAAGGCATGCGAGGCGCTGTAATAATGTAAATTCATTAAAGTTGTTTATTTTATTACAGCAAACCAAAGTATGGGAAGTCAAAGAAAAACAATAGATATTTATAATTTTTTGAATTTGTGTATCTTCGATATAAATAATTTAGGTTCATAAAATGTCATTTGTTTTGTTGCCCAGAATTGTTGGACAAGGAAAAACTTCATTATTTTTCATAATCACTTCCTGTGTGCCATTTTTTTACAAGCTCACATGTGTCTTTTTTTTTATTTTTTGTCGAAGACAAATTGTTTAAAAATTTGAAATGGGATCTTGTGAATTTTTTTTTACTGCCCTTCTACGTTTTTGTTTCCTGCGCGTGTGGGTGCGACGCCTAAAATATCTTGTATAGTCTATGACGACTGCTTCTGCCCAGCCTCGCGTGGTTACGTTTTGACAGATAAGCCTAAAATATAAGAGTTTGGTACATATATTAAGCTTTTAAAACTTCGCAGTATGCGTATAATTTATGTTTTTTACAACTTGACTAGAAGTTCATTGAATTTTTTAAGTTAACATCGTATCGCGTTAATAGGCAAAAATATCGTTTTTTGTAATGCGTTTCAAGGAAAAATCTTGACTTTCAGGTAGAATATCGAGTACCAATCATTAATAAAAAATTAGATTCTCCATTTCCGAATACTTGGTCGTCCACTCAATTATTGTCAAATTGGGATTTATTCGTGAACGCGCAGTGAAGTCCGTGATAAATCAATTTTTCAACCTTTGTGAACTTTATTCTGAGCATTCAATTTTATCAGCTCCGTAAACCCGCAATCACTCATGCAGAGAGAAACACTCTCTCATTTCGCTGGGGGTGTGGTCGGTCCAATGTAAATAATAGCTCATACTCCCGTCGGTGCTATGGTGCCTAAGAGCGCGGCACACCACTGCCCTATATATTCCTCGGGGCTGCAATTATGGAGCTCGATTCCTGTACTTAGCCTACTTGTCGATATCTAACTTGCATCTCTGAGTTCCACGATATTAATTACACTGTTGACATGTGGATTTAGTCTACTCCTTGCTAAAAGTTCCAGTTGGCCGGTGCATTTTCTTTTGATAATATTAAAATCAAGCATTTGATTAATGTTTTCAATGCGGAATTTGTAATTAATTGAAGCTGGATCAATCACTTTTTAGCTCAAATAGGCTCATGGAGAAATAAAAAAATAGCCTGGTGTACTTATTTAAGCTCAATCTTATCTGTTTCATGAAAAACGATGCTGGTCGACGCCCAGTGCCTTTTTTTCATTATGATTTTAGTCCATTAACGAATTTTCCTCTTTTCAGATGCGTCCAAGAATGTGATCCCGACTGTGGTTAGGCGGTCGGCCAACACGGAGGGGTTGGTATGCCTTCTCGTCTCCAAACGCGGTTCGTTCAACTTGGATGAATCTCATCACAGAAACCGTCGTAGAGGCGTCAGCGATCCTTCCAATCGCCCTAAGAGTGTAACGCGAAAATTAGCCGCGGCTGTCAGTGAAGATGATAAGCGTAAGACTCAAATCTTACAGGGAACTAATCGAAACCTATCTGATTTTACGGGAGACCAAAATTATGTTCATCATCGTGAACTTGGTGAACCTATTAGATACATGCGTAATGTGAGCCTGAATCTTTCTGTTTATCAAAACAATGAAAATGAATATAATGGATCATTAGCAGGTCTCACATACCCTTTCAATGCTCCTATAATCCAGCAAGATGAAATATTTGATCGACCACCTGAACGAAAATCATATGCACTTCATCAGCACCATGTCGCTTCAAGAGAAGAGTTCTCTTCATCGACGCCGACTAACCATGGCTCACGTCAAGTCCGTTCCAAAGGTGATCAGCAATATCCTTTACTAAGACCCACAGCTCCGGAGCAATCTCATCGCGTTGTGCAGCTCACTCGTCCAATGGTGAAAATTTCCTTGATGGTCGTCACTTCTTCCCACGACTTGCAGTACGACGGTGGAGAAGTGGTCGTGGAGAAGCAACTTCTTCGTCGCGGTATGCACACCTTGCACTTCAAGCACGTCATAGAGGAGAACGAGGTTCGTTATGCACTCTTCAGAAATCATGTCCGTTGAGTGAGGAAATTTGTCTGAGGGAGAAGGAAGCACCAACTTCTTGGTAGTTAGTTCGCGGGTTGAAATCTATTTCATGTTTATAGTGACTATTGTCTCATAAAGTACCTATTTCTTGAAATAATCGAATTAATGTTGAAAACTCGTCATGTAACACAATAAATTTCGTCATTTCCTCATTGAACCTTTGTTGTGCAGCACCGTCTGAAAGTGTTAATTGACAAGCAAGAATGTGAGTTCCGAAGCTCCAAGCCCCGTCGCTCCGACCAGTACCAGTTCCTTGAAGTCAGGATCAAACTGCAGGGACCCGTAACGTTTGTGGGCAACAAGTCTTGCGAAGGTAAGCAGTAGCCAGCCCAAATAATGGGAAGTTAATACCTTTGTGATCGACGCCCAGCCAGTGATATCGCTAATAACATAACATTAGATCGGCTGGCAAGCGGTTTTTCCGTGAGAATAAAATTCCCCTGACATGAGAATAAATTACTTATTCAACCAGGCTTATAACGATGAGAGTGCCGTTATTTTTTCAGATGCGCATTTCCTCTTCTTAGTTATTTATTCTTCACTTCGTGTAGGAATTTCAGACTATTACCAATATTTAAATTCACTAGCATAAAGTTCCAAGTAATTTTCTTTATTCGAACTCATGCTTTGGCAGAATCCTCCGTGGCTGGGAATGAAGGCAACGACGCATCCCCGCCCTCCAAGAAGCCCGTTTTCATTCCCGGGGTAGGAGTGGACGCCCAGCCTCCTGGGGAGGATTTACCTTCTTCTGACGAAGGGGAAACTCCTCCATCCTCTCCAGATGTGTACCCATTGAAGGCGATCGTCAATGAAGTCGTCAAGAACAGAACTATAATGCACAAAATCATGCTCAACTCGACGGTCTATGACTCGTCCATCAGTATATCTTATATCAACAACAGTGCGCTCGTCAACACAGCAGTTGATAACTCAATAGTACTCAATTCAGTCGTACAAAACTCTACACTCATCAACAGCACATTGCAAAATGTTAATCTCATCAACTGTGAAGTCATAAACTCTCGCACCATCAATTCAAATAGTGTAAACACTAAGGTGATCAACCTCTTGCCACGCAATGTTAGTCGGGACTTTGGTTTTGATCCCGAGCAAGATCAAATCACCTTTGAAGAATTTGATGGATCAACTGGAGGAGGTAATAATTCAGTAAAAGATAACGACGATGTTGGTGGGGTTGATATTACGCTGATGGTTTTTGGAGTGCTGGGTCTGATTGTGTTGGTGATAGCCACAATTGGCGTAGCACTGCTCATCTCAAGACGCATCATTAAAAAAAGGAAGGAAATGCTTCTTGTTCGTAGTGCTGTGATGGGAAGTGTTAAAAGCTGGTGACGAATCACTATCATTTTAGGAACCGCGAGTTTTGTAAATTTCGTAGACCGCATTACTTTCCTTTGCTATGTAATGTTATGGTCTTCAGAGTTTTGTTTTGGCCGTGTCATACGTGAAGGCCGCCACACTGGCTCGCATCTGCGTTGCAGAGTGGCCTCGATTTCGTGTTAGCATTAGCGTGTCTGTACTGACCTCTTCATAGTGTTTTGGTCTCGATCATTAGTGTTTGACCTTCCAATAAGCTACTGACGAGTCGTTGAATTGTTTTACTGGTTATCTTGTCGCTGGGTGAGCTTCCCAGCTCCTCACAGACCAATTTCAGTAACACGTAATGCTTCAGTGTACATGGAACTTCCATCACAGGTATATTTATTGTACAGAATAATTTTACGTATGAAATTATTGTGTATATATACTCCGAACCTTAGGCGGGATAATACAGGTCCCAATGTAAATTGCAACAAATCTACGCGTGCTGCAACCGCGGCTCTTCAGCCTATCTAGCTTTCTTCGTTGCGCTGCTTCCACTCATCATTTTAGGACCCGTCAAGTGTGGTATGGCGTGGAGACGTTGGTACGGTGTCGGTGAGACTTCATGCTGTAATTAAATACTTTAACATTTTGTACTTCAGATCGAAGCAAAGCAATTGCAACCCGTTGGTCGCGTCTTGGCCAAATTTTGTATCGTTCAATGCATTTCACACTAAGATTAAACTTGAGAATCCCCATTCTGACTACTTGCATCAATTACATCCAGTGGTGGTACGTAAGCAACCATTAGCTATATTTCAACCGTTATATGTAAAACTAATTGATTTTGCTACATGTGGTATGTGATGAAGTTACTTTCTTCAATACATTTCTTCCACTTGGTTTCATTCTTGTATGCAGAAACCAGACGAATTTCAAACTAGGTTCGTAAACTGGTTCAAGACGTCGAAAAAAATTCATCCATTAGCTGTTCGAGTTAAATGAATAAAATGTACACAACTTCAATATTTTCACGCAAGAACATATTGAACGGTTCCTTCGCTGACAATAGTCGGTCGATTCCCTAGCTTGGGCTATTTATTAAATATGAATGACTCAAGTTGAATAACAAATATTTTCTTCGCACCCAATAAGCATAAATTACAAATGAGGATCTAAATCAGTTATGAGGAGAATGAAATAAGATTTTAACTCATTTATACTTGCAAAAAAAGATGAGAAACACACCCAATCAACTTTTAATTACTTAAAACCAAAGTCATAAATGGCTTGAGACTTACTTCAAGACTTGAAATTTATTAGATTGTTTGGGGTTTCACTCATGATGCAGGAAAACTGCAACAATATACGATTGTTGACATCATTTTATGTAGACAATAATACCAGTGATGATAAATTAAGGTATGAAGAGTGGTGAAAAATGGCGACCACAATAAACCCTCAAAGATATCATGTGGAACATAAGCCAACCTTTTTGAATTAAGACAGCCTCCATATTTTGAAGGAACGAACGAACTTTCAATGAAAGTACAACAAAAGAATCAATGCAGTAACGACAATAAAAGGAGTCACCGAAATATTTTGTCCAGTTACACACAGCGACATATTGACGTCTTACGTGACCTTCCTTTCCGTTTTTTCCCGCTTACTGAGCGATTAAATCTTCAAAGCAATTGCTGTTTTGAGAAGCACAAAGTTTTCTAATCAACGAGGAAGCCAAAGAAAATATCAGGGGGAATTCCATGGGAGACTTTCGTAGCTGGACGAGGAATTGGCAAGGTGCTGGCAATTCGGGTACGAGCATAAGCGTAAAGGGCGCCTCAACGGGCACGAGGGCCATTGCGTGCTCCTGCTGTAGAACAACGACAGGATACGGGTATTCATTATGCTTTTACGTGCTGGATGAGACTTGAGAAAGCGATGCCTGATATGTGGAATGGAGTACGGTATGTACATATCAATTAGAACTTTATAACCTACACTCAATGTTCATGGCAATCAAGAAAGCTATGTCCATATAATGCATGAAGTATATATTACGACTATATATTAAGCTATTAATAATGCACGAGAAGAACGATACGTGAAGCTTGTGGTATTGCATTCAAATTGCTGATGGTGGAAGGGAGGAAAAGGCTCTACAGTCTCAACACATCGCTTCCAGGTTAGGTTAACATATTGTCTCAAGCACCCACAAAATTAAGTAACCTGTGAAGATGATCTTTGTCGATGAACTTGATCGAATTAGACAAAGTGATTTAGACAAAAAAAATCAAAGCATATCAACAATTATTCTCGGGCGAATATTGAACATCTGCTATATGTCCGGGGATCAATCATCATAAGATATAAATTATTCAAATAAAAACAAAAGGCTAACATTATCTGAGCAGTAAAAATTAAAACCTTCAAGCATATATAAGTACGATACTTTACTTCCTCTTTATCAAAATTTTGCCAGTTAAGTCTTAAAATTCTCAAGTTCATACTGTGAAATGACGCTGAGCACAAGCAAAGACCACCCGACTACAAAGTATTTAAACCTTACTAAATTGTAATATACCAAATATTACATACATGCAAAAAAATACCCTAACAATTTCATATTAAGAGCCTTGTGAAGAAATACCGACGTTTTCATGCACATAAATCATAATGTTGGAAAGCTAAAAACCTTCATTAAAAATCTTGATATTATAACATCACTTATAAAATCGAAAATTTTAGTACGGTATTCAAAGAAAATAAAAACTACCAGGTATAATAAATGAATAGAATCTGCCTAAGTATTTCACAATTCTGTATTATGCGCAGTGGGAGGAAGCCTGCCACACATGGAGGAGAGGAACATATGAACTTCATATTTTATATGTTCATCTGTGAACTATAGTAAAATAGGAACTTAACTGCCACACATGTAGGAGAGGCGAACCATAAGTAGGAGTAACGCGACCCTTTATCTTACCACAATATGGCTCGGTGGGTAGGTTAAAATGAGGGGAACATGCAGGGGTGCGATATGTCGTCCCACGGGGGAGGAGGGTGATCAATGCTCCATTGGATATACAGAAGAATATCAAGGCGTCAATAAAAATTTTTCTATTTTCCGCATATTCCATTTATATTAATGATAATAAGTCGAAATAATGAGAGACGCCAAAACGCAAATTTATACCTTGAAACTATATATAAATCTCACTTTTAGAATACATAAATTTTTTACTACGTTTTTCGCATCTGAAGACCCGCTAACCAGTCACAAGCCTGACAAACAAGGGTTAAACTAACCAGAGTGAGCTAAATACAATAATCTACTAACAGGGTCCCAAGAAGAGCCAACAGATATACATACGGAACATGGCCCTTGACTTACAATTGCGGCAACAGCTCTACAGGAGTGAAAAACTCAAAACCTTCAGGAAAGAGATCCTGGGCTCTGGGGTACATGAGTTTGTAGGACTGGCGGATGGTCACTTCGGCCACGCCAGCGATGTCGCCGATCTCCTTTTGGGTTTTCTTGTCCGCCGAAGCCTGAAAAAATTGTCTCCGTGAGTGATCGATCCCACAGCACATTAAAGGGATCTAAGTAGTAAGAACTATTTGGCGTTATTACCTCTGTTGAGACTTGAGGCTAGTAATTATAGCGAAAAATCCAGGGATGCACCAAAGTATGATTGAGAACAATTGTCCCATTAACTAATTGAATTAAATTCGCTCGGGAGCAAAGTGTTCGAGAATCAAAGAAAGGGTTGGGAACGCGATCGCTATAAAGCTCAGTCGCCATTTTAATTTAAATAACAGCAGACAATAATAGAAAGGCATTTTCCGACGGTCAACTCTCAAACAGGGCGCGTTTGATATTAAATTACATTGGGAAATGAAAAAAAAACTCAAAGGTATTGAGGGGTATTTAGACATAATTCGAAGGCCAGTAATAATTTATTTTTAGTTATAGACAAAGATTTGCCATATATGAGAAGCGGCTGACGACCCACCTGAGACGCCATGTATATGGCCGCAGCAGCCACAGATATCGGAGAGCGACCAGCTACAAGGTCGCCGTCTACAGCTCGCTTAGCGATACACGTAGCTGCCTTCAGCACCTGTAAAGCATCAGCATATTGCTACTATAATAGCAGCATATTGGCGCAAATATGAGCAGCATATTGGCGCAAATATGAGCAGCATATTGGCGCAAATATGAGCAGCATATTGGCGCAACTATTAGCTGCATATTAGCACAAGTATTAGCGGTATATTGATACAATTAATAACAGCATATTTCTTAAACTCTGCAGCTAAAACTGGAGTTCAAGTTAGACATCACTTTACGGTTATTTTCAAGTCAATTTCTTGATAGTTGTAATCTTAAACGCCAAAAAGTGCGTGGCATAGTTTTCGAAACATTACTATGTTCATCAAAAACAACGCTAACAATTTCTAGAGAACTAAGTTATTATAGATCACAGTTATAATGCACAAGAGTGGCTCGTTCCAAGTCACCAAAGAAGATACCTTCACAGACTTTGGCGAGTGAGTAACTTATTTTCTATTCAGAATGATTGAAGACTATGAACAAATTATTAACATTTCATTTGAATTTATAGGACATGCATTGTTTCTAAAACGGAGTGACAATGTTCATTAAAAAATTTAAATGTTTATGACAAATTCTAATGAAATGTGAAATTGATCACCGCCACTGGAACCTTAATTCTCGCTAAGAAACAATTAGAAATAATTTAATAAGGTCTACTAAAAAGCAGGATGAAGGGGCATGCAGTCGATGGCAATGGAGAAATAATGGACATGCAGTCGACAGAACCTCGACATGAAGTCCCCTGTGGTGATGAGTTCTACAGAGGTTTGGACGGCATTCAGGATGAGCTTGAAGCAACGCCCAATCTCCTTCTTGCTCACTTTGCTCACGGCGCAAATTTCCTGCAAGACGAAATGTTTAGTAGTTATTGGGCGAAACTTGAGGCCACAACTTGGGGGCTTAGAAATCGCTAGGAAAAGCGAATGTAAAAGCTGAACAGGCGCTTTTCAATTCTAAAAAATTACTATGATGCTGTAATTTGCTGATTGTAGACCTGGGTCACTGCGAGAGAGAGTAGATTTACTCTTAGTGACGTCCCCGACGGCTCGCATGTCTTATCGTGGATGCCGTGCCGGTCGAAATAGGCGTCCGGCTGTCACCTATCGAGCAGTGCCCGACAACGGTGTGTTCGTTATCAAAGGCAATAGGCTGTTGCTACGTTAGTAATAATTTGCGCTGAACCCTACGTCAGCGAATGCTGCAGCTGAGCATCGGCCTATTTCGACCTGTAGGTTTAAAAACCTGCTGAGCGTTCGTGTTTATCGCCACTAAGTGCAGCCGTGTCGCCGGTTATCGATCGGCTGCCTCAACATCCGTCGCTGAATAACAAGGTTGACGATTTTCTTCTCATTTGTCGCTCCGCTCAATTGATGTCGTTATTCTAACCGAGACCCGGCACGACGCTTATTCGGTTTGCAGTCCTTCGCGCTGAAGGACTCAAGGTAGTCGAGCGCGCGGCTCCCCGCATGCAACCCGACACCCTGGCGACGAATTACGGTGGAGTAGCTACCGTGGTCAGCAGGAGCGTGCACCATTCTTGACATCAGCGCCCGACCCACCACTTTTGAGCTGCTATGTGCTAGGGTCACCTGTGCCTCATTTACGTGCGTTGCAGTCACCATCTACCGTCCTGGATCGGTTGCTGTGGCACGAGATTTTTTCTTCGGATTGAGCGATGTCTTCAAAGACTTTTGACTTTCCACGATCATGTCAAAATCACCGGCGAATCGATCGTTCGACTGGACGGACCCCTCGACGCGTAGCTGAACGACCTGTTGTCCACCTTTGGCATGGTTTATCACGTGACCTAGTCGACGCACGACATGGGCGGACTGCTGGACGCTGTCATCACGCGTGCTGACCTTCAAATTGTCATCACGCGTGCTGACCTTTAAATTCAGCCCATCGCCATCATCGAGATAGCAATATACGATCATCGACAACTTCAGTGAACGGTTCCATGTGTGCCTGCCATCCATGGCGCGGTCTCGACGGCGGTATCTTACGCGAAAACTGACTATATTGGCCTGACTCATGGTTGGCACCATCAGTCAACGACCTCGTGCAACTCTACAACACCGAGCTGATCTGTGCACTCGATGACCTCATTCCTGCACTCACAGTTCGGGTACCCCAATGAGTCTCCGACTCATGGCTTGACGATGAATGTCGGGTCTCGTAGGAGGAGGGGTTCGACTGCTCCAGCGAACTGTCTGCCGGGCGCACGTATACACAGCAATCCTGCTGTTGTGGCCTCCACCTAGCGAGATGACCGGCGCAATTATGTCGACCTTCTTCTATCTAAAAAAATGGCAACGAAACGACCCTCGAGCGCTGTGGAGTTTGTTGCATAAACTTATGGGATTAGGCCATACAGATGCTTCGGGTGACGTAATCATGAAAGAATTCCATGCGGTTTTTGAAATAAAAATTTCGGATGTGCGAGCGTCGGCAACATTTGCGCCGTACCCGTTTGACTGCGTGCTCCAAGAATTCACTTGCGCCACAGCTGACGATGTCATCGCAGCAGTGCGCGCGCTGCCTAACAAGACAGTGTGCCAGAGATCCGCTGCAGGCGTCGTTACTAATGGGTAATGTCGTAACCCTAGCACCTTTTCTGCTCGAACTTTTCAACCGCTGCCTCACAGACGATGTTGTTCTAGAAAACTTTAAATTAGCTTGCATTACGTCTCTATTGAAAAACCAGACCTTTGCGCTTCTGATCCTAAATCATATCGACCATCTCCAACCTATCGATTTTGCCGTAACTGCTGGAACGCATCGCGTTGTGGCCCGACAGCTAAATAAACATCTTCAGCAGTCAGGGCTCAAGCCTCGCCACCAAGTCTGCAAACCGTTTCATTCGACGGAAGCCGCTGTGCTGAAGGTGCTTTCAGGTATTCATCGAGCAGTAGACCACGCTCACAATGCGGCGTTGGCTTTACTCGACCTGTCGTCTGCGTGTAACATGGTCGACCACGCCACTTTTGAGCTGCTACGAGCAGTGCGCGACTTGAAGTGACATTCGGCCGGCGCGGCACAGTGCTGCGGTGGTTCGATTCTTTTCACAGCAATAGATTCCAGTGCGTTCGACGCGGGAACACTTCTTCTACGCTATCGTTGGTCCCTTGCGGCGAACCACAGATATCAGTCCTCGACCCGATCCTCTTCCTGTTGTATACTGTCAACGTGTTGCACATAATTGATTCACATAATTTGAAACCGTCTATGATCGTCGATGACATCCAAATGTATGGTTACTGTGTGCCGCCTGACGCTGCAGCGTTGCAGGACCGGATGTCTGTCTGCATGGACGCCGTCTCAGACTGGATGGGCTCCAACTCAATGCATCGAAAACCGACTTTAATTGGTTTGCAACTGCTCGGCGCCAGCATCAGCTTCCGTCCAATCCTGTTCGCGTAGGCAAAGACTTCGTCATGCCTGCGTCTTCGGTTCGCAACCCGGGCATTCTTCTGGACTCTAAACTTTTTATGAACAATCACATTGCCACAGTCACCACCGCTAGTTAAGGCGCTCTGTGACGAATACGTAGCGTCAGCCGCTGTCTCTCCAGGCCGGTCCTCGAGGCCCTCGTGGTGGCACTCGTTCTGACCAGATTGGACTATTGTAATGCCACACTATTCACTTGCGACCACGGCAGTTAATAAACTGCAATCCCTAATGCTGCTCGACTCGTTTGCAATAAGCGAAAATTCGACCATGTGTCACCGATATTACGCGATCTATCTGCCTGCGCAAGCAGCAGGGCACGCAGTTCAAGCTCGCTGTTCTGACGTTCCGATGCCTTCACTGTCTGGCTTATCCTTATCTCAAGGAATGTCTGCAGCGCGTGTCGGATCTGCCTTCTAGAATACGATTACGTTTGTCATCAACAGTGGAGCTTGTCGTTCCATTTACACGTCGCGACCGAGCGTTTTCGGTCGCCGCCGCCAGAACATGGAACAGTCTGCCGGCTTCCGTAAAATTGGCTCCTTTGTTACAGGTGTTTCGTCGACGCCTAAAGATTAAACTATTTCGTAGAGTCCATGAATAAGCGCTCAGTCATTTTTATCCGTTCTCATAATTTCTCGTGTGTTTTTATTTTTCGGTTGCAAATAGAGTGTAACGTGCTCTCGAAGTTCGTTTGAACCACACGCCACGATAACTGCTTCATAGAATAATAATAGTGATAATAATAGCATAAATAGAGTTCAAATCCAAATGACTATTTGATGAAGAAATTGAACAACAGACAAAGTTTTAAGTAAAACCGCACAACTATCAAGATATAAACAAACGAGGACTGACATAAGAAATGAATATGTTCATAGTATGAAGCAGAAAGCGTCTGTAGTAAAATATAAAAGTACAATAACAGCCTGGCAGATTTCTTTGAATGTTCTAGGTTCTAGGAAAATATGATACCTAGGGCAGATTACTTTGAAAGTTCTAGTGTCTAGGAAAATATGATATAGCAGATTACTTTGAATGTTCTAGGTTCTAGGAAAATATGATATGGCAGATTACTTTGAATGTTCTAGGTTCTAGGAAAATATGATATGGCAATTACTTTGAAGGTTCTAGGTACTCCTTCCTGCCTGCAGGCGATGTAAAGGCACGCCGATGCTATGGCGTCATTGCTGCGGCCTTTCAGATTTTTTCCGTCGTTCACCTGCCCGTGAAATGATCAACTGAATAATGACACTAAAGTTTTACTAAAAGTCGAGTTCTCATGGCACTCAGGATTATTTACACGTTTTGAATTTAAATTGAAAACGTGTTAATCTCATTCAAAGAATTCGATAATAAGAATTAAGGATATATAAGGCTAGCATGGCTTATTCATTGCAGTGGATATTAATGGAGTTTCGTACACACCTGCTTGAAAAGAAAGTTTGCTCGATCAACGATGGCTTTGCTAAGGTTGATTTTTTCAGACATAAGGGAAATTTCTTTGAAGGCTGCAATCAGAGCTCGATCTGAACTGCTGAGCTGGGTCGCCGGCAAAAATAGGAGTATTAATTTTCAATTCCGATTTCAGCTTATTTTTCCAACTCAATTCATTCAATAAAGTATTCATTATCGTTCTGAGCACGTTCCATGCAGTGAAAATTATATCGCTAAGACAACTAATACAATTGAATGAATATTCAAGACACAACAAGTTCCTTACCGGGCAACCGAACCAAATATCAATCTAGTTATTAAAAAAGTACTACCTGCTGCTAATAATTGAATGTATAATTACTTTCAAGTTAAATACTCACAACTCTGCGGTTGTGATAACGGCCGTTGATGGACTGGCTCGGTTGGGCCTGGTCCCTCTCATTAGTGGGTCCCGATGACCCACTAATGGCGGGACCAATCATGGTGCTGAGGTCAGAGCCGTTGAGAAGTGGGTTCTCGGGCCCACCAACGCGAGACGGGTCGCCATTCGCCTTCTCGTTGTTGAAGGTGCGCCACTCGGACCCAACATCAATTACTCTGCGGACGATAATCATGAACTACGAGGTATAATTAAACTAAACGAAATTGTTACCAAATAACGCAGTTTACCAAAAACAGAAAATAATCAGTTTTCGATACTAACCACCCCAACACGTGGATATATCTACGAAAACTGCAGAGAAGACAAAATAAGATATATTATTAGACACTTGTGACACACACATAACCTGTTAGGCACCAGCGCAGTCAAGACTCGCCTGTCCCCCACCACCCTAACCCACCCACCTTAACCAACCCACCTCTCCCCGACCACCCTAACCCACCCACCTGTCCCCCACCACCAAACCACACTCGGAGCAGATCTGGTCGCCAGCTCTGTGGTCCTCGATGAGTAGCGCGTCAGGGTGTTGTGGGCACCCCACCATGCCTGAGCTAAACAAAAAATATAACTTTTAACTATATAAACGCGTAAACACATACGTTTTCAACTATTTCAAGTTTCCTAGCGAGTAGCGACTCACTTGGGAGTCACTTGCGAAATAAGTTTCAAGTTCAACGGCGATAGAATTTTTGTGCAAAAACTAATAAACGACAAAAACTGATGAAAAAAGAAGAGAAAATCACCACGTTTTATAACTTATCCCAAGATCCCGACTTTAAATCAACTTGAAATAACTAGCGAATTACAAAATACTGTAATTTTACTGGGACATACTGGTTAGTCCAAGTGAATGGGTTTCCAGCAATCAGTTGAGGAATTAGGGGCGGGAGTAATAAAAAAGTAATTAAGTAACATAGAAACACAAGGCTTGTGTTAAATATTTTAGATTGGACAAAATTAAATTGGACCTTCTCTTCATATCTCAGCCGACATTTTTTTATCTAGTATGTGACCCAACAGGATCAATACATTTAATAAATGAACAACTACCGTACTGTTTTAATTCCACCCTGCGCAAGCAGGATGCTTCGATACGATTGAAGTAACGCAATCACTGACTAGTTGTATGCTTATATACAGCATAACTACGTGGAAACCGCTTAAATCTGCGTCATAAACGCGAAATTTTTCGTGATCATACAGTACCTAAATAGTTTAGTTCGTTACACAAAGCGACTTGTAACTGCAAAAACAATGTAGATAACTGCAAGACTAAGTAAAGATTTACTGCCACTGTTTAATTTACATAAAATCAAGTATGAGAATAAGATTTGAGGAACCTACATCATGCATGGTCGATGGTAAATTACGTATACGACCACTATTCGTACACATAGATAGAATTAATTGATCTAATTCGTCGAAAACCGTTTACTTGCACTATTCCAAGGGCATGACCGATTGGTCAAAGACTATCAGTTTAGCCATTGAAACAGAAATAAAACTTCAGCCCCTTTAACACTATTTGAAGCTGTGTATGAGTAATACTGACCAGAATCAATTACTAGGAAGTAATTTATGCTCAAAGTTACTTCACAGTTTATGCTTAAAAATTAGAACAGATTGGTAAGGCTTTCATCTTTTCATTAATTTTTATCTAGTCGTGGGTAACACAGACCGACAGACGTGTATACGAACAAAGTTAGTCGCTATTTCTTTGCCCATCTTAAATAATATTAAAAAGCGACCTCGTGAAAGCCTTATGATAAAAGTTTATGCACACATGATTATTTAGATCGGATTTTTTCTGCCATTTGTATTCGAATAGATAGTTAACCAGTAACCACTGACTTAGTTAGGTAGCTAGCCTAGTCGTAGGTCGTAGCCTCGTAGGTGACCAAGAAAAAACTAATGTTTCATTAAGCACCATAGGATATTTCACAATAAATTAATTCATTTTCATCAATCGATAGAACTTTAGAACATGCCCTCCGAATGGAACAAAAAGTAAAATCACGCACCTTTGACTCATGTTGGTAAACTTTTAATCTATTACCGCTTCGGAGAATGCAGACTATCACATGATACTTGTTCTCTACACTGCACATCAGCGAAGACTGACGAGTCAGCACTCAGCAGTCAGCAACATGTAGTTCTTCCTTGCGCTGCATCAGCCGCGATTATAGGTAGATTCACAATTGCAGTTCCGAAAGAATTTAGTGTAGATTTCAATTTGCCTGGAAAATAAAACGAAAGTAGTAGAATTCCAGCATGAAACAGACGAATAAATCAAATTAAACATGGTTAATAAATAGAGATCAAAGATCATAAAATAACGATGGCATGAGAATGGAATCGAATATACTAAGTTCACTTCAGAACTACGAGTACAAGCTTCCAGCAGAGCTCCGCTACGGTAGGTGCAACCTGCAACGGAAACTCGAACAAAACAACTAGTTAATTGCGCGAATCGGTATTTACTTTAAACAACTTCGGTGGAAACTAATTCCAAACTTTATTTTCTTATTACTTGACGAGAGATTCCGACTTAATCAATCAACGTTCGGACTGAGCCCGGTTCAAACGAGCTTTTCTCGCAAGCGTTGAGGGATTAGGGCCCGGGGGAACCAATGAAATCTATACCACAGTTCCCAGACAGAGACAAGTAATATTTCGTTGTCAACTAAAGGTGTGTAACACACAATTAATTAAAAAAATGAGGTATACCTAATTTGAACTCGCATTGTAGTTGATAAATTTAGTATTTGACTAGGATAGCAGGGAAAACATGGCTTACATTTGAAGCACAAGAATTTAACAACGAACAAGAATTTAACAACGAAAGGCTGACGCGGCGTATACTATATGACCTTGCCTACACTTCAAAGTCACTTGCGAAGTTGTGATGTAGAATTGTAGGTACCTAGATCTCGCCCTTGAAGGGGTCGGAATAGTCACCGTTAAACAACATTTACAGCAGCCCATGTCTGTCATCCTTTATAGCATTGAAAATATTCACAAACAATTAGGAAAAACAATCGTTTACCAAGTCTGAACTCGTCTACAAGCAGTGGTTTTCGAGTTCTCGACCCAGACGAACTATTACTAAGTTCAAATAACGAAACTGCAAGTCTGCAACAGCCTGGACATCTGGGTTATCGAAAGCTTTTCAATCAAACCATGGAATTTAATCAAAATTTTGAGGAGCTTAATATTCAAGTTTCACAGAGTGAATCGCTCAAGTAAATAAAAATTAATTTCAAAGAATTGACTAGAGGAATAGGTACGTAAATCACTCAATTATGGCCACGCTAACCTTCTCTACTTCACACCCACTCTAGACGAACTACGAACACAAAATGCTCTGTGAGTCTGTGATTGAGGATCACAGTACCGGCGGACTATCGGGAACATGAGCGAATGTAGTTCGACGTGATCCCTTTCAGCGCAGGCCACTTTTTAACCAAATAACCCGAAATATTCTTGGTTGAGTGCCTGAAAATAATGCAGGAGGAAGAGATGTCGGCTGGAGACATCAAGCAATAAAGACAACTAGATGCCCAGTAACACGAACCGTATGTTAAATAGCTTTTAGATTCGTAGGTCTTATTTTGAGCCGCCACAGGAAGAATTCACATATTTCACTACCGATGTTTATTAGTTATACTGACATAGAAATGAACGCGTTTATGTGAACGAACTCTTCACCTGGTGGAGAATCATAAAATTGCACCTGTCACGCCAAGGAGTTACCAATGTGAACCAGTATATTAATTTCTAATAAATCGTTAAGAATTGATTCATATATCAACTAGTAGATTAACACTACAGTTTGTAGCCTGTGTTTTATTCTAGCATTCAGATTGCAGACGCTAATCTCTTGTGCAAAAAGTTTATCTTTTTAACTAGCATCTGAACCGAATTGGAGTAAAAATAATTAACATGGTATATCGGGCAATTGATTTTCAGAGTAAATTTTTATATTTAATTCATGCGAGTTCGTTCTTTTTCCAAAATATGTTATAAATTCTAACCTAATGTGCGAAAATGAATCAAACATAGGTTGGGACATCCGTTAATAATGTGAAATTTTTATTACTGAAAATAAAGTGATCGAATTAGAAACAACATGAGATGCCTGGTATTCCCAGAGAAATAGCAACAATCAAGGTTCCTACAAATTCAATAGTCCTTTGATACCTCGTCCGTCGAAAAATTACCGTTCTTCTCATTCCAGTTTTCAAAACTCACTGTTTCCGTTCCCGTTTTTGAAAAGACCCTCCCTGCGGCGAAGCCGTATTGACTTAGAACATGTTTCGCTTTCTTTCCAGCGAAGCAGGTTGGTTCTGAACGAGTTTGCCTAGATTACTTAGTGAAGCCAAGCTGACAAAAATGACGGTATTCACGATTTTAAGCATGGTTAATAAAACCTGTAATGGACTCTATGATACAAGCATTACAGATTATTGATTAATGTTTCATTGATAACATTTCTTAAATTTGCTTTTCACTTCGTTACAGAGTCCTTTCTCTTTTCGATGCTTTCGATGACGACAAATTTTCTGAAATTTATCACGTTAATTAAGGAAATTTTTACCTTATTTCTACATGTTGCATATAATTAGTATCTTTTTTTTTCAACTTTCATTTACTGCATGGACCAACTTTTCTGCCATATTCATAGCGTAAATTATATTTTAAAATAAGCAATGTATGTTTCCGTTACATTTAAAAACGTTTTTTTAAAGAAAGTTACGTGAGCAACGTATGTTGGAACCGTTCTATCTTCAACTAAACGCACTTTAGTTTCAAAATTATTGACTTTATTTGGAATTAAATGATTTGAAATAACAGGTTTTTCATATATCAGGTTTATTCTATATTCCGGTCAACGCCGTGCTCACCTGCCATTCGCCATAACATGTAATAAATACTGTAACTTTGAACTAAGTTTCTCATCGGCGTGTAATATGGAGTCTGTGTCGTGGATAGAAACTATTTGCTATCCCCGGAGCTGCTACGATTACCTTCTATCCTAACCTATTTTACTAAGCACTTGCACACGTTATTAAAAAGTAGGCATGTAATCTTTAAAAGTATTTTTCATTTTCGGTTTTTCTTTTTATAAATTTTTGATGAGGTAATATAATTATGCCTACGAGAAAGACTGCTACTTTCATTACGACATTTTCCCATTTCGTCAATTTAACTTCGTTTCAAAATATATCACGTTGTATTTCAGTCATGACCTAGAAAAACCTAAGATTTCTGTACAGATATAATTTCATTTCACAATTTGTTTATTGGCGAAGCCTGGCAAGGGCCTTGGGGATTATTTACTCGCAGGAATCTGCTGATTAACATGACGCTAGCGCCACTTGGATTCGAGCGTTTCGTGTAAGATCGCGATCGCTGTTTATATAGTGCATAACGCATGCTAGATCAAAGATATATTGCCGTCATGAATATATGCTCAAAGTTGCGAAAATATGTATTCATGTGCGTCGTTCTGGGAGTGACACGATAATTATCACACGTTTAATTATAGTATCATAATTATTGATACCTTTATTTTTCTAAAGAGAAGCATTTGTGTACAGCACCGTTGAAAAAATCTTCCTGATGCAACTAAATCTCATTTTTCTTTTACGAACTCTAGAAAATTAAAATCATATTGACAATGGTTGCTCAGAAGCAGAAGTGTGTCTGAATGGAGAGACGCTTGCAATGCGATCAAAGGAGCTCACTTCATAAGCGCATGTATCTAAGATAATCAAATTGTTCTGTTCTCCAGATTGATCACTAGCTTCACCATAACTAAAGCCAGTTCTTGCATCAGGTTCTTCGTTAGCGCAGCATCCTCCATCCAGTTAGTGTTTATTAAGCCGTGAATAAGACAACGCATGACGATCGGCAAGAGGCCGGTTGCTTTGTTGTTCACCGGGCGGCATCTGGCACAAATATTGACACTTGCGCGGACGGTTGAGGTGCAGAGCTAAGTTAGGTTAGGAACTATTTTATTGCACATACACATTTGATGATTGAACTATATAATGGCCTCGACGGATGCATAAAAAATTATCTTAATGGGATGAATGAATGAATAAACCTCAGGATGCTGATAATCCTTAGTTCTATAATTTTCGTAAAATTTTAACGAGTTTCATTGACATTCTCCAGAGCTTATAAAACTCTCGATGAAAATACGGTAATCAATTGAGTACGCGCGATCAGGTTCAGGTAAACCACCATTTCACTTTAAATGATTACTATCAATTGCAATTTTTTTTTTACTTTTTTTTAGGATAATGTGCTCTGTATCTCAAACTTTTATACTCTACCAAATGAGATTGACCTGAAGGGCTCTGTTGGCTGATTTTACTAATGCCTACGAGTTATGTTCGGAAATCTGTAATATCTTAATATCTCTACATACTTCTACCAATAAATGTCGCTCTTGAGCTTAAAATATTATCAATTTTGAAGACTTAATCGTATAAGTGGCTCAATTTTCATTACGCTTTATGTTTGCATCGTGTGCACTTCGTAATCGCAGGCAGCGGCGAGAAGTATAATCCAAATTCCGAAATCCGAATGCTGCCGCAGTTGGCCGCAGGACTGCGTTGAGAGCGGTGGCTGCACTTCCTACCTCTCGACCAATACACACGGCGCTTGGTGTGAGGTAAGGTGGGACGTCCTGTGTCCTCTAAATTTTAACAGTCATTGTCCAAAAATTCCGGGGGTCTTAAAAAAATTAATTCCACCGTATCTCATTCAGACTCATTGTGCTTAAATGACTTATTAAAATGTTTTTATGGTATGAAGTTATCACAAATCATTTACATTATTAATCTCCAAACTTTATTTTTGTTCCTATATTTTTCTGAAAAATTAGTGTGATAACAATCGTAATTTTACTACTGACGAAGCTCATGTGTTGCAAACTTCGATTTCAACACACTTATCATCTGTCACCGATTACGTTGCCACAGCCCTTAAGTCGCCAGCCTTCAGTAGAAACGATCTACTTTATAAACAAAACTGAACCATTCTTCCTAATTTTGACGTAATCGAAGCAGCTTCGTGTTCATCATGTGATTATCGAACGAACCCTACAAATCGTAGTTATGACAAGTTTTATATGGTTTTTAGTGAGGAGCGACGATGTATGCGCAGTTTCTGCTGAGTGGCGACTTTTGTGTCTTTCACGGTAGTACAATTCGGTGTAGTACCAGTGTCATTAGTGCCCCCGCAATCGCAATGGTGGCTAAATTAAAAGCAAAGCAAATGTTTGCCATTACTAGCACGGGCTTGAGGTGGGTTGGATTGATTTCCGACTTCAGTGTTATTTTTTACTAATTCATATTCCATAACGTTTCTTATTGCAATTGAATTAGAAAACAACAAAAAATATGGCCTTATTTACAAAAATCTTACCTATTCTTGCATTAGAAAACACAATAATACCTCATTCTATGGCATTCCATAGCCTCAATTACTTCAAGGTAGGCTCTCAACTACTGAATCCAACCCATGAACTTCAACACAACAACGGAAGCTACCGTACGGAGGCTACCGTATCTCAAGTAAAAATGAAGTAATATCGATTTTCATCCGCCAGAAATTTAATATGTATACTATCGTTCCTAATAAATCGTACATTAGGTCATTCCATAGTGAATTTCCCTTTAGTGTTTCATCTTTTATGTTTACTGTAAAGTGCGGACGTGTGAGGCGTTTCCTTATCACTGAAAACTGCAGATGCTCAGTCTTCGGATTCTTAATTCCAACAACATTAGTTGGAAACAAAAATGTAGAAAAACTTTGACTCTGTTCGCTAAAGTTCAATTGCAATTCGTCGCACGCGCAGGTTATACGATCTGGGTCAGTCTGGTTGTAAGAAATAACACTGTAAAAAATGTAACACTGAATTCCATTTGCTAAAAACTGTTTGCCTCGAGCTTATTTTGATCCGACTCAAATTTAATATTTTAGAATTGAAGAGAATTCCTTAGTGTGCTGCAGAGAAATCAGATGAAAATACAGTGTCTTTTGTGCACTGTATTTTCCAGATAGCTGAATGGGTGAAGAGTGTAAAATTTAGTGAAAAACACAGCGGCAGAAATGCTTGCCTGCACTAAGCCGGCAAGCCTGCAGCATCGGAGCGACATGTGGGCGTATCTGTAATGCTCTCAGCGTCCTTCACAGAGGTTTTATTTTTCTGCATTACGCGGAGAAGATTCACGAAACAATAAGTTGACGGGAAAAATTCCACGACACTCTGTATTTAGAATCACTTAGTAGAGCAGATCTTGAAGTGACCTTCATCGATCCCGTTTCATCAAGAAATCATGTGCACATTTGGTGCACTTACACAAAGGCACCAGTCGACGTCCAGAAACCTCGCCAAGACCGATTAACGCAAAGATTTATTCAATCCCTCAAATGTACATCAGAGGTTGACTTATGTCGTCTTGAGACGCGCTTCTCTCAGATTTTACTGAACATTTGATGTAATTAATGGGATATGTTGTCCAAATATTGACGCACAAGTAGCGAGCGGACGTAGCAATGATACGTCATTTATCCGGGCCAAACTAGGTCAGGATAATTCACACAAGGGCATGGAGTGTATCGCTATTTGGACAAAGTCTCACTCATTCATCTGAGTGCAACATCGCTCGGTGGTGCACAGCATCACTCGGCCTTCATCTTAATGGCGTTAGCGTTTGCATGTCACGCCAAGTGGTAACATCTAACTTTAAGGAGTCACTGCCCCGCGAACGCTAGGCTATGCAAGGCGGAGTGCTTGGATCAGAACTGAAGCGCTGTATATTAGCGTGCAAATGATCGCAAGCAAAGAGTGCAGTTGGTGTTACATTGAGATCACGGCTTTGTAACACCAACTGCCATGCACACACCACCACAATCTGAACTGTCAAAGGCCTCACCAAGATTAATAAAATCATATTATAATCAAGGTTGAAGCTAAAGATCTTTTTGTAAAAGCCTCGCTTGTATTTACACGATAACGTTAAAAGCTAGAGCGTGCACACTTGCTCTATAAGTGTGCGCTGAACCGACATGTGTACAGAAATATTTCGCTGAGCTTTATTTACTTACCATGTATAGGGGATGTTATTCCATCTTCCTGTACTATGTAACGTGAAACTGTTTGTAAAAATTATTGGGTTATGTGTGTGAAAATAGTTTGCTTATCGCTACTTAATCATAATTTGTTGATGATATTATCTTATGTTTCTGCATTATATGTAAAATGAAATAGTTTGGAAAAATTGTATAATTATGTGGTTATAAATAGTTTTATTATTTTGCTAATCGCTACAATTAGGCACCATGCAGTGGATGCTACCTTATATGGTGCAAGAGCAAGTGTAACATTTTTGAATTTAGCGCTAACATTGAGTAGCATATTGAACAAGATCCAGGCTATGTTGGACTGTAATAGTATTTAACAAATGAGAATATATATTTGAGTATCAGTGAGCGATTATTAATATTACTAATTCTGTAGAGGGTTACTAGTCTGACATGAAATATATACAAATGCAAGTACATAAATTGCACAAATATAATCATTATTTTTTTTATCTCTCAACTATTTTTTACAGCTTGAAAACTAAGACGCAAAATAGTGCATAAAAATCATTTAATCGTAATGCATAATTTTTTTCGGAATTAGTATTCCATTTGGCGAGATAATATCCTTGATGCGCGCTCGTCTGCTCTTGATAAAAATATTAGAATGCTGAATCGCATAAAATTAGGTCAAAGCTTTTACATTTGATTTTATACAACTAGTTTTTCGGCGGAATGAGAGAGCTAATGAAAAAACTAATGCGTGAGTGAGAGCACGAATTCAAACATATGCAGATTAAATGAATTAGATTGCTTTTAAGAAGCGTTTACACATGTTTGTAGCTCAAAGAAGCAAAACTCGAAGCACATGAATGACGGACTGCAAGGTATTCTCGAGGACGGTAAATTGAGGCATGATAGAGAAATCATGTTTAATGCCAATTTTAATTAATGGATGCCAGAACCTGAACTAATTCTTCATTGTTCGAGATGTTAATAATATCGCTATAAGTGGGATCGTTGTAGGAACATTCAAAAGCAGTAATATTATGCTGAAGAAACATCTCACATTTTTTGCACAAAAACTCCTCATTAATAAATTAAGCTTGAAACGAACAATTCGAGAGGAAAGCTTATTTTATATTTATTGATAAACTTTTGAGAACATGAAATTTTTGCGTTACGGTCCGACTCTATATGTTATTTCTAGTCGCTCATATCTATTCCTGCAAATTTATGAGCTTGCGACACAAAGGCGCTTACAAAATTATATCCGATAAGACATTTATCGGCTTGGTGCTAACGCATGAGTCTTAACTGAGATTTTTTCATCTACAGACGTGATGTCGAGCTTAGAATTTACTAACGAGTCACTGACATGGAGACAGACTCCAAGTTACCTTGTGAACGCTTCTAAGGAAGCTGCAGAGTTATTAGAGCAGCTCACCGCTGAGCTTTACCCTGCCACGACACGATGTGTCTTCACCACCTGCTTCTGTATCCTCTTCATCGTGGGCTTGACTGGTAACGTGCTCGTGCTGGCCGTCGTGTGTCGAGACAAAGAACTGTCACGATCTTCCACTGGTGCTTTCATCACGAACTTAGCGCTGGCAGACCTGCTGGTTCTGGCAATTTGTTTACCGACGTCTGTAGCAGAACTGCAGTCTCCACCCTTGTTTTGGGTTCTGCCATCGTCGCTCTGTGAGTTTAATGCCATCGAGAATTTAGTGTGCTCTTCTTCACTTGTGGTCGCATTCGCATCTGTGTATTTAGGTTTAAATGTGTCTTAGAGATTTGTTTTCGTTGTTTTTGTTCGTTTTGGATCGAGTGTTGGGTTCTGAATATAGTTTGTTCATTTAAAACTTTGATTTTGCCATTGATGTTCAACGTTGTATTGTTATATGTTTCCACTTGAGAATCAGCGTATAGCGTATTATTTTCGTTCTAAGGGAAATTTTGGAGTATCCTTTATTCGATGTCGTGCCTGCCCTGATCTTAGTCCCTGTTATCTGCCATGATATATGTTATTGATATAAATGACGATGTTATCTACACAAATACTCAGGAAAGACAGATTGTAGAAACTTCACTTCTTACTTGAAAAATTAATGATATTCTAGAAAATCATATGGAGTAAAGTTTATCAAGATTTTGAAGCGAACGCGCTAAAAAGTTTCCCGCTAAACGTTTATTTCTATTTGACATTTTCAAATGAAAGATAATTTAAAAAATATAAGATAAAAATTCTCGTAGGTATTGAGGGTTTAAAGTATTATTCAATTGTCCAACTAATTGAATCAAAGTTTACTTTATTGTGAATTAACTTCATACATTCATTGACTGACAGCAAGTAAGAATGCACAACCAACTTCTATATTATGACAGGATTCCGTGCATACGTTGTTTGTGATGTAGGTACAGGATTTTCGTTCCAACTTTATTTGTCTCGGACTGTATCGGGCTCGTTAGACATAAGTTGATGAGTTTCAAAAAATTATATTCAAGTGAATACATGCGCGTCGATTCGAACACTTCTACATAGAGGACGTCTGTATGGACAGCTCGTTTGACCAGTATTCATGGCTGTATATGCCAGTATTCATGTTACTTCTTAAGTAGTTTGAGTTCACTATTAAGGGTTTTTATTAAGGGTTTGAGGTTTAAGGATTTTCTCTGTCATGAAGATGAAACATGTGTTTTCTCATTTATGTTATATTATTCGAATTTAGTGAACCTCCACAATGACTTGGCAGCTTTGAGTAGAAAGGGCATCACTGTTTTATTGCAACACTTCTTGTTGTTTGTCTGCTACTAATCTTATAATCGTTATTCAACACACTTCTATACCTGTCCAAACGATCTGAAATTTTGCACTTTCGCGCAAAGTCGAAGACAATGCTTGAATCAATTGACAAAATAAATAAGTTAAAAAAATTAATTTCTTTTAATATTGAAAAAAATAATTTCCTATACAATAAAAAAAATTATTTCTTCAAAGATAAAAATAAAATAAATTATTTCTACATGTGTAACACTCGATACACTGGCCTCTTTAGAAGTGTTGTCTTTAAAATATAATTTTTAAACGCATGTTATTTACTTAAAACGATTGACTCATTAAATTCATTTTTACCTGGCAAATTTGCTTAGCTACTCGCAAACATTCACTCCGCTAATTTCAATCACTCGGTGAAGCTAACCGTGCAATTTGATTAATTACGAATAGAACCATGAGGCTGGCGCGATCTTTCCTTCGCGCAGCGAAACTAACTTTAAATTTTTTCCTGCTCTGAACGAATGTAATTCCCCATCGCGAGTTTCCTGGGCCTTTCTACTCGATTGTTAACGTTATAAATGGCTGGATGATTTGCTAAATACCGTAGCTCTGTGATGTTCACGTGGAACCAAACATTTCTGGAGTTGTTGAAAATAGATGTGCGATGTGTGTTTAGTGTGTAGTTATGGCGAACTGATTCTTTTCGACGCTGTATAAAGGGCTTATAAGGAATAAAATTTCTTTCTTTTTCATGAAATATAAACTCCCGCATGACGTGGTATTGCTGTCGGAAGATATTTTTTGTTTTAAATGTACGTACTGTCTATCAGTTACCATAGATGGAAGTTGGAGCCGATTACAATTATGTTTATTTTATCATCTTAATGTATGAACTAATTATTGAAAAGTGAAACGTATTTCTTCGTATTGAAAAGTGAAACGTATTTTGAATGTAAGTTTGAGTTTTTGTACACTCGCATGTAACCTAAAATTCATAAATTTGCATTAATTGATAGTTTTCAATAAAAATATTCTTTATTGTTGTCCATAACACTCTCGAACTTCACATTTTTGCATGTTTGAGAACTTTATTAAACATGTTTTTCGGTTTACTCTGTATTAGCCTCGGATTAAGACTATACATTATTGAGATGCATTTTTACTGGTAAATATCCGTAATTTCGTAACTTAATTATACTTACTTTTCTATAGAATGCCATTATACGGAGGACACAATGTGAACTCATGCATTTGTCATAGAACATTTGTCCTTAAATTGCAACACAGAACATTTGTCCCGTACGTTGCAACATAACATTTGTCCCGTTCATTACAACACTGAACATTTGTTTATCAGAATGTTTGATAACATCAATATTTCAAATGTATCAATGTTTATCAACATCGAACATTCGTCTAGCACATTTACCACATAAAATTTATCTTTCATCTTGTACGTGTGGAGCCAGGCAAGGCCGTGCCGTTCATAGAGTCGTTGATGCAACACGCATCCGTGCTCACCATCTTCGCCATCGCCCTGGAGCGCCACCACGCCATCTGTAGGCCGCTATCAGCTGCCCGAGCCTGCACCCGACGCCGCGCTGCCGCCACCTGCTGCATCGTCTGGGTTCTGGCCATCATCGTCACCAGGTGATGAGGGTCTGTAGGATGCCAGATGCTGGGTGATGAGGGTCTGTAGGATGCAGGCACTGGGTGATGAGGGTCTGTAGGATGCAGACACTGGGTGATGAGGGTCTGTAGGATGCAGTCACTGGGTGTGGGTGATGAGGGTCTGTAGGATGCAGTCACTGGGTGTGGGTGATGAGGGTCTGTAGGATGCAGGAACTGGGTGATGAGGGTCTGTAGGATGCAGTCACTGGGTGTGGGTGATGAGGGTCTGTAGGATGCAG